CTTTTTATATAAAAACTATGTTATTATATTATTCCTTATAATATATTAATATAAGCTTTACTTAATAAATATTTATTTTAATATATATAAAATTAAAAATAATTTATCTTAAGGTATAAGTTAAGTTATAATTTATTATAAATCGCGCCTTAAATTATACCTTAAGGACTTACCTTATATTATATTAAATAAAAATGCATATAATATAAGTTTATTAAAGAATAATAATTATATTATTAAAGCTATATAAATAATATAATAATTATAAAATACGCTTAAGCTAATTAATATAAATAATAAATTTTAACTTAATATATATAATATAAGCAATGCATAACTAACTTTAAATTATAAAATAGCCTTAAAATAATATTTTAAGGTATTTATAATAGCCTTATTTATTATAAGTTAAATATTATAAAGAACCTTATTATATATATTTAATTAATAAATTTTTATTATATTATGCTTAAGGATAATTATAATACTATAACCTTTATTTATAGCCTTAAAACTTTTATATAAAAGTTATAATATTATTAATAATAATAAATATATTTAAAGCCATTATATTATTAACTACTTAAACTATTTTTGCAAACTATTTAAACCTAAATTTAAATAATGCAAAGCATTATATAAGTTAAGCATAAACAACCCCTTTTAAACCTTTACCCTTTTTTAATTTTAATTACATTAAGTATCTTTTATTAAATCATTTAGCATAAAAAAAATAAAAGATTAGCAAAAACTTAATATAATATAGCTAAAGTAATATATATATATTTTATAATTATAAGCCTTGCCATTATAATAATAATTTATATAAGCCTTATGCATTATTACCTATATAATAAGCATAAAGCTAATTATATAAAGTAACCATAAACCCTTTTAATTCTTATATTACCTATAGGGCTTTTTTGCTTTTTCACTAAATATTTAAATTAAATAAATTATAAGGTTTTAAATCCTATTAATATAAAAGCGTAATATTAAAAATAAATTTAATTAAAAATAATGCTATATTAATAATAATAATAATACTTTAATTATCTTAAAGAATAGGAAATATTAAACCTTTAATAGGATATTTTAAGCATAATTACCTATAGCTAAAATGCATTAATAAGCATATATAAAAAACTAAATAATTTAAATAAACTTATATATTAACCTTTAATTAATAATATTATAATTATAAATGCTAATATTATAATAATATAAGGTTATTAAATATTTAAAAAAGATTAAGGTTAATAACTTTAAGTATTATAAAATAAAAGCTTATTATTAAAATAATTAAAAAAACAACTTATATAATAAAATAAGGTAATAATATAAAGTTTAATAGTAATGCTTATTTAATTAAAAATATATAAATATAAAAATTTAAATTACAAACTAAATGCTAAATTTTTAATATAAAATATAAATAAAATAAGAATTAATTTTAATAAAATATTAAATTTATATATTGCTAAAGGAATATAAAACTTATATATTATATTTATTAAATGCAGGAAATTCCAGAAAGCAATTTAGTATAAACTATATAACGGCAAAGAAAATTAATATTTTTTGGTAAGAAATGAGTATTAAAGCTTATCCCTTAAACGGGATATAAAACCATTTTAAAAGAATGGCATAAATGCTTTATTAATTAAGAAATTAATATTTGCATAATAAATCTCCTTATTAAGTTTTATCTTTATAATATAAGCATTATTATTATAATTATTATCTTAATCTTATTTATCTTTATATTTATAAAATTTATCTTTATTATTTATCTTATATTTCTTAAACTTATTTAAAAAATATTAAAGTTATTATTATAACTTTTATATTTATATTATGTTAAATAGCTTCTTTTTATTAAATATTGCTTATTAGCTAAATATTTAATTAATTAGCATTTCTTCTTTTTATAAATATAATATTTTTTCTTTTAAGATTATTTTCTTTCTTTTTTATAAGTATTATTACTTTAAGCTTTATAATTAATGCTATAAGATCTTAGCTGCTTAAAGCTTAAATAGCTTAAGTTTAATTAATTAAATCTTTAATTTTTTTAAAATGCTTAAAATTATAATTATTATTCTTTCCTTAGCTTTTAATTATTATATTTATAATTAATGTAATATTAATTTAAGACTTTATTTATAATATAAATTATAATTACATGGCTAAGCTATATTTTTATTATAAATTTTAGGTTTAAAAATAACTCTTTATATAGTTAAGTTAGCTTAAAAAAAGCTATTTTTAGCTTAAAAACTTCTTTATAAGCTTTAATTATTATTATTTTTAAGTTATTTTTTTAATATAATTTTAGCTTAATACTTATTAATAAAGTTATAGCTTATTAAGCATTAAATATAAAACCTTATATAAGTCTTTATTTAAGTTTTATGCTTTTATCTTTATAAATATTATTATTATTTAATTTATATAATAATATTAATAATTAAGGTTTATATTAAAATATATCTTAATTTTAAAATATATTATTATAAATATATTAATTTAATTTATAAAATAAAAATAATAAGCCTTAATTTAATTTTTAAGCATTTAAGGAAAACTTATATGGAATTAACTTAGCTAAATTTTAGTATAATAATAAATATTAAAAAATATCTTTATCTTATTATTTAGTAAATTATATAAATCCTTAATATATTTATAAGAATTATTAAAAATTCTTATAAATTATATTAACTTTGTTAAATTTAAGTATTTATTAAGAATATATTATAAGGAAAGAATTTTATATAAGTTATATTTTTTATTTAATAAAGGCATTTTTAAAGTAACTTAAGGTTATATTAAATATAATATATATTTTTAATATAAGCTTTATCTTTATCTTTTTGCTAATAATAATAAACCTTGCTAGCTATATTAATTTTTAATAAATTATATTATTAAGTTTAGGTTTTATAATTATATGCTTAAAGCTAATAATAATAATAAATATTATCTTAAGGATTATTTTTTTAATAATTATTATTATTCAAAGCTTATTTATAGCTTTTATAAGGGCTATGTTTATAATTATTATTTTTAAAGTTATATATAATATTTATTTATACTTAATTTTAAGGTTAATAAAGTATTATAAAGCTTATTATTAATTTATTTTAATCTTTCTTTAGCTTAAGTTATAATAATTAATTATAATGCTATAAGTTAATTATTATATTTTATATAAATACCTTATATTTAAAGAAAGATTTTTAAATATTATTAGCAAGGATTTAGTAATGCTTTAAATATTGCTTATATTTATATTATATAATTTTTATAATAAATAATAAAAAGGTTATTATTATAAAGATTTTATTATATATAGCTTATTAAAATACTTGCTAAATAAGTAATTAAGTATTTTATTAATATTTTTTATATAAGGATTATAAATTATAATTTTAAGTTAATATATTTATAATAAGCTAAGTTAATTAAACTTTAAGTAAATATTTTATTAATTATATACCTTTTAATAAAAGCTAATAGCTTTTTAGCATTATTAACTATGCTTATAAGTTTTTATAGTAAATATTATAAGGAGTAAGATTAATAAAATAAAGATATATTAATAAAATAAGTAATATTTAAAAGTAAGTTAATAATAATAATTTAATAATAAGTAAGTTATAATTATTAAAAGGAAAAAGTTATTAATTTCTTTAAGCTTTAAAAGCTAAGGCTTTTTCTTATTATTAAGTCCTTTTATATTAATTAAAAGTATAATATATAATTTATACTTACTTATAATATAGCGTTATATTAACTTTAATAATTATAATAATTATAAGCTTTATTTATTAATAAAACAAAGCTTTATTAAGTTTTATTAAGTTTTAAAAAAGAGTTAAAGATAAGTTTATAATAAATTTATTTTTAATAAAGTCTTATATATAATAAATACATATTTCTTAAATAACGATAAATATATATATAAATATTATAGGGAATACTATTTAGTTTATTTAATTTTTATAATATCTACTTAGGGAGTTTAATAATGCAAGGAGGCTTAAAGAAGCAATTATTGCTATATAGCGCTTATTAATGAGGAGGATATAATTTTTAGGTTAGGGAAATCCTTATAAGGTTGCCTCTTTTACCTTATTAATTTATAATACTTATAACTATTAATTAGTATTAATAGGTTTTTCGTATATATAATAATTATATGGGAAGCAATTATATATTGGTATTGTTCTGTCTAAGTTCTGAGAGGCTACATGCCCCGGAGGGGATAACTAAAGTAGCCTTCCAAGTGCGAGGGTCGTACTTGCCAATAGCCCGAGACCATGTCGTTGAAGACCCAGCTCGGCGAATAATTCGGCAGCCATTGTAGAACGGGAAATTTCTCGAGCACATAGCCCTTGAAGCCATACCTCAAAGACTTGGAGCCTGCAACGCCCGCATTCCAGATACGGCCGATGTTAGGATCAGAGTCAACAAAGTCCCTGGCTTTACGCCGAGCTTGAGTGAGGCTGGGCATGATCTCAGGAGCTATACATGACCCAAGCTAGTGTCTTCTTAGACGTGGCACTTGCCCGCAAATGTTTCCTTGTCATCTTCGTTTGAGCACTGCGGTGCTGTGCACCTGCAGGGTTTTCATTGCATATCGGATCTCGCCGTTTCGTGGTACCTTTTCTCCCATCGCGACTTCAGAGCACACGATAATGATGGGGACGTTGACGTGATAGCACGCCATTGCACTAACATGCGAGAGGCGGATGCAGGAGTGGACCCGTTAAGGCGCGACAGCAGGAATGTGGAAGGACTCCCGGTCATCGCAAAATCGGACTCCGGCATGGGTCCAGTTTGTAACTACGGACCATCTCCGCAACGCGGAGCAGCCATCCCGGGGCAAAAGAAAAAGCTCTGCCATGTCAGCATATCAATGGGCCCAGGACCAGATTCGAAGGTGCTGTGCAAATGGATCTATTCATACTTAGTGGACCTACTATTCGACAGCCATGAAGCAACTTTCCAAGGATGAGCTAGGCGCCCTGGCCGGTAGTTATTTCGCCCCCGAAGGCTCATACCAGTACATCAAGGAGCTGCCTTTCCTGGGAAGCTTACGATGCAATACTACCAGCCTCGTCGCGGGTCAATGGACAGAAGTTGTCATCACTTACACCGTTGGTGGTAGTGGACTGGCCGATGGAGCATGGATTAAGGGAACCTTCAAGTTCTACTCAGTATGTATTGCATCCTTAACCATTGAAGATCAACCAACGACTGCTGAACAGTGGTGCAGGACTGGGCTCTCTTACAGACTTCAGACCAAAGGGACGATAACTATGTATCTGCGGAATACGAACCAGGCGAGCTGCTGCCGTCGCAGACGCCTGCTACGGTCCAGGGGCTATCAGTCCGCTTCGACCAAAAGGGACACGAGAGACCTTTTCAGAAGGCCATCATCATTGACATCGTCGATGGTTATCTGAATCCTGGGGATAAGATTGTCGTACGTATCGGCGATACACGGTTTGGCGCCAGAGGCACTCGAGTGCAGACATTTGTCGAAGAGGAGTTCCGCATGAGGTGGTACATCGACCCTGTTGGGACATCTCGATTTGCGCCCATCAAGCCGGACTTGTCTTTCAACATCCACAGTGGGGATATCGCGAAGCTCAAGGTCATCACGCCGAGGGTTGTTGGCCCCGGTGTAGACTTCCCAGTACATGTTCACACCGAAGATGTCTGGGGCAATGCCACAGTCAACCAATCTGGTCTTCAAGCCAAGATCAAGATCAACCTCGAGGGCGATGGGACCACCTTGGTTCATGCACAAGTGCCGTTGAGCACCGACGGATGGACTTGTGGTTCAGCTAGCATATCCTTAAAGGCTGAGGGAGAACATCTGGTGATCGTAACACTGGTGGATGCAAACGACATGGCCATCAGAACGCACAGAGACAAGATCTCTGTGAATAGCAGTCTTTCTATCCCCCGCCCGTTGTATGCTGATCTCCACGTCCACTCTGACGATACGGTCGGCACGAACTCAACCACGTACAATTTCTCCTACGCCCAAAAGATCGCCGGCCTTGATATCATTGGCTATACAGCCAACGACTTCAACATCACCAAGGATCGTTGGGAGCAGACACTTGACATCATCAAGGAAACCAACAAACAAGGTGAAGTCGTCATCTTCCCCGGCACCGAATGGTGCGGCAACTCAGCAGCAGGCGGCGACCACAACGTCGTGTTCCTCGACGACCCCTCAAAACCAATCGAGTTCCCGCTCGACAGGAACGGCAACGTAGCCAGGAGCTTCGAGTGGAACGAACACGGCCCGTCCGAGCTGCATCCAGGCGCGTGGCCTCTCGACGAGGTATACGCGACCTACGCGCACTCGCCCGAGTCGCACCTCCTGATCCCACATGTCGGCGGGCGCAGGTGCAACCTGGCGTGGCACCACCCGCGGCTCGAGCGGCTCCTGGAGATCGGCAGCGCGTGGGGCCACTTCGAGTGGCTGCTGCAGGACGCCGTGCGGCGGGGCTGGAAGATGGGGGTGTGTGCCAACTCGGACGAGCACCGGGGCCGTTGTGGCGGCGGTGTACCCGGCACGGCGGTGTTTGGAACAAAGGGCGGCCTGACAGGCGTTCTCGCCCCGTCGTTGGAGCGTGAGGCGGTCGCTAAGGCACTCAGGGCTCGCCATACGTTTGCCACGACTGGCGAGAGGCTTGTTGGCCTGGCCTCCATTGACAGCGAGGGATCGATCCAGGGTGACGATGTGCGAGTAAGCTCTCAGGGCGACATGAGTCTTGACTATGCATTCTATGGGTCAAGTGGGTTCTCCTCGATCGAGGCTTGGGATGCCACTGGTATCATCTGGCAACGCGACTTGCGGTCTGAACTTAAACCGTCACTTCCGGGCTCGCAGGTAAAGAAGATACTTGTGGTCAAATGGGGAGGTGCCAGACTTTATGACCGTTACAGGGAGGGGGTATGGGCCGGGAGCATTACAGCAAATGGGGAAGCCAAGATCAGCAGCATCTAGCCCTTTGGCGGAGTTCTCGATATCCCGGAAGAGGTTGTGGAACGGAGAGCAGACAACTCTGTGATGTTCGAAACTCGTACCAGCGGTGATTTTGACGGGGTGCTGGTGTCTTTCGAAAGCGACGAGAGACTGCCGAGTGGTGTCAAGATCCAGGGCACGCTTGGCGGGTACGTCAAGGTTGGGGATCCCCTGAAGGGCAATCCACACAAGCAGCAGCCTAAATTCGAATTTGAAGCTTCAACTGAGGACCTTGGGAAAGACGGCGGCAAGAGGTGGGAGATTGCTGGGGGTGCTGGGCTTTTTATCAGTGCTGAGCTGGTTGACGAGGTCCCTTTGCCGACTCATGCAACGGGAGCCGTGTCCATTTCTGCCCAGGCCCCAGGCAAGCACCAGGCTGTGTACCTTGTTGGGCGAGAGTGGGACGGTGGAAAGGTCATCACAAGTCCGCTGTTCCTGGAATGGACTTGACGGAGATGGCGGTGATATAAAAATTGAATCGAAGTTCATGCAACTCCACGGCGTGTGGAAGTCCCTTGGAAGCTAGCGGTTAGCGTTCCGTTGTGGTCAAAGGCGCCTAGACCACAAGTGCCGGAACCCACTGACCCACTGTCTTGGCGCAACAAGCGCCGCACAGGTCCGCAATCCAAGGCCCTGCTAAACGCGAGCTCCACCTCTCAATCTGATGACTTCAACATCTCATTCCTAACCTAAACTTTTTCATTCTACTTCTGGTTCTAGCTGGAGCACCCACCCTGACACACCAACACATTCACAACATGGATCGACGGCGGCACCCTCCAGTGCCCACAGTACGCGAGGTGGTTCCCGGTGCTGGCGTCAACATCGTGCTCAAAGCCGACCAGCCAACGGGCCGCACCGTGCAGGGTGTCATCGGCGATGTCCTGACGCGTGGGAACCACCCGCGCGGCATCAAGGTGCGGCTCACAGATGGGCGGGTAGGGAGAGTGCAGACCATGTCTTCGTCTGCTGCGTCGACCTCCGGGCAATCCAGTGGCCCCACCACCCTCGCTGGAGGGACGCAGGAAGCCATGATCCATGAGGGCCACGCCTCAGGGAGCCGCCCGATCAGAGGTCGCCGGCGAGACGGTGGCGGCGATATCAGATACAGTGAGGACCAAGACCTGCCTCCGCAGCAGATCGGGCTCGATGCCTATGTCAAGGAGAAGAAGCCCAAGAAGCGCGGGCGGGGCAAAGGCAACAGCAGCACCAGCGGTGCCAGAGATGCCGAGGAAGATCTGCCCGCCGGTGACTCAGCCACCGACTCCCGAGCGCCGCCTGAGTCGGCGACTTGCCCAGTCTGCGGCGAATTCGAAGGCGACGAAGCGGCTGTTGCCCACCACGTCGCCTCTCACTTCGATGAGGCAACCACGTGACGTGATAAAGGCCGCGGCGAGTCACCTGGGAGGTGTACATGGGACATGGGTCACCCAGCCCGGAATACCTGGATGTTTCCTTGTAGTTCCTCTCGCTGAAGGCGACATGCCCTCTCAATATTGGCTAAGTGACTAGATCCACTTGGACACAAGCCGACACGCGTCCACCAGTTGCACATGGAGATGAGCACTTGGAGCCACGAGGCTTTGAGCCAGCCTCCCATTCGCCTCCGGCCAACCACCGCCCCCCAAAAGTTGAGACCAGACCCCGCCTTGACACGCCAGAGGCTCTAAATCAGCAGCAAGCAGGACAAGAGTCCACATTCGACGGCGCACAACGATTTCCGATAGAATGACTACATCAAAGGATACCCAGCCTATGCATATGTCCTTGGCGAATGCATCAGCCGAACACTTTCACGAAGCGTTCCTCTATCCTTTCTAACATGAATCCAACAACAATAAGACAGCACCCCTGAAATTGCTGCCGGTCAATCCTTGAGTCTCATCTCCTCGTCGGTGAACTGTTCCCTCCACTCACCGGTGCAATCGAGAACCACCAATGTCATCCTCAACGCTGAACGGGGTGCCAGGCATACGTGCCGCTTCTTACCCGCATCGATCTCGCACATTCTTGGGCGAGACCGTCGTATAATTGCAGTGCCGGCCATGGTCGCAAGCACACGAGTAGGACAAGCCCTTGGACGACCCGAAGTTTCTGATGGTAGTTGTTTCATCGGGTATTGACTTTCCACATTCTGCAGGCCAAGCCATGCCGTCGAGCTAATGTGACCTGCAAGAGCATAGCGGACCGGTCGAGCACCGTTGGCAAGACTAGCTCGGCCCTCGGTTATATGTGATAGGTGCTTGCTCAGTTGACCGCCCTGTCCAGTGCTCAAGAGCAGGCCGGTTTTTGAGCAGGGACACTAATGTAGGAGTTGGGCATGTGTGTACCCTCGACTTTATCAAGAAGTTCATTTCTGTTAAGTTCATGATGAGCGCTGGTGATTCAATCAAACATTAATTGCATGAGATAACTCGCCAATTATATCTGCAGACTGCCTCCTTCTGAGTAGCTCAAGATTACACTGCTCATCGCTTGTTCAACCCTTGCAATGTATTTACTAAACCTGGCAGTTAATCACCGCCATTTTCACGATCGAAATGCCCCTCGACGTTATTGAGAAGCATGCAGATTTAGCAGCTCCCCAGCTGCCCTCGCCGTTCCTGTTGACCGCCCAACACCCCCTCCCCATTCGGATCGTTCATCGGCACCGTGCATGTGGCCAGTACGCCTCAACACAATCGCAGAAGGCTTGACGGGCCATTGCGTTGGTTCTTGATCCTATCGGCATCGTATTGTTGTCCGCTTCGATAAGCTGCGCTAACCGTTGCTTAGGCAGCCATTAGTTAAGAGCACTACATCTAAGCTCCGTGACGGCGGCAAGACCTCGTGCGCTAGATGATCGCGTTGTTGCGTACACTGACTCTTGTTTACTCCATCTTTCTGTATTTATCTGCGTTGTACACCATACACGCTGCTGAAGCTCCACCACCTTGCGCATGACCGCCAGCTTTAGTATGATTGTCAAACTCGAGGCGGCATGGTATCCCACGGACATTTACTCAATGGCTTCTGATGTCACTGTTCAATCTCGGTCATAGTCGGTTACACGGTCTCCCAAGATTTTGCTGCAAATTTATATACCAGCCGTGTTGCTTGCCTGATGTGTTGTTTAATCTTGGGACTCCGACGTCCGATTTTACGAGCGCCTGTCGTGCGCGTCATCCATGGTGATCTCAGAGCGCTCACTGCTGATCTCATCATAACAGCTCATTTCCGTGCTTCCTCTCTATGTAATAATTCCAGGCATCATGTCTGCCAACAACTCACCAGACCGGAGCGAAAAGGAAGAGCCAAAAGCCTTCAGCTCGAGGTGCCTGACGGATGACAATGTCAGCGCTGAATCTGTCGTCGAGATCGATGGTTTCAAAGTGCTGGGTCTATCCTCGGAGGACATTGAATTCTACACTGGGTTTTCTGCCCAAAGGCGAAAACGTGTTGTGCGCAAGGTAAGGGACACTTATCCGCAGAACCTCGCTCCACCCTCAAAGCTGGTACTGACCACGACCGCCGGACCAAGGTTGACATCCGCCTCGTCCCTGTGTTGACCATCCTGTACCTGATAGCTCACATCGACCGCGCAAACATCGGCAATGCCAAGATCGAGGGCTTGATCGAGGACCTAGGGCTCACGGGTGCCGAGTACAATATCTCTTTGGCAATTTTCTTCGTGCCTTACATTTTGTTTATGTTGCCAAGCAACATTGTTCTGAAAACTTTCCGCCGACCATCTTTCTACATTGGGACCCTGATGACTCTGTGGGGCGTCGTGATGACCTGCACTGGCCTGGTCCACAACTTTTCTGAATTGGTTGCAACCCGAATTCTCCTGGGGATGTTAGAGTGAGAACCCCATCCCCTCTCCCCCCCCCCCTGGCACGGAATTCGACAACCTCGGAGTACCATTCGGACGCCGCTGACCTCTATACGCTAGAGCTGGCTTCTTTCCCGGGGCGGTCTATATCTGCAGCCGGTGGTACATGCCAAGAGACCTAGCAAGCCGTGTCTCGTATTTCTATTCCGCGGCTGCTTTGTCAGGGGCGTTTTCGGGTCTCCTGGCTGGTGTCATTGCTCAATTGGATGGTTATGCTGGTTACAATGGCTGGCAATGGATCTTCTTGGTTGAAGGTTCTGCCACTGTGGTTCTAGGACTAGCTTGCTTCAGTCTCTTGGTCGACTCTCCTAGTTTGTCTCGCCGATGGCTGGATCAGGAGGAGATACGATTTCTTGAGCTTCAGGTCTTCATCAAACAAGGCGGCAAGTCGCAGGAGGTGCAGGAACAAGAAGCCCGAACTTGGGTGGAGGTGAAGAATGTCCTGAAGAACTGGAGGGTCTACGTCCATGGGTCGTTCCTGATCGTAAATTCTGCATGTTCGTACGGTAAGCAGCACCGCCATACAATCGATACCCGAGCGGCATCACCCCACGCCGTTGACTTCATCTCCGATGATTTAACTGACTTGAGCTCTAGGAGTCAAATTTACGCTCCCAACCATTACGAAGACCATGGGTTACAGCAATATGAACGCTCAGTTTCTATCTGCACCCCCTTACGTCGCTGGGGCTTTGTCTGCTCTCGTCTGTGGCAAGCTGTCTGACCGATTCAACTGGAGAATGCCCTTCATCGCAATCCCGAGCGCTTTCATCTTGGTCGGATACTCGATAATGCTTTCCCTGAACGGGGCGATCTCTACCAACGCCAGCTCGGTTTGGCCCGCCATTGTCATCGCCGTGGTCGGCATATACCCGATCCAGCCAGCAACACAGGCATGGAATGCAAACAATATCGCGCCATCCAGCCGGCGCGCAGTCGCTGTGGCCTTGACTTCCTCTGTTGGAAGTGTAGGCGGCATTGTTGGTAGCTTCATGTACCTTGAGAGCCAGGCGCCGCGTTACGAGACCGGATTTGGGCTCAGCCTGGCTTTCGGGGCTTATGCAATGCTGATAGCCTTGGCTTTGGAGTGGAGTTATATGATTTCCAACGCAAGGAAGGCAAAGTTGGTCAGCAGCACACCACATGACGACGCGAATTTGGTCGCTTTGGGGGATAAGAATCCGCTGTTCAAGCATGTGCTGTAAGCACTTGCTGGGGCTGGAGTGGTGGACAGTTCGTACCCAGTAAGCAGCTAGATCGGATTGGTCAAGGACGGTAGCACTGCATATGCACCTCCTAGCCACTTTTTTTCATATAAGGGCCGGCAGCATTTCTTCCGTGCCGTTGTTTAAGCTCTCCTGGTGCTTCCACTGTTAATTACTACGCTTTGCGCTCGTTGGATACACGCTTCGTTGTTATACCAAATTACAACTGCCTACGTATGCAAACCATGCAAAATGGGCCCCATTGAGCATAAAGTTGATCTTGTGGTTATTGGTGCTGGTACGTTACGCTGCAAAAATGGAACTCGGGTTTTGTTCTTCACTCAGCTAAACTCAAGTGTCAAACAGGTTGGGCAGGGCTAGTAAATGCAAAGACGTACCAGCTTTTGCATCCTGATCATTCTGTTGTGCTTTTGGACCAGAACGAGAGTCTTGGTGGCACAGTAAGAGAGTTTTCAAGGCATTTCCTTCTCTCTGAGTTATCCATTATCTTTCACGCAGTTTGCGTCTTGGAATTACTCCTTACACTTACACAGCCTTTCCTTGGTTCGTCGTGGTCGGTACCCAACGGCGCGGGCAGGAACTCTTTCGTTGATTACGTTTGCCTCAGTAGGCATTGATCTTCTTTCGGCAGCTGACTTCACAAACTATAGTGGGCCAAGGAAAGGCTGTATCCTGGCTTGAAGACCAATAACCTGGTTGGCACTCTAGAGTACCCAGACTTTCCTCTGGTTCCCGAGGAATTTGGGATAGAAAGAGGCCAACATATTCCTGGGCCTGTTATCCACGAGTATCTGTCTCGCTATGCCGAGAAGTTTGAGATCGCAGATAAAATCTGGCTCAAACACGCAGTGGTGAGTGTTGAGCATAAAGACGAAGGCGGGTGGATTGTAACAGCCAAAGCCGGAGACCACACCATCAAACTTGGGGCAGCCAAGATTGTTGTTGCCACGGGGCTGTCATCGGAAGAGTTCTTGCCAAGGTTCGACGGCGAGGAAACTTTCGGTTCACCCATAGCACACACGAAACATTTTCCGAAATACTCGGATACTCTGGACACAGCGAAGTCTGTGACAGTTCTCGGTGGACCAAAATCAGCCTGGGACGCAGTCTACGCCTATGCATCGAAGGGAGTCCAAGTCGACTGGGTGATACGAGGTATGTTCAAAGCACAATCTGCCAGGCATCTTCACGAACCTAACATTTCCATAGAAAGTGGTCATGGCCCAATCTGGCAAGCACCACCATTCGTGACCCCTTTCAAGAAGTGGCTCGAGAAACTTGTGAATACTCGTCTGTTGACCTGGTTCAGCCCGTGTATATGGGGATATGCAGATGGTTTCAGCGGCATTAGGCGATTTTGGCACGAAACAAGGATTGGTCGTGCGATCACCCGGGGGATTCTGGTGCGTGTTGGGCAACGACATCGTTACGCTGAACCGATACGACAAGCACCCGGAGACGAAGAAGTTGAAACCATGGACCGATCCGTTTTTCAGTGGCACGGCCTTCTCGATCTTGAACTATGATACGAATTTCTTCGACCACGTCATGAGCGGCACTGTCAAGATTCATATAGCAGATCTGATTGGGCTTTCCCCATCGACTGTGCATCTCTCTGACGGGACTTCATTCCAAACAGAATTGCTTTTGTGTGCTACTGGTTGGAAACATGTACCACCCCTGAAGTTCCTGCCCGAGGGAATCGAGAAAGAGCTTGGGCTGCCTCATGTGCCATCGGATGACGAGCCTATCTGGAAGCCGAACCTCGTCCATAAGGCTGACGAGGAAATACTCAGGCGCTTTCTCGCCTGCTTGACCAGCCAAAACTTCAGAAACTCGTCCCTTTGGCTGAAGCCAAGGGGCTATCTACTCGTATCCAAGACGAGGTTGACCCCTCCAACCACACAAAGCTTACGCCTTTTACACTCTACCGATTCATAGTCCCGCCACCCCCGAGATTCTTCGCAACCAGGGACATCGCCTTCGCGGCGTTTGCTACCAACTTCTCCACTGCGACATCGGCCCACTTGCAGGCGCTATGGATCTCGGCTTTTTTCGATGGGGATATCGCAGTGCAAGGACAGGATAACGATACGCATCATGAGGCCACAGAGAAGATTAAATATGATACGCTTCTTCACAGTAGGTTCGGAAGGTGGCGTTATCCGGCTGGTCGTGGCAGCCACTATCCAGACTTTGTCTTCGACGCCGTGCCATACTTTGATCTGCTACTGGGAGACCTGGGCCTAGAGAACCATCGCAAAAAGGGGTGGTTCGCTGAGATTACAGACCCGTACGGGCCAGCTGATTACAGAGACACGGTCGCCGAGTGGGTTGCTAAGAGAGATGCTCTGGTTTCTGGATTGCGATGATATCGGTGTTTCGAGGAATACGTTGTTTAAGTGTGACTCAGGCTGAGATTCAAAAAATTATGCTTGCATTTCCGGGGGTATTATTGATCTCATTGTGCACTTGTTCGCCAACACTATTCACTGACCACCAACATGCCATTGAGCAGATGATGGAGTAAAGGATCGCAACTAGTACCAAATAAAATAAGAAGCAGTGTTATTTTGCCAAATATCTCAAACGAAATTTACGGAGGATGCCCGGTCGGAGGATGAGGCTCTCGTCCTCTGATGTTACTTGGATGCCTCGGACGGAGAAGAACACCAATGACTTTTTGCAGGGCTACAAGCTATGCCGGGAGCAGTAACAACAACTTGGTTCAAAACGAAAAGGAAATGTGATGTCTCGACACTGTTGCCGTTGTCCAGCAGACATCGATGTATAAAGAGGAAGCAAGGTCCCTTTCGACTTCTGGTATTTCTGCTCATCATCGCGCCTCTCAAGCTATGTCTTTGATCCACCTTTTCTGGAAACACCTCAGCGGCTTCCGGCTTCTTGATCAACCCAAGCTGTTCCGAAACTCCCGCGACGGTCTGAACCATGTACAACCCCAAACTTGTCACCCTCGGCCTCGCGGCTGCTACGGTCCTGCCTGCCATGGCAATGCTCCCCGTTGAGAAGCGGTCTGATTCTGCTGTCGACCTTGGCACCCTCCAAGACATGAACAGCTTCTTCGAGCTCCTGGGCTTCGACGGGAACACCACCTGGGAGACCATCGAGGAGCCTGAGACGCACGACTGGGCCGCGATTTCGGCCGAGGACGCCGCGAGGGTTTCCGACACGACGAGCGATGCGCCGACCCCTGAGAATATTGGTCTTGCCACCCGCCAGGAGGCGAAGTGCTCGGACACGACCGGATTCACCCAGATCCTCTGTGAGAACATGCCCACCCGTGCGGCCTGGTGGGCAACCGGTGGCGCAATGGCCATCTGGTATGAGCCCGAGGTCTTGGTCCGCTGGACCCATGCCATCGCCCACGTCATCGTCACTGCGCGAGGCCTCCGGCAGATGAAGCCTGGCAACGAGCTGGGACGGCGAGCCGGCGAGGCCAAGCAGTACAAGTTCTCCGTGCCCGCCGCGCTCAACTCATCCGACAGTGCCGTCGCCGCCCGCTCCACCACCAACGAGGACGGCAGCGAGATGTCCTTCGTGAACCACTACATCTTCGAGGAGGAGACGGGCATCGTGCACTACCAGGGCACCAGGGCGGCCCTGGCCGCGGAAGAGCAGGCGCCGTCGGCGCTTCGCGGCGTCTCGGCCGAGAAGCGCCAGACCCACTCGTACAGAATCGTCATCCAGGCCACGGCGCTGTCGTCCGCCACCACCCTCGATGCCCAGGGCTGCGTCAGCAGCATGGTGAAGTGGCACATCAACCGCGCCACCGAGAGCAACCGCTTCAAGTGCGTGCCCCTCGACAACCGCGGGAGCTGGAAGTTCGCTCTTCACGTCAACATCAACAAGGGCTTGAACAACAACGGAGAGAAGGGCGAGTGCTGTGATCTTTAAGGGATTTCTCTGTGTGTGGATACTCAACCTTCCGTCAGCCTCGCGGACACTCTCGATTCCCCCTCCAGAATAGACAAGAAAGGCTGTGGTTATATATTTAGCGACATGTGATAAATCAAACTATTGTAATTGGGCCCTAGCATTAATATTCCCCTTACTTTCCACTGTCGTTGTGTACCTACCGTCTCCGGGGACCCTGATATTTTGATAAACTTCATTCCGTAGTTTGTGCACAAGTGTATGATTACGCTATCTTTCTTCGTTTCTTTGTTTGTTGCATAGTGAGTACTGATCAAAAACATCAGAACAGATAAATTGTTCAGGAACAAGCCCACATCATAAATGAAGTAGACGACGCAATTTCAAGAATGTGCGAACAGCGCTAAATAAATATCCAAGACGGTGGTGGATCTAAAAGGAAAACTCTACGCCATTCAGCTCTGGGAACCAATTGGAAAATTCCTAAATATTCAGCTGCAAATCAAAAGAGCAAAATGAAGCATGGGAATAGATGAGACGCGGCTTCAGCGACCTCTGAGATGGGAGTAACTGAGGCTTCTCTCAAATGAGCCACAGCATCCCAAGGGGCTCGGCCGTGAATCAAAATATATCATTGATCGATTATCCGTTGCTCATCTATGGAGTCTTCTGCATGATCTCCCTCTCAAGAACCCTGCCGAGATGTTCAGCTTCGGCTGTGGGTGGAATGAGACGAAGTGATACATGACGATTGCTTAGCCCGTCGACTGTGACACACACCTTAGGCAGTTCCATATCATAGCCCACGCCGACCTTCCGCAATGGTGTCTACGCCACGTCTCTCTGCCTGTACCCTCGAGTATGGCCCTGCCATTGCCATTCACGTCTCACACACAGTCCTTATAACCAAACATACAATAAGGCCATTGCATTAATACCGATATCCCCACATAACTGGGATATGCTAATCTTGTATTGTGTATAGTACACCAGTTCCCAACGGTGGAAGATATTCCATTGCTGTGGTGATGTTGGGACCACCCACATTTCCTGCAGCGGCCGGTGTCGGGCAGGCGTCTGCCATGATCTTCAAGGTGGAAGAGGCGTTCCAGCCTTTTGCAAAACATTTACATCTTGCAATGAGGGGTCAATCCAAACAGAATCGTTGGTAGGACCACGAGCTATGTGGTTTACCAGCGTGAAGGCCGATGAAGAGAACAAAACTGTGTCGGCTTCCGGCGGTGTGGGAGGCGCAATAACCCCCCATGGTCCCCATGAACATTGGTCGGCCGATGCATTCGCCAGGACGTAGTGACAGTGGGTTTCCGAAGAGTTGTCAAACGGTAAGCCGGACTCGGAGTATAGAATGTCCTCTGGACTCGGGAATGTGTAATTAAGAATTCCGGTGTTGCGGTCTTGCCTCGGTCACAAGGCGTGAGTACAAGAAATGGAGTTTCAACACTGTTATGGACGACTTACAGATACCTCCGAACAGCCAATAGGCCTGCCTTGAAAATCTGAGTTCCGTTAGGTTAGTAGTAGGTACTGACGCGCTTTGCATGTCACCCCAGCAGTACAGTTGCAGCTGGATTGCAGGCGTGTCTTGCAGTTCAGTCCACTGCACGACCATAGTGCCGGAGAGACCTATCGTCAGGTTTGGCTGGGAGCCTCGTTGATGGCCGGTCGCATTTGGAGGGAAAACGAAAGTAGCAGTCTCACTGCCACGGCTGTGTACGGCTGAGCTAAGCGAAGCCAGAACGATGGGCATGGTCGAAGAAGCTCGCATCGTGTTCCTAAGCTGAAGAGGCAGCTGTAATTGTCCAGAGTACGCGGCATCCGGCGCCAGCAATGGTCCATCATCATGCTTTTGTAGGCTCTCTGATGCAGCTGACTGGATTTACCGCCCCCCCAGGTGAATATCCTTTTTCGTGTTTCAGTCACAGACACTGTTATCTTCCGTCCTACTGTATACCCGATCCTACTGGTTCGGTCGGTGGCACAGCTTATATTGGGAAGCTTACTGTGCAGCATCCACATATTCAGCTGTAGCCATCAGTGGTTCACGTTTGGTTTCCGCTGGTAGATCTTGGAAACGATCAATTCAGCTGCTGAAAATTCACACCCGAGAATGCAGAACACCCTCCTTGCTCAAAGCCTTGTACGTTACTGCACCAAAGGTGTAGATAATTATATATATATATATATATATAGATATTGAACGACCCCCACCGTTTAGCAGCTGCTCGTCCGTCTTCTCAAATTTGAGCTGCCGCGATGATCACTGCGACAGTCTTGACGGAATGCCAGCCATGGATCCTGACTCTCCGCTCCTCCGGCAGATCCCGTCACGAACAGCAACACACACATCGCACGACGCTGGCTCCCGAAACGAGTTTGACGCTTCGACGCTGATGGATGAGGGCGTCGTGCCAAAGATATCTCAAGGTGCGAACCGTGAGGTTCAAAGCGAAGGCGCAGAGACGAGCGAAGATGGAACACCATCGCTTGGAAAGAACGGCCCCCTCGAGAAGGAACAGGGGCATGCCTGGCATCCTGGAATTTGGGCAAGATTCCCACATCGAGCAGTTTGGTCAGTCGTCGGCTGCCTGGCTGCGACAGCCGCGTCCATAATCATCCTGTTCGAGTCAGACGGGCAGCCAACAGAGAAGTGGGCCGTCTCACCTACAGTTTATCTCGCCATTTTGACTACCGTCACCAACGTTCTGTCGAAGGTCGCCTTCCGTGACGGTGTCAAGACTGCCTGGTGGCGGAAGGCGCTGCACGGAGGCACGGTCCGCGACTTGCACACACGTTGGTCGCATGGCGACGGGGTGTGGTCTGCTCTGATGGCAGGCCGGGACTTCAACTACATCGCATTGGCGAGTATGGCTGCGACCTTCATTGTGGTGGACCAGCCGCTGATCCAGCGTGCGTCGAGGGTGGCTGTCGTGCAGAGGACGTCGCCAGTCACTGTGACGGCCAACATTGCGCCCGAGATTCCCTGGGGTTTCACGAGCTTCGAGTGGCCGGGGGGAGATCCTGCCATGAAATCACCCATGATCACGGCATTCAACGCGTACTCAGGTCAGGCCTCTATCAATGCTGGGTTCTCAGGGTGCGAGGACCTTTGCACCGGGTATGTCGAGGCAGGCGGGCTCGCGGCACGTTGTAATACGACGAGCGGGCCTATCAGGTATCTGTCCGTCGTCAACTCCCTCTTGATGGGTGGCATGAACGAATCAGCTTTTAGCGTTGAGTTTGATTTCCCCGAGGAGGGTGGCTATACGGACCCACCATCAATGGCCATGAGAGTTGCCTATTCAGAAAACGCAACCGACTGGGACCCTGTGGTCAACAACTATTCAGTCTGGGGTGGGCAGCTGCCGTGCTTCGCAGTCCGCACGGAGCGCGTGTGCCGTCTCGCCTCAGCCACTCTGCGATATCCCGTCACCATCAACCGAAACAGCGTAACATTGGGGAACATGCTTGACGACGGCGAAGTCCAGGCACTACAGGCGCCCTATGTCAATTTCAGCACCGGCGACATCAATTCACAATGGACCCTAGGAGGAATCTATCTTGCGGCCAGGATGATGTTTGCTTCCAATGCTACGTACAGCGACGAAGGCAAGAGAGGGAACAAAATGGCTCTCCCAGACACCCTGTCCAATCAGTTCCTCGCACCAGATGGCGTCTCCCACGACAACGCACAGCCGTGCATGTCGACTTGGCAAGACCCAACAAGACACATCCTCACCGAACTGAATAAGCTCGCCTTCCTGGTGTCCCTGCAGGCCGCGGACGCCAACTACCGAAACACGTCGGCCCCTCCAGCCCCACAGCTGATCAGCATGGACCAGACGAGCAGCGTCGCGGTCTACCAGACGGACTACAGGTACCTATTTGCCAGCGTCGTGCTCATCGTGGTGTTCGTCGGGCTGACGCTGCCCACGTTTGCGGGATGGTGGGAGCTCGGCCGAGAGGTCACGCTGGATCCGATCGAGACGGCCAAGGCCTTTGACGCGCCCCTGCTAAAGGGAACGGGTTCGAACGCGCCCCTGAAGGATCTGATAAGGACCGTTGGAATACGGAGGGTGGAATGGGGTGAAATGGAAAGCCATGACGCCGCGGCCCCGCGTGGTGATCTGGCGGCAAGGCGAAGAGTGCTCGTCTTTGCTGATCCGGACGAGGTCGCTCCACCCAAGACGGGTGTATTCTTCACTTGAAGGGTGGTGCTACAAGGTCAAAGAAAACAACAACTAGTTACTGCTCTTATCTCTGAGAGGACAGGTGGCGGATATAAGCTTTCTTCGAGTTCACAAACATTATCTACTGTTCCGCAAACAAGATGCGTGTGAGAAAGATCATGAATTTATTGTTGTCCGGCCTGCAAAGCGCTGTCTGTGATCATGAAGCAACCTGTTAGTTTCACGTAAATGTGCTGACGGCGCAACATGGGAACCGATGCTTTTCAACAGTGGTAGCATTCACCATGAGAAACTAGAGTGAAACTGTGGTCTTCAAAACAAGGAAACACATATGGATATTCGTTCTTGAGCGTTTCGTTTGCTGGCTCACACCTTGCAACAAACTGCGTAAACACAAAACCAGTAAGCCCACTGCGTTCATTTCGAAACACCTGGCCGACTTCCTGCATAAAACATTTTGCCATGCTGTTTCCTCGTGATAACAATGCTAAGTCCGTTCCTGTTTTCTGCAAGTCAACCACTCTCGACACATTGCAAAAGGCCTAAGGCTAGCCATAGGTTTTCTCGCCTGCCTCATCATTGGCCTCCTTTGCTTTCTGAAAATGATGCGTTACCGAGACAGCAGTGTCGATAAGACGGTAGGTCAGAGCGTCCTCCTTGAAAATTGCCATTAGCTGCGCTGTCCTCATGAAGTTCTTGATCTGACTGCCATTCAGCTTCAGCTCAGCCAGCTTGTCGATTTCTTCGTCAGAAACCCGGTGAGGTTGCGTCAGCTTGCGGTGCAACTCCTCTGCAGCCTGGGCTCCATTTGAATTTCCATTTGAATTTGAGGAGGAGGGCTGAGGGCTGAGGGCTCTTTTTGTCGAGAATTTGGCCACTGCATCAAGAGGCGGAGCTGGCCTCTCTCGTGCATTTGCCTGAGCGACATCGTGTCGCCTGAGCAACGTCTCCCAGATGCCCTTGCGACTATTCCTGTCAAGCTCGGGGTACTCCAAGGAGACATTAATACGGGACTGGAATGCTGGGTCGATTGTTGATACTCGATTGGTTGTCAGGAACATGATTCCCTCGTAGTACTCCACTACGCGTAAGAAGACAGACACGATCCTGTTGCGTTCCAACTCGTGGTGGCTTCTTTCTGCTAGCAGCACATCCGCTTCGTCCAGGACAATGATTGCCCCCCACCGGGAACACATAGAAATGAGTCCGCGCAGTCTGTCCTCGATGGTTGTTGGATCCAGTCCCAGATCACCAGGAGTCAGGGCGAAAAGAGGAACTTGCATCTTCTCGGCGACTGACTCTACAGTGAAAGTCTTTCCAACACCAGGAGGACCACGTAGCAGGACAAGGACACCACGGCCCTTTCCCTCGATTAGATCGTCCGTTTCATTCCGGTAAGACTGGTGGGATGAAGCGATGCCGGTTATGAGGTCCTTCTGCTCGTCTGCGAGCCTGAGGTCGGAAAATGCCAGCTCATTGAAGGTAATGTCGGAGACGCCGCTGACGGTCAGGACCAGCCATTTCTTCTCGTTCAGTGCGTACCCTCTGACGTAGGGAGAGCAGAGGAGTTTCCAATAGTCGCTGAGCTTTGGGCGGTTCTGCTCGCTGAAGGCATCTTGTGGTACGCCCCCTTCTCCGAAAGCCTCCGTTGCAAAGCCTGAAGCATCTTTTCTGCGACCCTCGAGCCGATCATCGAGCTCCTTTGTCCATTGCGGAGGAATGTATTCGTCACCAGACATAGCAGGCGTCATGGATGGAGGGAAACAGTTAGACTGGGTGGGGTTGCACCGATTGAAGCCGAATGTATCGATGACCACACGTCCATTCACGTTGGACTGCTCTATGCTGCCGTTCCTGTTGCGGCGAAGTCCCAGACCGTCGTAGTGACGGAAGTGACTCCCAGCCAGTGACTCAAACTTCCCACCGCGCTCAATAAGTTTCGCCATCATCTCCCCCGCTTGGGCGTGCCTTGTCATAGGAAATGCTTCCAGGGCGTTGATTGACTTGGTGCCTGTGAACCCTTTCACGTAGATGGCTGTTTCCTGCGAACCGAAGCGATATCCATCGAAGTCGGCGAACTTGCAACTTAACTCAAAAGCACGCTCGTCGTTCCGTGTCAAATATCTCCAATTGCGGAACTCCATCGCCCAGTCTTCACCCTCTTCCGCGGTGAAGACAACGCTTCCCGGCTCGAATATCATCCAGAGATGCTGAAAAGTGATGACACCGTTGGTATTGTCTTTGAAAAGTTCGTTAGCGAACACCACACTGGCTTGTCAAGTTCAAGATGGTGAGGCACGAACAATCCTTCATCGCCTCGGCAACGTCCGCGAACTCCTCCTGGAGCAGGTCGTCGAGCAGCCTGGCATGCTGGATGCGATCATTCAACTCGGAATCATCATCTCTGTCCCCGCGTTCCTCTTGCATCGACTCGATTGCCTTCCGCAAAGCCGGCCAACGGTGGAGGAGTGGTTGAAATCTTGGGGCAGTCAGCGTGTCTCTCCAGCCTTGTATGATTCGACATTGAAGTTGACCTACGGGCTTCGGAATTCCAAGGGCTTTTGAGATACCGTGACGCCTGGGTAATTTTTGAACACGTCTTGTAGTAATAACTTGATGAGGGGACTTTGCACGGTGATGGAGTGGAGCGCGAGCTTTCTTTCAGGATCGCCCCAGACACGGGTACGGCGGATGATTAGAGCCCATTCACCAGTCTCGAGATTTTCCTCAGGGTCACGAGCATCCTGAGGATACTCAGTCTGCCACAGGAATCGACCAAGCGCGTCTTTCTTGCCGGCGTACATGGGCAAGGCGTTGGGCGTCATGCCGAAACCCAATTTCGGGTCCGATGGCGACGACACCTCTGAGATATCCATGGGCTCAGAAGGTTTGCTTTCGTTGTCGGCTCCATGTGGGCCGCTCGCCGTGACGTTTTCTGCCATGTTGCCGTGCTCAAACTTGGAAAGGTTCAATCGGGGTGGCCTCTGAGGACCGACGTGCGGGCCTTTGGCGGTGATAAAGGGATATCTGACGAGTACTAGCGCTCAAAGCAACAGTAATACTTGAGAGAATGGTAAGACGGTGACCGAATTTATGCAGCTCCAAGTGCAAAACAGTGTGAGTAGAATTGATCGCCTGGTGTGAGAAAAATGGGAAATGTCCAGAATTGCGAGAGGATGAAGTGAGCGAGTCTGCGAGAGTGGGTCGGCCAGCTGTTGATCGCAGGCGGAGGTCGCTTCCTGAACAACACCACGCTCTGCCGTGAAAGAAGGAGCGTTCCCAGCGCAGTGTTGGCCGCAGGTGCAGTCCGTATACGTTGAGGCAGGCGATCTCGGCACTCCGAGTCACTCCGAGCACCACAAAACCCACCTGCGATATGTACAGCGTAGTACATAAGTATTGTTGTAGGTTTGGTTCGCCTTTCAGCTTTCGATCACCGATTGAGGGATGTAAACAGAATTCGCTTCGTCACTGCAGGGAAATGCTTTTGAAGTTCACATGTCATAGCAAGCTTCCGCTCACACGCATTGTATTACATTTGGTCCGCGTTGAGCTCGTCCACGATGTGTACATCTCAAGATGTCTAGAAGGCGACAAAATCAAAGCCCACGTGGACGTGCTTCCAGCTTCCTTTACATACCGAAAGTACCAGGTAGCGGCGAAGCATCGAAAGGAATGGTCTTGGCCGACAGACCCCTGTTTTTTCTTTTTCAGCATATGCGACGATATGTCTTCACAGTTCCCCTGGAAGTCAAGAAAGCGTGTTGCGACTGCTACATCGGAAGCGTCCAATTTGCTTTGATCGCTGCCAAATCTAACTGCTGTACTTACATAGGCATAGAAGTTGAAGACAGCTCCACCCGCTCTTCATGCTCGTCAAGCCTGTTGTATCCCCCATTATATCCCAAAGCCCGCTCGCGCTCCATGTAGCCCGGGTGGGTGCCCTGACCATAGGCCGGCGGGGTGTCGAGGTTCGCGTGTTCCTCGTCCTTGTTGTCCTTCTTATCATTCTTCTTGTCCTTGGTGAGCATCTTCTTGACCTTCTTCTTGATCTTCTTCAGGACCTTCTTTATGGCCTTCTCATTGTACTTGTCCTCCTGGCTCTGGCTGTCCTGCTTGCCGTCATTGTTCCTCCCCTTGCCCTTACGCCCGCGGCAGCAGAGGCACCAACATGCGCCCAGGGCTAGCACCGCGAGCACGACTACCACTATGGCGGCTATGGCGCCGCCCGAGAGGATCTGGCGAGACGACAATATGCTTCACAACAATGCTGGCCCAGATGGCCCGTTCCAAGCCGCTTCGGCCGACCTTCGATGGGAACCAACCCCTCCCCCGCTTCAAAAAAGAAAAGAAAAGAAGGAAAAAAGGACAAACAGGCCTTGTCGGCACAGCTTGATCAGATTTATATCAAGCACAAGCTTTACCGTTGCCTACAAGCCTACTGCCATCGCGGGTCGGTTGGACGGGGGTTTGCTCCCCGCACCGGAGCCGCACCGGAGCCCAAGTGCACGATTGCCTCCGTCATTGACGGCTTTGGATCCGCACTCCACTCTGAGATGCGGCAGCTACTCGAACCACACTTTTCCAAGAACAGGCAATAAACTGCCAACTGTATTGCTCGACCCAGGCTTCTTCTGCCTGTGCAAACCTTCAAAAACATCAACTTGCTGCCTTCACAAGCTCAAAATGCCACAGCCAAGCCAGGACTGGGACGTTCTGGTTGTCGGAGGCGGCAATGCCGGCTTTAGCGCCGCCATATCTGCGGCGGAAGAACTTTCCCAATCCGGCTCAGAGCGTCCTCGGGTACTCATAATTGACAAGTGCCCCGAGTCGTGGGCGGGCGGGAACAGCTATTTCACCGCAGGCGCCATGCGCTGCGTGCACGGCGGCCTGTCGGACGTCTTGCCCCTTGTTAACAACGTCGAGGCCGAGACGGCGGACAAGATCGACCTGGACCCCTACACTTCCGATGACTTCCTGAATGACATGCACCGCGTAACAGACGGGAAGTACGACAGGGAACTGGGCCGCAGGTTGGTGGACGACAGCAACGAGACGGTCAAGTGGCTTGCGGGTCACGGCGTCCGATTCCAGCTGAGCTTCAATCGACAGGCTTACAAGATAGGGGATAGGCACAAGTTCTGGGGAGGGCTGTGTCTGAAGACGCAGGATGGTGGGAAGGGACTCATGGAGGACCACCGGAGGGCGGCAGAGAAGGTGGGTGTGACTGCCATGTACGAAACGGCCGCGAGGAAGATCGTGACAGACCCAGCCACAGGGGCCTTTGACTCTCTCGAAGTTGCAGGGAAGAACGGACTGGCGTCTGTGATCCGTGCCAAGGCTATGATCCTGGCGGCTGGAGGTTTTGAGGCGAATCCGCGGATGAGGGCACAATATCTCGGACCCGGATGGGACTTGGGACACGTGAGAGGCACACCGCACAACACTGGAGAAGTCCTTGAGATTTCGATGCGCGACCTCGGAGCCAGACAGGCTGGTCACTGGAGTGGGTGTCACAGTGTCGCTTGGGACGCCGACAGCCCTGCAAACACAGGCGACAGGGAGACATCCAACGAGTTCACCAAAAGCGGCTACCCCTTGGGCATCACGGTGAACAGGGCTGGGGAGAGGTTTTTTGACGAGGGCAGCGACATTAGGAACTACACCTATGCAAAGTTCGGGAAGGCAATCTTGGCCCAACCAGGCGGCGTGGCGTTCCAACTGTGGGACGGTCAGGGTGCCCCATGGTTGAGAAGCGAGGAGTACCGCGACGAGGTTGTGAGGAAGACGTTTGGGGACACCATCGAGGATCTGGCCTCGAAGCTGGAGAAGAAAGAAGGCCTCGAGAGTGCGGCGAGGCTGGTCGACACCGTCAGGGAGTACAACAAAGCAGCCTCGAGGCACAGGGAGGAGCACCCCGACATGACGTGGGACCCGGCAGTCAAGGATGGGCTATCGACACAGTCATCGGGCAAGACACTGCGGATTCCAAAGTCGAACTGGGCCCTGCCGTTGACCAAGGGGCCCTTCATGGCCATCAAGGTATGCTGTGGTGTCACGTTCACCTTTGGTGGTCTTGCCGTGGACCCCAAAACCTCAGGAGTCATCTCCGAGTCGACAGGCAGGGTGATACCCGGCGTCTATTGCTGTGGCGAGATGCTGGGCGGGCTGTTCTACGAGAACTACCCTGGGGGCAGTGGGTTGACTTCTGGGGCAACATTTGGAAGGAGGGCTGGCATCGAAGCTGCCGCCTTGGTGCTGAGCTCGAGACAACCAGGAGTTGTTTGATGCATTGATGTACGAAATCAGCAAGCCTTCTCGATTCAGAAGTCTCATTCTCCTCTCTGACTGCTTCCAAACACAGCTGCACCACGTTGGTGACGTATGTTCACAAGCTCAGCGGTGCCCTTGCCTTCCTCGCAATGTAACTGCCTTTTGTTTTGGTGGTTTTCCGTCGCTGCCTGGGGATTGCCGACCGGACCTTGGACTGATCCTGCCTTCTCAAGACTCTCTCACACTCTCCAGACCAGATACTGGCCTCCACTCTGCAAAAGTACCACCATGGGCCTCTGAGCCTTGTACGGATTCTGGCTAACCGAGGCCGGGGCTGATCCGACGTGCACAGGTTTGCATTCCCATTCTGCTGCTTTCCTCACTCACGCTGACATCGGGCTCTTGGACAGATTGATGCGGGAGTGACGGTCATGGTGGCAAACTTTCCCCCAAACCACAAGGTTGTCTGTCAGCTAGCTGAACCCGCTTCCTGAGAACTGCCTCACCCCTCCCCATGCACAATCAAATCGCCCCGACGGTACGCAAACACGCAACCCCCATTTCATCTACAGCACAATCCCGCCTTCGACCAAGGATGACTGATCGCCGACTTCAACTAAAGGGCCCCCAAGACCACCACTTCACGACAGACACTACTCCTTCTCTGCCCAGTATGCGGCAGCTAGCCGAGGCCGACACTGGCACCGAATCGCCACGTCTTCCGGCGGAGATCATCTTTGACATTTGCGGTTACTTCACCGTCAACCCGCACGACCCAGCAAAGGGATACGATGTCAGCCCTTGCACAAGAGACAACATCCGCACACTCCGACAACTCTCCCTGACTTGCCGGGGCATTCACGATGTCGTAACCCCGACACTGTACGGTTCCATCTATATCACGGGCCCCATGACCGATCCTCACATTCCTTTACCGACCCACTGTCAGAATCCAGGCGCCGAAACGCTCGCTTATTTCCTTCGGACGATTTTGAGCAATGCAAAGCTGCGTCAATATGTCAAAGATCTTGCTTGCTTGATCGACCTTAGGGACACGTGCCAGTTCAAGGAGCAAATGGACACCCTGAACAAAGACTACGGTATACTATCGACAATTCGGGCCTGCAAAGACATCAGAACCAAGCGTCTCCTCCACAGAGCTGACTCTTGGATCGAACGCAATCTTGGGTCCAGGTTTGGTTTCGAGGCCGCCTTCGGAATGACTTCCCGCCGGCCAATCATTTCCATGAGCCACCAACTCTTTGCCTTACTCGCCTGCCTCTTGCCTAACGTCACTTCAATCTCTCTGAAGTCCGGATGTCACCGCCCTCATTATCCTCGCTCGCCTGGACTGTACGATTTCAAGGATACTGGAATCACAGGACGGGTTGCTCACAAATTGACGCAGCCCGTTCCTTTGGCAAACCTCAGAACCCTCCAAGTGCAATGTGGGCCGGAAAGCACTATTTTTCACGCCCGAAACCCAGTCATCAATCTCCTGGAACTGGTACCTGTCCTGCGTAATGCGTCGAATCTGACGCAGGTTCGTTGCTACGGCTTTGACTCGACTTGGAGAGGATTGCCAGGCACTGCGACATCATTCGAATGCCGGGGACCTGTTTCATACCTCCCCCTGCTCGCTTCTCCCAACGGCCCAATGCGGCATCTGAAAACTGTGGTTGTCCATTTAGATTCTTCCTCAGAGGCGCTCGACTTCCGTCTGGGAGAATTCTGTTTCTGTCTCGGCTTTCATGCACCATCAGTGGAGCATCTCGAGGTGCTGTTGTCTCCAGGGACATGCACACACCCCATCGCGGAGCTCATACCACTTTACCTATGCCATTTAGGTTCTCTGCAACATTTCTGTTTTGACTCTCGTTTTTTTTTCTCAAACTCACTGGGATGAGCCTGAGTGGCAAGATCCAGAGGTCGTCTCGAAGATTCTCCCTTCCAGCATCGAAACATTGCGCATCGTCGACAGTGAACCGAGACGCCATTTTGACAGCATTCTCAAATGGCTGCAGGTCATCACGCGTTTTCTTCTCCGGCCAGAGAATTGGTCAAAATTAAGAAGAGTTGAATGTCTCCACACGCCTTCTCTGGAGCGAATCACAACGCAGGCAGCTGGAGTGCTTCGGAGTTGGCGAATGAGGTGAAGCAAGAGCTCGCTCTGAAAGGTGTGCAATTTCAGCTATGTCTGGTGAATGACAGGGGATGATATCTGAAGCAAGACGACATTCCAGCTTAGGCGTATTTCACGGTACTGATGTCTGAAAACGAGCGCGGAGCATTGTGGTCGGGAGAGTTGTACTTGGCATGATTGGACTTTCAGGCGAAGGGGGCCAGGTCAGGAAGATGTTTTGTTGCGCAGCTATTCGCTGGTAGCCATGACATGGTGACTATTGCACTCAAAAATGTATTTTGGAAGAGGTCGAGGACGCCACATCTTGAACGGTCTTGCATGCTCTGGACGTTATTACTACTTAGCTTGTCATCTCAATAAAGACCAGCAATTTTGCTGACGGAAGACGATTTGGAAGGCCCACGTCGTCAGTTGCTTCATTCCGTGGCTTTGGACCATGTCATCACCTTTGCCAGGCAGTTCTCCTTCCCAACCGGCAGGGGAAACATGCGTGAGCATCTGCCGAGAAATCTCCAGATCGACTTCACGCCGGGAGACCCCTGCCGCAAAAGGTCGAGACTGGCGCAAGGACTTGGAATTCTCGTCCTTTCATTGATTCGGGGACGCGGCGATCTTGATTCGAGTCAATCTCGGCTCCTAAACCTAGATTTCTACAATTCACTCCATGGCGTGTTGCTACGTGACACACACCAGCACAGTGCATAGCTGTGAAGTGGTGAAGCAGAAGGGGGACTTGAAGCAATGTAACATTAGGCAGCCCCCTTGTTAGGAGGCACTGCAGAGATTACTATTGTCACATTTCTGTTGGCTTCAAGACATGTACCTGAATCTGGTCTTCGTCTTCTGCCAATCCAGCTCGTCGGCCGTGAGATCCCTCGCCCTCGCCTCCAAGACATCCAGCGGCTCATAGACAGCGCCGAACAGCGTCCCGTTCCAGCCAATGCTGTCACCGGGGTCGGGCGTGGAGCCGACCCCGTAGTCCTCCGGGTCCTGGTGAGGGGTGGTCAGCTCGCCGAGGGAGGTGGAGTAGTTGGAGCTGAAGAAGGGGGCCTCGTTGGCCAGGTTGTACTGGGCGTTGCAGATCTCGAAGCGGACGCTGGGCAGCGACGAGTAGTACAGGTCGTAGCGCGGGTCGAGGGCCTCGGAGAGGGACCTGACGGAGCCGTCCGGGTGCAGGACCGACCACGGCGCGCGGCACGAGTCGCCGATGCAGGTCTTGAGCAGGAGCATGAGGCCGTTCAGCCGGGACGTCAGGCGGCCCGCCTCCGCGGAGCTGTTGGCACTGATGGGGGTCAGCTCGTAGGGGTCCGCCACCGTGTCGTACAGCTCGCTCTCGCCGGTGCACCAGACGGCGTACATGTAGCTGTAGTCCTTGGAGATGATCCGGGCCGTCTTGTACGAGTTGTTGGCCACGGACGTGGAGTAGCCCATGTCGGAGATCTCGATGATGCCGTTGCCCCAGTACTCGACGTTGACGGTCTCGACGAGGGAGGCATCTGTGCTGTCAGATGTGCCGTTCGATGTGCCGGCGGCGAAGTACGGGACAAGGCTGCGGCCGTCCAGCCAGCTCGGCCACTCGGACTCGTCGACGCCTGCGAAATCGAGCAGGGTCGGGGCGATGTCGATGTGGTTGGAGGGGATGTCGGTGGACAGGCCGGCGGGGACACCGGGGCCGCGCAGGAAGAAGGGCACGTGCGTGTCCTCCTTGTAAGGAAGGGTCTTGCCGCAGGGCACACGGTGCTGGCCCAGGTGATAGCCGTGGTCAGCGCTGTAGACGATCACGGTGTTGTCGAGCTCCCCCTTCTCCTCGAGCACGTCGATCAGGTGGGCGACCATCTCGTCCACGGACTGGAGGGTCTGGGCACGGGCGCGCGCGACCTCGTCCACACGCTCGATGACGCTGCTCTTCATCAGCGGGAGCTTGCCCACCCAAGACGGCTTGTCGTTGGTAGCCGGGTTGAAATTGGGCGTGCGCGGGGCAGACACGTTCTGGAACAGGTTCGCATGGCGAGCAGCTGGCACCGGCGGCCACTTTCCGGTGTCGTTGAAGGTCTGGTGCGGCGCCGTGGGAGCGACGACGAGGAACCAGGGCTCGCCGGTCCCGTTGGCGGTGAGCTTGTCCACCCGGTCCACGGCCTTGGCGCGGACGACATCCTGGAGGTAGGAGCCGTCGTAGTACCGCGGCGTGGCGCCGTCGATGGAGAAGACGGGCGTGTTGTACGTATACATCCAGGGGTCAAGCATGCCGTCGAACCGGTCCCATCCGGCCGGTGGCGTCTCGTAGTTGTAGATGGCATACCCGTTCATGATCTTGCCGATGAACTCGGTCCTGTAGCCAGCCTTCTTGAGGTAGTGGGGGAGATTGTTGTCGTTCCCCCCCGAGGCCTGGAACTTCTGGAAGCTACCTCCCGGAAGCGCGACGTCGGTGTTGTTGGTGTTATGTGCCTGCTGCCCGCGCAGCATGGCAACGCGGGACGGGCAGCACAGCGCAACAGTCGCATAGTGGTTGTTGAAGGTGAATCCTGAGGCACGACATTAAATCCATGGCCCTACTGGCTTTGAGGTTGTTCCCAGCTGAGGTGTCACTTACCCTCCTGCTGGATGCGACTCGACACGGCGGGCAGGTAGTCCAGGGATCCCAGCTCGATGTCCTGGTCATCAGTCAGGACAAAGAGGATGTTAGGCTGCGCCGCCTGAACGAGTGACGCGGCGAAAGCACCGAGCGAGATCAGGGACCGATACATCTTGGATGTCGGGACAGCAACGCCTGGTCATCTGGGCATTGTAAGTGGTTGCAGTGCTGGCGGCACGTCGCGCATATATAAGCCGTCTTCTCCTGACGGTCCGACTGGCCCCCTGCAGCCCGGATATCGCTGAGTCTCTCGATTGAGTAAGACAGCCGGCATTCCACTTTTGAGTCGTGCTGGTTCCAAGGCAGTCAAGGGGGGTATTTGCAATGATGGAAGGGTGTGGGTCGATGGCGCAATAGCACTAGTTTGCCGTTGAGAGCTTTGTCGTCAGCTCAGATCAGATATTTCGCTCCAATATTTGGCTCCGTCGGCTCTGGATTGCGGATCTAATCTATGATACTCAGCAAATGGATTCATGTGTCACAGTCGCAATATGACGTCTGATCGGGTGTGGTGACGAGTCTCCGTCCAGCACGCCAGGCGCATCTCCCTCAACCCTGCGCCAAGCCCAGGCAAAGTGCACTTCCCAGTCGGCAAGTGTACTACAGCATGCGTCAGGAGCACACGTCCCGCTAGGATCGTCCGCTCCCTGAGTATATCCGATGGATATAAGATGGGGTGTGCGGGACGCAAGTGGGGTTGAGCTCTGATGGTTGCTCGATCCTAAAGCGGTGTATGGGATGCCACCTGAATCTCCGCGGTCATCACCGCTGTGGGATTCGCAACAGATGTGGCGGTTGTCATTTTCAACGTCGTTCATCTTCCAGTACCGTGTCAAACGGCACCGGAGCGCCTCAGCTGGCGGCAATCCTTCCATGCCGGGCCTGCCATCGAGACATTCGGCGAGCTCGAGCCCGTGTTCAATGACAAGCACCGGGATATTTCCCGGGCCGGCGTTTTTCACCAAGCGGAGGCTGCGGCTGACCTGATCCTCATGGATTGTATGCAAAAGACATGGTTCGCGGTCAATGTGCTCTGCATCGAGTAGTCTCGGAAAAGAACAATGTGTAGTTGAGCTCCTCATGCTTTCCGGTCATACCAAGTCCACCTGAGGTAGGTCCCTCACATCAGGCAGGCGCGTTCTCGGTGCCGAGTAATACGGTGCCGAATAAACCGGTCCCGAATGCGCCGGTCCCGAATGAACGGGCTTGGGGTAGAGAGACCCTTCCGCGTTTTAGATGGCAGCGATAAAGCAAGTAAATCAATTTGATCCACCTCCCTGTCCACGTCTCAGCCTCGCCTAAACTTCGCGTCCAGTCATTCGGACTACGATCCGAGGCCAGCCCAGGCCGGTTGTGCATTTTGTGTACTTTGTGCAACGATGGTCCCACACTCGAGCGTTCTTGGCATCGTATCTTGGGCGTTGGATCCTTCCTTTATGGTGTACAAGAGGTGCGGCTTGGTGTAAGACATGAATGGGTAGCTCACCTCACTGCCTGGCCGTGGGGGCGAGAAGATGGTCTGGGGTGGCCTCTTGGCCCGTCGCATGAGCCGTGAAGGATTCACATCCACACCCAGCGTTCTGCAGTAGCCAGTTTCAGACTCCAGAGACAACAGTAGGCCAGCACGGGCTGGATGCCTGGGTATGCTGTGAGGAAAGAAGAGCATTCGATTGAATAAAGGTAGATAAGCGAAAACGTGGCACCCTCATGCCTGCATCTTGCCCTTGCTGTCCCTGTATGTTCTATAATTTTTAATTTTCCTTTTCATGTCCCAATTGTCCGAAGCGAAAATGCGCCGGGCACATTGATCTGAGCATTACTTTTAATCAAATATAGTGTCGCGATGTCCAATGGTTCTGGTAGCCTCGACGAAGGCTCCGATGCCCCCCAGGTGTTGGTTCCGAGTCCTGATCGCGACAACCACAAGATTCCGGTTCATTACTCGGAGGAGAAGCAAGTGTCAGATTGGGACGCCGAGGCATTTTCTCGCAACCAGCTATATGGGCCGTCGCATTACAATCCAGACTACCACAACCGAGCAGAACAACAGGCCGCATTACAAACACCGACGGGTGACAGGAGGGTATGTGGGCTCCGGCCTGTATGGTTCTGGACTGTCGCTGTCTTGGTTGTGCTGCTATTGATCGGCGCCGCTGCCGGGGGCGTCGCGGGTGGAATGATACGTCGCCAGAGGCAGACAGCCTCGCCGGCTTCGGAATCATCGTCGTCGCCCCCGGCAGAGCTATTAGAGCCCCAGCTGAGCGCGGTCAACTGGACAGACAGCACCGGGGCACAGCGCAAGGCGGTCTTCTACCGGCGCAACGGCACCCTGCATGTGAGCCACAACGGCGGCAGCGATGGCACGACGGCGTGGGCGGAGCTGGACATCGACGGTCAGTTCCCCGCGGGTGAAGTTGCGGCCATGAATGCAACACCGCTGGCAGCCAGCGTCCTAGGCGGTGGGAACGCCGACGCCGATGTATCGTTCAGCCTCGCACTATATTTCCTCGACGCCAGCAACCACATCCGCGACCTAGTGAGCACCATGGACGACCTATCAAGGTGGAACAAGGGCCCGCTGTGGAACGTCTCAGTAACAGCGGGCGCCATGTCCGGTCTGGCGGCAGCAGCGCATGTGTGCAACGACGGGTGCCTCGGCGACCGTATCGTTGTCTTCCAGGCGAGCGGCGGCGACCTATACTCGGTCCACGGCCCAGACTGGTCTGATGCCCCGACGCGCATTGTGGGCGCCAACATCGGCACGCCTCTCGCCCTGACGACCGCCCCATACGTCAACACCACTAGTGGCGCCGTCGACTGGACGGCTGAGCAGACGCAGCTGCGGCTGTACTACCACCGCGATACCAACATTGACGAGTTCTTTTTCAACGACGAGACGCCGCTGGTGTGGAATGCAGGTAAGATGCAATGAGAAGCCCCTTCGCGCAGCCCTCTCATCCTCCTCCCTCCTCCCTTTCCCCTTGACCCTACAGCATCACCATGTGCCATCCGACTCAGATCGCTGACAGGTATGCACGATGGCAGCGTTCGTGGGCGTGGCAACAGGCCTCGAGGCATCAGGAGCACCGCCCGGACTGACGGCAGCGCCCTCGGGGCCCAACAGCGTCGTGCAGGTGACGGCGCTGAAGGGATCCGGCAGCGCAGTGGTGAGCTACGTGCGGGGCAAGACGGGCCGCTTTGAGGACAACAGCTGCGACCTCCCGGCGCGGTTCGCCAACGGCGAGAGTGTCAACACCGGGGCGCCGAGCCCCGGGGCGGCGGCGGTCGCGTTGAGCCATAACTTCGCCCTGTACGTGCTCACCAGCGACGGGACGCGGATACTTGAGTGTGAGTCTTACCTTCACCTGTCCCGGCTCTCTCGCTTTGGTATCGCCGGAGGGATCGACCACCCCAACCTCTCGAAAAAGGCAATTAACATGGCCGCAGATGGTTGGTCCAATGCCGGCCCGGACTCGTTCCGTTTTCAAGGCACGGTCGTATAGACATGCCCAGATATATTGATTTACTACAGGACTGATTATCTCTTAGTGTCATGCAAGTGCAAAGTATGTGGTGTAGATTGTGCTTCAAGCGCTGTAAAGCCCCCTTGGGTATTCACTAAATCTGTATTATAGTGTTTGTTGAGATACTGGCATAGCATAGCGGGTTTGGGGGTTAAGCGACACGGCGTCTGCGATTGTTTGTACTTGTGTCAGGGTCCAACGTCTGAGACGATTCTAGTGATACTTCATGATGATCTTCATCATAAAGGAACCAGGTTCACCCTTGTTGTCTAGATCCTGTCAGCTGAATTTCTGCAATAAATGTCGCCTTGGAGCTGAGAAGAATGCAGGGAACCACTATTTCTGTCCAAGGCTTCTGGCTGCTTGGGATTGGTCCCCCTGACCAGCTCCACAACCCCAAAGCCGGGCTATCATCACTTTCACAATGCCCCAAAAGAGTTCGGATGCTCAAGAAAAATTATAGTTTTATATACATGTGTAAGGAATAGTTCACATGTCCGACACTACTCAGATGTGATCTGAAAAGCCCAGACACTGGCCCAAAATTGAGCATACGCCTTGGACGGTTTTGACGCAAGCTACTTACCAACCCAACCTAATCGCTGTGCTTCGTTCGAGTCAAGTAGCTGCAGCTGTCCCAATCGCATGTATTCTGCCGAGTATGATCGTCAGCATTGCAACTCCATCTCTCCTCAGCAGCAAGAGGAAGAACGTACCTGGTGGACTTCCGTAACCCACCACTTGAAGTGTTTCGACGCGCCAGTGTAGAACAGCGCAAAGAAGACGACGATGCCGGCGATGGCGACGGAGCAGTCCAGTGCGGAGCTGAGCACAAAGTTGTAGCGCCTCCACCAGCCCCGCTGCCTCCTCTTGACGACGAGCTCGAACAGCAGGCCCACGATGGCCCAGCTGCCGTAGTTGGTGCCGGACGGGTGATGGACGGCAAGCGAAAGGTGTGGAGGGTGTTGACGCCGCTGCCCAGCAGGCAGAAGCCGATACCAAGCACCCACATGCGGATGGTCAGGCATGGCAGGGTAGGATCATCCGCTCTCAGGCCTATACCGGCCGCGTAGAGGACTTCATGGCTTGGGGCGCTGGACTCATCTAGACAAGTGTCAGCGTGGATCGTCGGTGCGGGAGAGATTCGGCCATACCCGAAGAGCGCTTGGCTTCTTCGATGGTGTTTGTATGACTGACGGGCTCCTGTTCGTCCACCGTCGTGTGCTGATCCCCGGTCTTCTCTCCGTGGCTCGCCATTGTCCTTGTCACAGAAGACGAGCAGAGAAGTATGCACAACAAGCGATGATAGTCTCCAGCCCTCCGTCCTGGTGCTGGGACTGCTGGCTAGTACTTTGTGATATAGGAAACTGGAGCAGTGTGTGAAGCACAGATCAGATAAGATCAGCAGATCAGATTAGATGGGTGCTATCAGATTTTGATTCTCCCGTGTAAGTCAGGACGGCGCCCCAGCTCGACAACGGCCCACGGCACCCGGAGCCCTGGCACCGGCGACCTGGCGTATCAGTCTACCCTGCAGTGCCCACCAGGTATCTACACAGCCATCTTCAATCTTGCTAGCTTCTTGTTCTTGTGGGCACGGTGGGGATCCAGAGGAATGAATTTGTCTTCAGATCGGACTGACGAAAAATACTTCTTCTTGTCATGAAAATTCGATGTCCTTCCTGAATAAGAAGGAAAAGCCCTACTTAAAAGCTTGGCACTTGCTGGCTTCAAGGTCACTTCCATCTTGCAAGAAAACGCACCTCGCTTATTTTAAGGAAAATAAAAGCGTCCGAACAAGGGCTTCTGTTTGGTATTGATCAAGTTGCTTCAAGATGTCGAATTTGACGTGTTTTTTCTTTGTACAACACGTAGTATTTGTCTTGCAACCGAGAGTGTTTTTCGTCGTGCCGCCTTCCGATATACTTGAATGATCCGCGGCTCTTTTCCGCCGAGGTCGTCCTGACTGGCGGAGGCGACGACGGAGTGGAGACTGCCATCAGATTCTGGGGCCATGTGTCACTTGCATCGGCCTCTGGTGCAAACTACATGCTTCTTTGGGCTGCGGGACGGCGCTCGGCATTGGTGTCTTTCTTCGAAGAAGGTCTTTTTTGCAGCCCACCGAATGGATACACTTTTGAAGCTCCCGAAAGAAACCTCGCCGCTGGTTGGTTGTCTACTCTCCTGACTGTGTGCATCCCGCGTCGCCTTGTCCGAAGCTCGACTTAGAGCCATCGAGCGACTCTGTCAGCTGCTGGTATTTTTTGTTGGGTTTGTAGGTTTCTGCTACCCCACGCCGAGTAGCTGGTGGGCCGGTGGTATGCAGCACCCTCTTTTTTCCGGGGACCTTCAGAGCTTATAATGAGCCTTGCTCGGGTGTCCGCTACGCGTGCGGCCACGGAATCTATGTGATGAACGGACATAGCCGTGTGGCCATGCGGCCCCACGGCAGCTGCGAGATGTCATAGCCCCCCCTCCCCTCTTTCTCTTTTTTTCTGCCTTTTCTGGGAAGCTTGAATTGAGGTTCTTTAGTGTAATAAGCTGTGTCAAGCCACATGATGACGTTTCCATCTTTGTTTTTGCTGTGCAGAAGGTAAGCAAGCCACACGTGGCTCGACTATAATAGTTTCGAATTTTCAAAAGTGTGCCGGTATCACGGGCGTAAGATAGTACATAAATATCCAAAATATCCCTGCATAGCCTGTTTATGCCATGTATAAGCAACACCTTTCTCAATGCCCAATTCACAATCACAGGGCCGACGCTGTGCTGACCATGAATATGCAATTCACAATTCCTGGCTGGGAAGGCACTTGGACTCATATTCATGGGACAATATAATCTTGAAAAGAGAAGACCATTTACTGCTCGCTTACCAATATGTACACTGCCTCACAGCTCTCAACTAAATATGTACCGCACGAATGAATGCAGACTTTGAGCACAGTTATGGTCTAGCCGCTCGCGTTCGACATGAGGTTCCAGCGCGGAGCATACAAAACTCATGTCTTCAATGTGAGAACACTTTGAGACGCTACAGAAACCTTCAAAGCGCCTTCCTTTATCCCACATGCCTTACTTACGAAGCAGTAGGCTGATAAGCAAACCACTCCTTGACTCCAACAGCGGCATAGGCGCCACTCCTGCCCGAGGGGTTCAGAATAGCCCTGATGGATTTGGTGGAGACAGTCGTGAACTTGGTCTCGGCAGGGGAGTTGGTGACCGCGGTCGAGAACGCAGTGCTGTTCGCGACGCGAGCCCACTGCCCGTTGTCGGTGAGGTATTCCACCCACCACGAGGCCGGGGGCGCGACGCCGGCGGTGGCGCCCGCGGGCGAGTCGGCAAAGAAGGCGATGGCCACGCCGTTGAGCTGCACCGTCGTGTTCCACGTGTACGTCAGGGTGTTGCTGGAGGGTGACTGCTCGGACCACGAGCTCCAGTAGTCCGGCGGGAGCGGAGCGGCCTCCACGCGGCCGTCGTTGATCGCCGCGATCCAGTACTGGATTGGCGTGCCGTTGGCCGACGACGGGGTCGCTGCCGGTGCGATGTTGCGGGTCGGCGTGCGCGGCGGGCCGGGCCTCTTGGTCGGGGTCACCTTCTTGATGGACGGGGGCGTCGTGGTGTCGTCCCAGTTGAGCTGGTCGAAGGCGACGCTCCGGCGGAAGTGCGTCCCGTTGGCGGCGTCGCGGGTGTGGTAGACGAGGAAGTACTTCCCTGAGCCTGCTGGCTGCTCGAACACACCTGGATGCGAGGTCGTTGAAGAGACGATGCCCAGGGCAATGCCTCGGTAGGTCCATGGGCCGAGAGGGTTGGAAGCAGTTCCGTAGGCGATGCACGCATGGTAGCTGGTAGGCGTGCATGGCGAGGTTGGTCCGGCGTTGTTCCCGGCGTAGAGCATGTAGTACGTGTCTTTGCGCTTCATGAGCCAAGGTGCTTCAAAGAACCCGTTCAGGGAGTTGACAGTCACGATAGTGCTGCTCTTGACCGTGATCATATCCGTACCCAACTCGACGCCCTTCAGCTGGCCGAACGTGCCCCAGTAGAGGTACACTTTGCCGTCCGTGTCGACGAGCACCGTGGGATCGATGTTCTGGATGTTGTTCTGCACTGGCACGCTCTGGGAGATGATAGGCCCGGACGGATGGGCATCTGTGAAAGGCCCAAGAGGGCTGCTCGATACAGCAACGCCAATAGCAAATGGGTCCGAATTGGGCGAGTTGGCCTGGGTGACGGGCGCATAGAGATAATACCGGCCATCCGGACCACGGACGATTTGGCTGGCGTATGCAGTGCCCTGGCTCGCCCATTTGAACACTGTCTGAGGCACTGCAACATTCTGGTGCAATGTCCATTCTCCACCTGAGGGTGTCGCGGTCTTGGACTCAAATATCTGCCACTGGTTCATTCTGAACGAGTTCTCAGCCGGGCCAGCCTCATCGCGACCGGCCAGGATGTAGACCGTGTCATTGACCACAAGTGGCGCCGGATCTGCCGAGTAGATCGTGCCATCGGCCAAGATGGGATTCCCAGTGGAGGTAATAGTGGTGCTGCTCTGGCGAGACTCGAGCGGAAGGAGGGCTGCACGGGCTACTGAAGCCGTGACGAGCCACGCTCGAAGATGAGATAGAAGTCGCGCCATGACGATCTCGGGAGTTGTGGATCAAGAGACAAAAGAGCGACGCCAGGCAAAACAACTTGAAAAGTGAAGCAAAACAACGTCCAGCGCGCCTAGAAGTAGTATTTGCTCATGGATGAAGCCTGGAAGTGAATGTCTATGAATTCATTCTGCTTTCGGCATGGAAGAAGACCATCCTGCGTAACATTGTCCAAGTGCAGCTCCTGAGCGTCCACTAATAGTAGTAATTCATCCCCTTTCTTGGTAGAGGGGATGACCAGGAAGCCGAATGGTCCCGGCACCTGAATGGGTGCAAACCCCACCAAAAATAAGCTTTTAGACTCTATAGCTTTAACCCTTATTTATTACCTTTTTAACCTTGAAATATAATAAAACAATATACTTATATTATTATTTAAAAGCTAAAGATTGAGAATAAAATTCTTTGAAAATTATACATTTTTATAAATATATTATAAAATAATAAATAATTAAAAAAGAGTCTTGAAATTTTAAGAAATAAAATTAAACTTTATTGTAAAATTATAATAAAATTCCTATGTAAAGAGATATATAAAATATAAAATGTAATAAAATTCTTTAAAAAAAAATTAAAAAACATTTCTTTTAAAAAAAAGGGGTATAAAAAAAACTTATTTTTTTATTAAATTTTATTTTAAGTTATAACTTTAATATAAAATTTAATATTAAATTACATAAAGTTTATACTTTTTATAATTTAATAAGTATTTTATAATATATTAATATTAATATATTTATTATAAGATTTATTTATAATTAATTTAATAAGCTAATATTTTAAATTTTTAAAAAGTTTTTAATTTTAAATTCTTATTATTTTATTAAAAAATTAAAACGAATTAAGTAAAATATTTTATATTATATAATAATAAGTAGCCTTTATATATAAAATTAATTTAAAAGTATTATGTAAGTATTAAAGATTTTATATAGAATTTAAGTTTTTAGAATTTGGTGGGAAATTTATTCAGGTGCCGGGAGCATTCGGCTTCCTGGTCATCCCCTCTAGGTGGTATTTCGGGCGCTTTATCCCCGAAGCGCGCCACGGAGAAATGAGAGCGTTAATGTGAGACCGCTTAGCAGAGCCAGGTGGAGAAATTCGGCGGGAAACTAGCGCCCTGCTTATCTCAAATATTCAGATGCCTTTTCACACGTTCAAATTAATTAGCCAGTTCTTAAGGCCTAAGCTTTCTTAGTAATTTAGGTAGCTATGCTAAAAGAGCAAAATAAGTAAGGTTTTAAATGCATAAAAAAAATATTTAAAATTAAAATGCAAAAAAAGTTTAATTTAAATATTACTTTATATAAAAATGTAAAAAACGCCTTATAAATATTTCTTAATTTAATAACCTTCTTAATTAATAATCTTAATATAAATAATATATTAAATAAAAAAAATAATTATACTTACTTTTTATATTTCTTTTTATTTTAATATACCTTTATTTTTATTATAGGCTAACCTTGAGTTGTTTGCCATAAGGTACTTAAATAAGGTTTATATTTAAAGTATAAAGGAAGAAATCCGCTTTTCATTTATATTTATGTTAAAGCCTATTCTTATAAGGCTAAAGCCCGCTAATTAATTATAATAAGTAAAGCTTAAACTATAATATATCTTCCTTCTTTAAGTCTTTATAGCAAGCCTTAAAGAGCAGCTATATAATAAAAAATAAAGGATATTATAATTTAATTATAAATTAAATATTGCTCTTTATTTAGCTATTTAATTATACCTTAATGCCTTTTAAATACGTTAAAGGCTTAACTTATTTTCCATAATTAATGCACCTTTAACTCTTATAATTTAATATATTAATTAAAGTAAGCTAATAAGAAATAATTATTTAAGCATAAATTAACGGCTAAATTAATAATATTCTTATAATCCTTTAATTTAAGCCTTTTATATAAGCTTCCTTACTTAAAACCTTGAAATTATAAATTTATTATATAATTATTATGGGCTAGCCCCAAAGGGGCTGCAGGCTAGCTAGCGCCTTCTTTCATAAGCTGCAAAGCAATAACCTTTTAACTAGGCTAAAAGGTACGTAATAATCTAAGCTTCCTTGAATTACTTAGCTACACTATATAAGGCTTAGGCTTCCAGCCTAAGCTCATTACATAGCCCCTTCCTTTAGGGCTCCCTCCTTATATAGTAATATAATTACCTCTAAGGCTTACCTATAACATTGCCTTTTAAGCTAAGGATTTTCTTTATAAAAGGGGTGCCTGCATTTATGGCAAACATAACTTAAACCCTTAACCTTAAAGCTTAGATTATTTATTATAGGCTGGCCTTAAAGGGGCTGCAGGCTGGCTAGCGCCTTCTTCCATAAGCTGTAAAGCAGCAACCTTTTAACTAGGCCAAAAGGTATGTAATAATCCAAGCTCCCTTAAATTACCTAGCCACACTATATAAGGCTTGGGCTTCCAGCCCAAGCCCATTACAATAATTTGCAATTAATTAATGCTTAATTATAAGTAATTTACTTTATTAATGGGAAATTCTTAAATTTTAAATATTTTATAATGCTAAATTAGCTAATATATAATTAACTTACTTTAAGCTTAAGCTAGCATTAAGTTAATAAGTTTTAAGCTTTACTTTATAAAAAAATTTTATGCCTCCTTAAATAAACTCCTCCCCCTTGCTAACCTTAATTAATAAAAGTTATATCCTTATTTTTATTATGGGCTAGCCTTAAGTTATCTGCCATAAGGTGTTTAAATGGGGTTTATATTTAAAGTGCAAAGGAAAAGGTTTGCTCCCTATTTATACCCACGCCAAAGTTTATTCTTATAAGGCCAAAACCCACTAATTAATTATAATAAGCAAAGCCTAAACTATAACATATCCTTCTTTTCTAAGTTTTTATAATAAGCCTTAAAGGGTAGCTATATAATAAAAATAAAGAACGCTATAATTTAATTATAAATTATATATCACTCTTTACCTAGCTATTTAATTATATTTTAACGCCTTTTAATTATATTAAAGGCTTAACTTATTATTTATAATTAATATACCTTAGCCCTTATAATTTAATATATTAATTAAAGCAAGCTAATAAAAAATAATTATTTAAGCTTAAGCTAATAGCTAAACTAACAACATTTTTATAATCCTTTAATGCAAGCCTTTTATATAAGCTCCTTTATTTAAAACCTTAAAATTATAAATTTATTATATAATTTATAATTAATTAGCGCTTAATTATAAGCAATCTACTTTATTAGCGGGAATTTCCCAAATTTTAAGCATTTTCATAACGCTAAATTAGCTAATATGCAATTAATTTACTTTAAGCCTAAGCTAGCATTAAGCCGGCATTACTTTTAAGCCCCATCTTATAAAAAAAAACTTTACACCCCCTTAAATAAACTTTTCTCCTTTATTAACTTTAATTAATAAAAGCTATACCCTTATTTTTTTATAATAATTAAGGCAATTATGCTTATAATAGCTAAATTAACTATATGCAAAATACTTAACTTTACTTATTAAAACTACTATAATATTAATATTTATTACTTTATTATTTTAAAGTTAAGTATTATTCTTTTTTGCTATAGCATTAAAAACGCCCTTATATTATTATAAGGCAAAGTAAAAGGCTTTAAATATATTTAACTACTTTTTATAATTAAGTTAAGCTTTTATTATAAAGATTAAGTTATTAACTATTAATAATATTTTATACTTATTTAACTAACTTTAAGCCTTTGCTATATAAACTAATTAATTAAATTAAATAAGAAATTTTATTATTCTTTCCCTATAGCGCTATTATAATATAATTAAGCTAAGCTTAATATACCTTTATTTAAAAAAGTTCTTAAGCATAAAATAAACCTTTTTTAAAAAACTTTTTAGCTACCCCTTAAATATCTTTATAAAATTAATATAAGGTAAAAATTAATTATAAAAAGTTTTTAATTAATTAAATATATAAAAGAATTAAGCTCCTTTAACGCTAATTACCTCCTTATTTATTATAAACTTAACCCTTATTTTCATTAGCTAAGTTATTAAGTATTCTTAAGATAAAAGTTCCTTTAAATAAAAAAGGGCTTAATAAGCTATTATTATTCTTTTTAAGTCTTGCTATATTAAGTTTTATATAATTATATTATAAGTTTATAATATAAAAAGACTTTAAATATATATTATAAGCTAGCCTTAAGTTATTTATTATAAGGTATTTAAATAAGGTTTATATTTAAAGTATAAAGGAAAAGGTTTGCTTTCTATTTATATTTATATTAAAGCCTATTCTTATAAGGCTAAAGCCCATTAACTAATTACAATAAATAAAGCCTAAACCATAATAATTTTTTTATAATAATTAAAATAATTATATTTATAATAATTAAGTTAGCTATATATAAAATACTTAACTTTATTTATTAAGATTATTATAATATTAATATTTATTGCTTTATTATTTTAAGGTTAAATATTATCCTTCTTTATTATAGCGTTAAAAATGCCTTTTTATTATTATAAAGCAAAGTAAAAAGCCTTAAATATATTTAATTACTTTTTATAATTAAGTTAAGCTTTTATTATAAAGGTTAAGTTATTAATTATTAATAATATTTTATATTTATTTAATTAATTTTAAGCCTTTATTATATAAGTTAATTAATTAAATTAAGTAAGAAATTTTACTATTTTTTTCTTATAATATTATTATAATGTAATTAAGTTAAGCTTAGCATATCTTTGTTTAAAAGGGTTCTTAAGCATAAGGTAAATCTTTTTTAAAAAGCTTTTTAATTACTTCTTAAATATCTTTATAAAATTAATATAAGGTAAAAATTAATTATAAAAAGTTTTTAATTAATTAAATATATAAAAAAATTAAGTTTTTTTAATATTAATTACTTTTTTATTTATTATAAACTTAGTTTTTATCTTTATTAATTAAGTTGCTAAGTATTTTTAAGATAAAAATTCCTTAAGATAAGGAAGGGCTTAATAAGCTATTATTATTCTTTTTAAGTTTTGCTATATTAAGTTTTATATAATTATATTATAAGTTTATAATATAAGAAAACTTTAAATATATATTATAAGCTAACCTTAGGTTATTTATTATAAGGTGCTTAAATAAGGTTTATATTTAAAGTGTAAAGGAAGAAATTTACTTTTTATTTATATTTATGCTAAAGCTTATTCTTATAGGGCTAAAGCCTGCTAATTAATTATAATGGGCAAAGCTTAAACCGTAACAATTTTATAAAATATAATATATATAATTAAAAAAAAAAGGAATTAAAAAGCACCCTTTTTATTTTTAATTACTTATATTTAACTTTTAAATTAAAAGAATTAAGAATTTTAAAATTTAATAAAATAATTTATAATAATTTATAAAACTTAAACTTCTTTTAAATTATCTTTTAAATTTAAAAAAATAAAGTAAGATAAAAATATATTTTAATTATTTTTTAAGATATTTTTAAATCTTAACTTTTTAATTTTTATATAAAAAAGGTATAACTTAAGAGAAATAAATTAATAAAAGCTTTTAAATTTAGGAAAGGTACTTATATAACTTTAAAAAATTTTATAAGAAAGGAATTTAAGTTTAAATTAAAGAGGGTAAATAGGTATACCTTAATCCTTATAAGGGTGGTAATTTAATTATAAACCTTTCTGGCCGCGAAGCCGCCCCTTTTTCCCTAGCTATACCTTACGTAAGTGCAGCCCCTAAGCCACACTTAGCTTCGCCACCAGGGAGGTCTGTGAGTCAGAGATAACGCCCTGCCAATATCTGTTTGTAGGGCACTTCAACTCCCCATGATTCAGTTCGATTGGGCCGATGGTCCTACAATTACAGTGCATGCAACATTTTCCATCCACTCGACCCTATCCACACTCAGTACACAGGCATAGGGAATGCATCCAGATCATACTTCCAGCTGTCAATGCTGCTCTGGTCGTACACACACTCCAGCGAGGTGCCATTGTTTGCCCAGAGCGGCCTGAGAGGCCATGCGCATATCTGCTGACTCTGGCCCAGGTTCTCGCCCTGCAGGATCGTCGCGTTTAAGGTGAGAGGCTCATTGCCATTCTCCACCCAGTCGATCAGTAGCGCAAGGTTGGTTTGTGGCCACGGCCCGTTCGGCTCATAAGGGTTGTAGTTGCAGTGAGCGCCGCCCGGCACGAGGAACAGCTTGTAGAAGTCGTTCATCGCCTCGATGCTCTCATTGTATGTTGCGCCCGGGTTCAGGATCGAGCGGACAGGCTCGTAGTACCGGACCGAAGACGCGGTGGAAATTGAAAAGTCAGACTCGCCGTGGTAGTGCAGGATCTTGGCGCCCGAGTTCTTGAGTGGGGAAATATCGGGCCAGTTGGTCATGAGGACGTCGTTGTAGCGATTCCATCCTTTCCAGATCCAGTCGCGGAGCGTGCTGTACGTGACATTGTCGAGATTTGCCAAGTTCTCGCCCTCCTCGAGATTAAGGAGAACCTGCACAAACGAGCCGCCAAGAGACGTGACAGTCCCTGCCCACCCCCCGTCTCGCTGTTGTACACCGTCTGGGCGTCAGTAAAGCTGGAGGACGGCGTGTAGCTGAAGTACGCCCGTTTGCCGTCGTCGTCATGCAGGCCCTCCAGTGTTTTCTGTGCCAGGGCAATCCCCTGGGCTGAGACGGTACCGTTCTGTGCGGGAGTGGCAGAAGTGAACGGCCCCGCTGGCGCTGCAGCACAAGAGTAAGGCAGGCCTAGCGTCGCGTTGATGTTGTAGTTCGCGGTACACAAATCCCTGCGTGCGACTACACCGTCAGCCTTCCCATCGAGAGGGTCGCAGGCCACGATGGTCTCATTCATGATCTTCTGAAGCTCGCAAGGGGGCGGGAAGTACCCCATTGTCTGTTCGACAACGTTGGCATATAGATGTTGGACCTGTTGGAAGGCAAATCGAAAGGCTGGAGCGCCGATGACAGCCCCGTCGTAGGCATCTTCAAAACGCTGCGCTTGGCTCCAACCTTCACGGCCACCCTCGGAACAGCCCTGCAGATTCGTTTAGTCAGATACGCGTGCATTGAGAAGGCGGATTCACTCGCAGGCCAAGGCCTTGAATTGACTTACTTGGTAATACTTGTAGAGCTTGTCTGTCTCAGTCAAGTTGAAGAAGAGTCTCGAGAATTCCCTTCCGAGCAGGCTCTGCTCTCGTATTGCTTGATACCCAAACATGTACACATTCTGCCAGTGTATGGTGCCATTCTGGATCAGAAAGGTAGATAACGCATCTGTCTGATATTGGCCAAAACCACCATCCGTTTGGCTGGCCACCGCACCGTACATCACACCACCAGGAAGTGACCCGAGCCGCGAATTGATCGCGTAGCCCCCTCCGCCAGTAGCCAGATATCGATTCTGGAAGGCATGGGGCGCGGGCAACCAGAAAGTCAACAGCACGGCGTCTCCGCGGCCATCGTGACTGTATGTGAAGGTCACATTACAATGGTCGAAGTTAGCGGCTGGGAACATGGGCGAGTCCACAGGGCCAACAGTGTAATTGGTGACCGGGTTTGCCGTAACGGAATCTGCGTTCACGCTGATCGCATAATCGCCGTAGTAGCCGCTGGCCGGTAGGTGCGCTGCCACATAGGAGGATGTGCAAACATCGTCCAGGGTGATTGCCAGGGCTACTGGGAGAATCGTAGCGAGAAATGCCGTGTGTGAATACAAAGACCTCATCTTGTTTACCGTTAACCACAAGATGGGGTTTGGTAGTGGCTCCAATTGGGCTGATAGAAGGGGAGAGGCTGATGCTTGTCAGTGGCTGCTAGAAGAATAACCTTAAAGCGTAACTCCACCTATTATACTCCATTCTCTGACCAAATTCGGTCAAAGATCCCATGATGTTTGTTTTTACCACGCAGGTCCGAGATCCGAGCACGGAATTGCCAGATACTGTGCAGATTGGCAAATCGCCGGGGTGGACGCGTCATGGGCATGGAGGTGAAAAGTCGTTGTGCATGGGGAATCCGCATGCTCTTCTCGGCGTGTGGCGTCGTAACGTCGAAGTTCCATGGTGAGCGGGGCCTAGAATTGATTTGCAGCGTTGTGGGGGAAGCCGGATGGAAATCGCAGCTCTCGAGGTGGGAGGATGCGGGGGCCAGAGGAGTCTCTCATGGGTAAAAGCAAACCCGGATTTGAGGAGAGCTGCCTCAAATTGAGCTTTTGCATGATGCCAACAAGATATCCAAATAGAAGTCTTCATTGGTCCAGAAGTTGTAAAGAAGGGGGAAATTAGCACAACCTTGACGACTAGGGCATGAAACAGACGGGCTCTAAACACATGCCAGTCGAGCCTGGCAAGACCGGCAAGTCTCGAGCAATAATGTAAATACTCAGTTCCGGTGATGCAATTGTGCACAGTACAATTATTGAATTCCACAGACACTCAGTCAATACAGTATTCGGTAGATCACTGGTACGGACTTAGTTACGGAGAGCCTCTGCGTACACACATCCTGTCGTGCACACGACTTTTTGAGATGAAGCGAGTCCGGATCCAATCCTCCCATTCTCTTGGATCTCGAAAGTACTAGTAGTCTGTTTTGGTCAATATAAAGTTTCAGAATTAATGTTAGTCAGTGCTGAATGGGGTTTCTTGATCACCTGTTCTCAAACAGTGTCGACAAGAGGCCCCTTAGTGAATGTCACTTGCAGGGTGCAGTTGCGTCCGGAACGTCAGACGCTCATTTTTGGGATCAATTCTGGGCTCCTTGGCACCTAAATTCCAAGATGACAGCACTATGGGCGCCGCTTCTCCATTATCTGTGTATTCGGTGTGGGATGCGTCGTCGAAGGACGCGCCGGCACCAGGTTAGAGCTGTGTCTACACATTCTCTGTGGCCGATGATAGAAGTCAAGTTGTAAGCCATGTGAGAGACAGGTACATGAACAAAACCGGGCAAGCCTTTAAGTAACTTATAATCTATGGAGAATACGAGGCATTCGAGCGCGATCAGCGTTCTCGTCGGTGGCGGTCTTCCAAGGTTATGTGACATTGCCACTGCCTGTCCGTATCATCCCCTTGCAGTCCAGCCAAACGGTTCAAACGGATGCGCCAAGTCAGCCAGGTTCACACCTCGGATCCGGCCAGGCCGCTGAGTCTCGACTCGGGCTGTTGAATAGAAGACTTGGCTCTTATGTACTCATATAGCGATACCAGCCCACTCAGCTCGCCGAGCCTCGTGTCGGCTGATGTAGTATGAAGGATCACAAACAATCTTGCAAATTTGCATAAGTGGCGTACCAACATCCAACCCGTGGGGGGATTGTGGGATGAAGAGGACTGTTTTCCAAATCCCAGGCACGCTAGCTGTGAGCTTGCCCACTCAGACACTACCAAAAACACGACCCGTTGCATTCATCATGCCCTGCACTCATGGCGTGCTTTCTTGGCTGCACCTCACTTCGGAAGGTCAAGCACAGCACATGCTCAAGCGAGCGCTTGATAAGGTAACCTTGGTCTAGGCGCTAAGGATTATGCAATCCAGCCCAGACATTTATCAGAGGTGGGAGGCGAGTCGGGAGCCATTGATAAAGTAGGCTCCAGGACGTGTCCGTGGGTGCGCTTATCACGCGCGTGCCCGCATAGTTCGTGAAACACACACAGGCCAGCCTCGACTTTGACTACCGACTCCCGTGCGACCCACTCGTCCTACCTGATCTAGGGGACAGTGGCACTGCTGGGTCCTGCTCGAGCAGTAATTAGAGTCTTCAATCAAAGGCTGTGACACAGAGCGCCGCCTCTCTTGTGCGATAATGTCGTACAAGTTCTGGAACCGGCCCACGGCGGGCACGACCGAGGTCCCTGTCGACAACTACACGTCCGACTCGGAGCCGTCAATTCTTCACGATGGCGACTTCGCCTACACTCGCGCCAAAGCTGGCAACGACTCCGGGGCAACGTACCAAGAGGCTGTGGGCGCCCCTGTTGAGGTCCGCTCGCCGTTGGGATACAATGTGGGCTGGGTAACTATAATATTCCTCAATGTCAACCAGATGGTTGGCACCGGTATCTTCTCGACGCGTGAGTGCTCCAATCCCAACTCGTGGTTCATGGGTACACTGCAGTGGCTAAACTCGTCGGCGGCCCATAGCGGGAACTATCTTGGGTAGCACCGGCTCCATTGGCCTGGCCCTCTTCTACTGGGTCATTGGGTTCATCATGGCAGCAGCCGGATTAGCCGTTTACCTGGAGTTGGCCGCCTATTTTCCCAACCGCAGCGGCTCCGAAACCGTTTATCTCGAGCAGGCCTATCCGCGCCCCAAGCACTTCTTCCCCATTGCTTTCGCGGTCCAGTCTGTGATTCTCTCTTTCAGCGCCAGCAATGCTATTGGTAAGTTTGCACCTTGGGAGGGGAACACGGACTCTGGAGCGCGTGGAAAGTACTAACAGATCACCAACCAGTCTTGTCCCGTTATATTTGGCGAATCGCCGAGAAGACCCCCACGGACTGGGAATCCAAGGGCGTGGCAGTCGCTGCTTATACGTTGGCCGTCATCTGCGTGATCGCGAACAACAAGTTCTCACTATGGGCGACTAACGTCCTGGGCGTCTTCAAAATCGCGCTCCTCATTGTCATCTCGATCACCGGCTTCGTGGTCCTCGGCGGCCACACGAGCGTGCCCAACCCGGGCGCGAACTTCGACAACGCGTTCGAGGGGACGACGACCAACGGGAACGACCTGTCCAGCGCCATGGTCAATATCGCATTCGCGTACTCGGGCTACCAGAACGCCTTCAACGTCGTCGCGGAGATCAAGCGCCCGATCCCGACCCTGAAGAAATACGCCACCATCTCTGTCCTGCTGGTTGCCGTGCTCTACATGCTGTGCAACATCGCTTACTTCGCGGCGGTTCCGAAGGAGATGTTCGCGGCGTCCAAGGAGATCGCAGCCGGCGTGTTCTTTACTGCTGTCTTTGGCTCACGGGGCTCCAAGGCGCTCAACGTGCTTGTGCTCTTGAGCGCGTTCGGCAACCTGCTTGCGGTTTTGATTGGACAGTCCCGCCTCATTCGAGAAATCGGAAGACAAGGTGTATTGCCTTGGACTCAATTCTGGGTTTCTACGAGGCCTTTCGGCACCCCTATTGGACCCTACTTGTTGAAATGGGCTGTCACGTTCATCATGATTGTTGGTCCTCCTGCAGGAGATGCTTTCCAATTCGGTGAGTCTGAAAAGCCCCACATGTTTTCCGAGTCATTCGAGACACTGACCCGTTATGCAGTCGTGAGTTTGAAGACATACCCGGACAGTATGTTCCTCGTCGCGATGACACTAGGCGTCTACATCTTCCGATACCGCTACAAACGAGTCGGTCGCGAGCGTGCAGAGTTCAAAGCCTGGGATGTGGCTGTGATCTTCTACCTGCTGACCAATGTCTACCTGTTGGTGATGCCGTGGTTCCCTCCAGAAGGGGGCCCATATGCTGGTGACGTTAGTTTCTGGTACGCCACGTATTGTGTTGTGGGCATTGGCATCCTCATCGTATGTGGTCTTTACTACATTGCTTGGATGTATGCCCTGCCCCGACTGGGCAAGTACGAAGTACGACCTGAGATTCTCGTGGATGTCGACAACAGGGGCGCTACAACTCACCGTCTGGTCCGCGTTCCACGCGACCAAGTCGCAGAGTGGGACGCGAATCACGATGAAGCTGGGAATCTGAGGCAGAGGCGCGTGGACGTTCATACTAGCCCCGACAGTGCTGAAAAGTTCGACAAGTCGGTGGTTTGAGGATAGGATTTACTATTGAATGATTCGCTTCGTGCGGTACTAGACCTGAGCAGTATATAATTATTTGTAGCGTTCGAGCTCGACCTGTCCGATTTCTTCTCGTAAGAAGGTAACAATGGCAAGAGAAGAGATACCACTCAATTTCATGAACTCATCATTGAATTCGCTACGTAATTACCAATGGCAATGAGTGATAAGACTCGAAAATGAAAAATTCGACTTGAAACACAAGAGCGTAAGGAGCACAAGAGGCAAATCCGCGCTGATCAAGGTCACTCCCGCTAACCCATCCCTCCCGACGTCACCAAACACCTGTGGGCCTGTTTGATTTGATCCCAAATCCAAACCCTCAAATTTCCCTACTGCTGAGACCTGAAGATAGCATCCTTGTTGAAATAACGACTGATGTCATTATCATGACCGCAGTTGTCACACTTGTGAAGAACCTTCGACCCAGTTCCGCTGGACCCAGACTGCCCAGCTAAGCCAGCAACACCTGATGTCAAACCAGAAGACGCAGTCTTGTCGTTTCCACCGCTGAAACCCTCTGTCGAGGACGGCGCATGCGGCTTGCCATCTGAGCCCAAGGCGCGATCTGCAACCTTCTCGGAAGTGTCAGTCCGGGGGTTCGTCTCATGCTCTTTGCCTTGACCGTAATTCGCGGCAAGACCCGTAGCCCCTGCACCGAAAGCTGTCCCTGCAGCTGCGTAACCAAGATCCGAGTGCCTGTTGTCCTTGCCTGTGTCTCCAACGGTGTTGGAAGAAGCGGGCTGTTGCTTGTTCCATGCTTGTTGGGCGGCGGCTTGAGCCACAGGCTGGCTTGGTTGGCTGGAGGCCTGCGTCTGATAACCGGCACCAGTGGTGGTGGAGGATCCCACGGGGGGCGAGTACTCGGAACTCCCTGCGCCGACGACGGTGTTGTGGATACCACCGCTGGTCGTAGGGTCATCTTGACGGCTCGTAGTGTCACGTTGAGCTCGACTGCCTGGAGCTGCTATGCCTGAGGTAGTTTCTCGTGTGCTGCTAGGCACCTCGTCTTTGCGCTCCTCTTTTCTGTTCGACGCCAACAATCCTCCTCCGGTTAGACCCGAGGCTCCAGCACCTGCTGCAAGGGCTTGCTCTTTTCTGTGGCTTTCGTTGTCGCCACTAGAGGTCGTTTTAGACGGCGCGGCAGCCTCAGCAATCCCAGTGCTCTGCGTGGCTCTGTTTGCATTGTCGTCGTTGCTCCAGTACGGGTAGTTTCCCGCAGCACTGGTGGCCTTTTGAGCCTCGGTCACTGGGTCATGACGGGAAGTGGCAGTCTGGCTAGGAGACTGGATGGTGCTTCCCTGTGTACCATGAGAACCAGTATCGCGCGTAGCCTCGTGCGGCTTGTCTTCCTTTTGCGAGGCGTAGTAGCCTGCTCCAGCGAGACCTGCGGCCCCAGCTCCAGCAGCAAGAGCTTCTTCCTTTCTGTGACTTTCGTTATCACCCGCTGAAGTCGTCTTGGTGGGAGTGGCAGTCTCGACGGGCTTTTGCGTAGTAGTCGAGGTCTTTGTGTGTTGAGTTGTTTTGCTCGTGTCCGAATGTGCTGGAGTCTTCGAGACCTCGTGAGTCGGTTTCTTCTCAGTTTTGTCGGCATCATCCTTGTCTCTGGTCGCGAGATGGGTTGCACCAGCAAGTCCTGCGGCTCCAGCAACCCCGGCGTCTCTCTTGGAGTGGTCATACTTCGAGTCCTCGGTTGCATCAGCTCGAGTTATCTCGTCCGCCCTGTTGGTGTCTTGATACTTCGAGCCCTCCGAGCCCAGGTATCCCGCACCAGCTGTGCTGGCGCCTGTTGCCAGGGCACCAGTAGCAAGGCCTGAGTCTTTGCCAAGCCCATGTTGCTGCTTCGTGGCACCGCTGTCTGGCCCTTCGGAACGATGAACGTGTTCGCCACCCTCACGGGGAAGGTTTCCCCAGTAGGGGTAATTGCCAGCTTCGCTAGTTGCTTGTTTCGTTTCTGGCTCGGGATCATGATGAGAGTGCCCAGTATGATGCAGCGCTCCTCGTTCAACATCTTCCGACTTGTCTTGATGAGTGTGTCCTGCATGCGGGGGCTCCTTTGTCAATTTGTTATGATCGCTATGATGCTTGGTGGAAGGCTCGTCGGAAGGGAAAGCGCCAGGGGCGTTCACGTCAGGAGTCTTGACATCGCTCTTGTCTTGGTCGTGATGACCGGTGAAAGCCTCCTTGATCTTCTGGCCGAGGTTGCTCATGATGGATCGAGGGGCTCAAATTGGGGAACAGATTATGTTATGAGGGGTGGAGCGGTTGTCTTGGAACGATGAGGGCACAATACACTGAGGCGATGGACGGGAAGTTGTACCTTTAAGCTTGTTCTCCAACCACCTCGTTCCTCAGGCAATGTCGAGCTTGTCTTAGCATGCTAGCCAAGCTCATTGACATGCAGTGTTCGTGACATCACAACAGCAGCTTGACCAGCCACAGATGATGTCGTTCCCACGATCGGCCGTGTGGATTGTCCTCAGCTGGGCCGCTTCTTTAGAGCCATTCCGCTTGGAGCTGTCGGCCAGCGTTGTAATGGGTTAGGTGTGCGCTTTCTGAGACACTAACAAGCGGCACTCGTGCGTCAATGACGAATGGCGCAAGCCACTGACAGCTAACGAGGGCCAGAATGCTTTTAGCTGAAAAATCGCGTCTAGGCCATACCGGCATGGCGGAACCTAGCGCGTCATGCAACGTCGATCCAGCGCAAATGCTTGATGGAAATCCCATATATCGGATTGTTAAAATCCAATGCTGCTAATGGTTGAGGAGACACGGGCAGTAGCTCGAGGCGATCCAGGTCGATGATTCGTGATGCCTGCTTAGGGCGACCAAGGAGGTCTGGACAACCTGGCCACGTGAATGATTGAGAAACAAGGCCGAAGATGAGATGATGCACGTGGCGGATCATATGAACGCGTCTCAGGACATCGATCCAGAGGCGGCCTAGGTCGTCTTCACTGGTCTGTTTGGCTTCCAACAAAATATTTCATGAACTAATCTAGAAGACAATCTTGACAAAAATATACAAGAAGCAAATACAATACCGGGCTGTGATACCATTTACGCCAGTTCGAGCACGTTTCAAGCAAACTGCCAACATTCGTTCACAAAAGAAGGCACATGTACATGTATGACAATAGATGCATAGGTAATCTGACCTATGAAGCAGGGTGTCCAAAGCACACTGTGGAGCAGGATATCATGAGCTATTGCCTTACTACTCTTCAAGTTCCTCTTCAGATCCACCACAAAATTAATACATCCTTTCTCAGCTTTCGATCTTCAACTTCAACCGACATGGTTCGATGAGATGCCTCAACATCCTCGCAAGTGTTCCGCGGCAACCCAAGTTTGGCAAGACACATGACAGTCCCCGTTGTTTGGTTTCATTTCAGCTAACTAGCTCTTCTCCAGTCACATTCTCACTCTCAACAATTTTTTGGTTCGCAACGCCCCAGTTATCGAGGACTTTTACCTTATTCCACACAGCTAAGCTGTGGTTAGGTTATAGGGTTCATAGTGCCGGCTTGCATCTCTCGTCGAGCACATGTCCACGCATTATGGATGCGTATCATCGGCTGACAGCCTATGGAATACAAATATAAATCCGGAGGATTTACGATACCCGCCGCCAAGATAGACCCCAGCTATCTTTATGTGATGTCTATGTGACAGTCGACGTCTGTCACATTCAATGTCATATATCTTGTGTGGGTTAGGGGTCCGCCAGTGGTGTGAGGCAGGCGGAGATTACCGAATTTAGCTGACGCAACTAAGGTTAAAAGATGGGGGCCTTGGGGTTAGGCGTGATCGTGCTTGCCGTCGAGCTAAAAAGACTTGGGAGCGGATTGTGCCCGCGTGAAACGGGATGGCTCGGCAGTCAATACCCACGATGCTGCTCACGCCATTCAAGATTCACCGCGTCATTTTTACGATCGAGCTTCGTTGATCTTCCGAAATCTTGAAATACACGGCAGATCTCCCCCCCCCCCAGCACAATCTTGCCCCATTTGCACTGCTCCCCAATCTTACCAGCCTTGCATTCTTTCAGCGCTGCCGAGAGCGTGTATGAGGATCAATCTCGAGCTGCATTAAGCCATCGCACTCGCTTCGTGGTGCGCGATCAAACCCGTCCAGGTAGCGAGCAGAAGCCCACGCCAAGGGTCCAGGCTGAGCACTTTGGAGTCATCGACTGCAAAGAGACCATCGGTCCAACCGAGACGGAAGAAATCGTGCTTCGTCGGGAGCGGTGAGTACGCTCACCCACCCTCACTTCCACAATCAGCTGACTTATTCCTCAGTCGAAGGCGGCACCAGGACCCTTCATGACTAAAATAGCACTAGCCGGTCAGTCTTGGTGAACCCTGTCCCTTGCCTTTCCCTGTCCCAGGCGCTTTCATCTGTACTCTTCCCGGTGATAGGCTCAATCCCACAATATCGCCCATCGATTCTGCAATTTGTAGTCCAGATGATCAAAGACCGCTGGAGACACGGGCCACTCCTGCCGGGGTGTTGTCGACGGCGTCGCCTCCAAATTCAGATCAGCTTGTCGTTTTCGTTGTCGTTGCCCTAGACCTGGTGTAATTATGGAAACACAATCGAGCTGTACTTTTGCGTTTCTGTCAACGGCATCGATGCAGCTATTTGAATTCCGAGGAGTGCCGGGTGGTTCTGACTTCACCTTATAAGCCGTGTCGGACTCACCATTCTCTTTTGCCATGTTTTGAAACTTTCTGGAATTGGTTCGCAGTCTTCGAGAGGGTGTTCGTCTGCGGCTGTCCCCGTCATTCCTCGGTGGTTGTTCCGATTTTTCCTTTTTTTTTTCTTCAACAGGGAAAAAGCGGGCGTCCAATGGCGACCTGCACACTGAGTCGCGACAAAGCCTGAGTTGCTTACTGCGAGATATGGGAGTCCCCACTTCACTCGCACAAGACGTACCCCCCAGGGTCTCGACGTCCTCGGGCCTAGCAAGGCTTGATACCTTGTGACGAAAATCCCGGTGCGATTGTCGACGTTGAGCTGCTGAGGGTCACGGATGCATGTGTATGGTGGAACGCCGTGGTCACGATGCCCGCATCAATCGCCGTTCCAAGGGAGCAGCTGAACAAATGCAGCAGGGCAAGACTCTTATCTTGATCCTTTTGGCCGCAGCGGCAAGCCGTTCATCACCTCAAGGGGGATGTGGGTTTTGCTCCCGCCCACTGACAGGCTTTTTCCCGAGAATGACAGTACGGAGTGGACCCAAGCCGCTGGCTAGTATCTAGTCAGAAACCCTGCAAGCCACCAGCGGTTCGCTGCACCATCTTCTGCATAAATTGCTTGACGTTGCATTCGAGGCCAGCGTTACGAAGATCTTACGATGGGCCAAACGACCCAGTTCGCATTGGCAAAGGCCAACTAAGTGCCAGCGGCCAAGTCATAGCATTCCCGCCCTCCTGTCGAGGACCATGGCTCACACGTCTCGCCTGCTTATTCGCCCGGTCTTACCGAGTGGCAGTTTCAAAAACAACCAGCCTAGCAATATTCTACCTTGTGGTCGAGGACGTGCTGCAGGCGACCTCGGGACTTCGACGCACCAGAGTGGATCAGGGCGGTCAGTCCATAGCAGATTGTCCACAATGAGAGGAGCTCCTCGCTTGAAAATCCAGAAGATGGTGGTGGGCCCCTGGGAATTTAGATCCACTGTGGGTGACACCACGCTCCAAAGCGCCCCAACCTGGGGCCAACATATCGCAGATCAGGCTCTGGCGGCAGGGATAGAGCTTGACATCATTTCTGGCATGACTGGCACGTGGCTTGATGGTATTTGAAGTACAGGGCCTTTGCCCGGGGGTCGTAACACGATCAAAATGGAGAAGCCAGGTCGAGGAAACCAGGGGCGATCCATCGACGGCCAGAGGAGTTGCCGCAAACAAAGCAAAACACAGGCGTACGCTAGCAATATGCATAAAATTACATCTCATACTCGTCCGACACTTTACTAATTCCGAACCGTCAGGACGACTCTACGACACGATGGCGACGGCGCAGGGTCTCAGCAACTCCACTCGTCAGCTGAACTACAAGAACCTCTCCCGCGACCGCCACGACATCCGCCTCCTGGAAATCCAACCCGCCAGTGACATCAGTGACATAATCGTCGCCCGCCTCGTCAACCGACAGCTGACTCCTGACCTGGAATACGTCGGAGTGTCGGCTCTGTACGGGGACACTGATGTCTCAGAGAAAGTCCAGATAGACAACAAGCGCATCGCGCTGCCCGCCAACCTAGGGCAGGCCCTACGACATGCGAGGGCAGTCTTCTCGCAGTCCGACACGAGCTCGAATGCCTCCGAAGGAGAGGGGTCCTCGATGGAGGCGAGGAGGTCAAAGGATCCAAAGCCCGACAAGAAACCACCTCGCTGGCTCGGCAACATCCTCCGCGGCCTTGGCTTCCAACGACCCGAAGTTGACCGCGCAAAGAACCAGAGCACAACGCTGCTCGTCTGGCTGGACGCGGTCTGCGTCAACCGGCGAGACGCACGGGAGCAGAAGGAACAGCACAGGATGATGTCGAACGCATACCGGAACGCCAAGGCCGTCGTGGGATGGCTGGGCACCAAGGACGAGATGAGCGACATAGCCGTCAACGTCATCCGAACCTGTGACAGAGCCCTCCCGCACCACTTTGGTACCCCCGAGGACAAGGAGCTTCACCCGGAAAACTACCCACCACACTACGTCTGGATGGAGGAGATCAAGCCCCTGTGGCACATGCCCGAGGGCATGACGGATTTCTGCGACCTGCCCAACGTCATCGCCCTCTCGAAATTCCTCCAGAGACCATACTTCCAGCGAGACTGGATTCTGAACGAGCTGGCGCTGGCAACTTTCCCGACGTTCCTGGTCGGTGACGAGATCGTGAGCTGGTCCGAGGTGCTGCGGTGGAATCGGTGCAACGAGGAGTTGATCGACGTGGCGACTGCCCACTTTCCCGAGGAATACAGGAAGGTGATCGAAAAATTCATCCCACTGGGCACAGTAAGTGAACCCTCAAGATACCTTGATTTTTTCCCCCTCCAAATGCGCTTAGGGCATCCACTCGTTATGCACGAGCCCCGGCCCCAGAGTCACAAGCTCCTGGAACTGCCCTACCTGGTCGCGCCCATTCCCTTAACTCGCCTGTCGTCACCTAGACCAAACATAACTAATACCTTGGGTCCAGGTGTATACTATGCTGAAGGAATTCGAAAGGAGGAGGGACAGTCCAAGCTATGGCTCTGACACGAGGTCGATGCTCACGCGTGGCTCGTCCAAGAGCAATTGAGTGAGTGGCTCTGGATCACGAGGAAAGGCACTTTGAAGTGCTCGTCGTGTGCGGTGTTGGTTACGAATGGCTCATGGCTTCCACGGAAGAAACGATTTTTCTTCTTCTCGATCTAGTCTTTATATACCCACAGCCCCTGTTATCTGATTACCCAACCTGCCAACGGTCGAGCCTTCACACCTGACCTGTCTCTTATGCCTCTGATAGCTGTTGTTGCGTTGCGTTTGATCTCGTCCTCGTCCATGTTCACCAGCTGCCCCTTCTCAACGACTAACTTCCCGCCCACGATCACGGACTCCACGTCCGCCGCGGTACAGCTATGCACCACCACGGTCACTGGACCGATGCCGCCCTCGACGATCTGCGCCTCCTCAAAAGGTGCCGCACTAATCGGAACACCCACCACCACAAAATCCGCCTTCTTTCCCGCTTCCAAACTCCCCACGTCCCCATCCAGGCCCAACGCCTTCGCACCATTGATAGTCGCCATCTCCAGCACGGTCGTGGCAGGCAGAGCATCGGCCTTCATCCTCGTGCCCGCCTGCAGCACGCTCGCCATGTGCATCTCGCGGAACATGTCATAGGTGTTGTTGCACGGCGCGCCGTCCGTCCCCAGGCTGACATTCACGCCCGCAGCCAGCATGTCCGGGACCGCGGCGACGCCCGACGCGAGCTTGCAGTTGCTCGTGGGGTTGTGCGCCACGCTGACGCCCCGGGAGCTCCGCGCGAGAAGGGGCAGGTCGGCCGCCGCGTCCAGGTGCACCATGTGCGCGAGCACGGTCTTGAAGGAGGAGCCCTCCGGGCCTGCGTCGATCAGGCGCGCGTCCTCGCAGAACTGGACGGGCGTCCTGCCCTCGTAGCAGTCCCGGTAGATCTCCCGGTCCCGCGACGCCTCGGCGCAGTGCATGGTCAGGTTGGCCCCGTGCTCGTGGCAGGCGGTCCCGATGGCGTGGTGCTCGGAGAGCGGTGACCCTCGGGGCGTGCTGGCTGCCATCCAGACGTGGAGCCGGTCGGAGAAGGAGCCGTTGTGGGCTTGGTGGGCTGCGAGCGCGGCTTTGATGGACATCTGCGCCAAATCCCTGTCACGGACGTCGGAAATCTGAGTGTCGGCGGCGGTCCTCTGTGGTTTTACCAACTTGCCCTGGCGAGGGAATATGTCAGTATCCTGGTATTCTGGCATGTTTCAAGTCCCTTGCAAATGTTATGGCTTACCAGGCAGGCCCTAATTCCAGACTCGCCCACAGCTCGTACAACATTGTCGAAGCCGGCGCTATGCGTGAGCATCGCCTCGAGGAATGTTGTCGTGCCTCCTTTGAGCAACTCAGCAATCGTCAACCGAGCTGCGTGATATCCATCGTCTGTGTCATAAGACGCCTCTAGAGGCCAGATGGCATCGCACATCCATGGATGAAGCCATAAGTCCTCGGCCAAACCTCTGAGGAGGGACTGAACCGTATGACAATGAGTATTGATCAGACCAGGTATGATGATCTTGCCAGCCAAGTCAACTATTTGGACTTCTTGATCTCTTGGGAACTCAGGATGCGCAGTAACGGCCGAGTATTTGTCCACCAAGGCTATGCGATTGCCAACAACCAAAATTGCACCGTCAAGAATGATCTCGCGCTTATTGTTGACCGTGATGATTGTGGCATGCTGGTAAAGTGTAGACATCATGGCTCCTAAAACGAGGCGAGTCTCGGTGTTCGTAATCGTCTTCAGTGTAACACAGTGTTGAGTTAAAATCTTAAAAAATCATGTCGGTAGTTGCATTCATGCGGTCCTTCTCCGGCATTTCTAAGCAATCAGTCGTCCGGCAGGCGGGGGATTCGTGTTCCTCGGAGTACTCCGGTTGGTTGAGGGCTTTCACCTTCGAGAGGGGGATGATAAGAAAATTGCCAAAGGCAGCGTATCATTCAAAACCAAAATCAGAGCCGGCTTTCCTCGAACTTTCAGCTGCGACAGAAAGTCTTCGAGAAGGTCGAAGCAAAAGTGGTGATGATATGGCTGTCCGAGTTACCCCTGAAGCGCGAGGGAGACGACAACACTGACGAGTCGTACGCAACGTCCAAACGCGGCAGCGGCATGACTGAGAAGTCTTCTCGATGGCGAAATGTCAGGGAATACGTTACCAGCAAGGAGGGATGGTTTGGGAATTATGTACGTTGTAGTCTGCTCCGTCCCAGCCTGGAGTTGTGCACGCACAGACATCACTGACAATGATCTCCCAAGGACTATCTCTACCTCGTTACACCAAACATATGGCCCATGAACAAGATTTACAAGGATCATGAGCCTCCATTCTACGGTCTCAACGACGAGGTGCCTATCTTGTTAACCATAATCCTCGGCTTACAACACGCTTTGACAATGATCGGCTCCGTCGTCTCTCCTATCCTTGCCCTCGCCGGCGGTGCCTTCTACCTAGACACGGCGACAACCGAGTACCTCGTCTCCGCCTCCTTCATAACCACAGGCATCGCGACTGCCCTCCAGGTGACGCGCATCCACATAGCCAAGACGCCGCTGTTCATTGGGACCGGCCTATTGTCCGTGGTTGGCCCAACTTTCGATATCATCGCCATCGCCATCGCCTACACGGCCAAGTTGTACGCCAGCGGCTCCTGCCCCACGGGCCCAGACGGGACCCAGCTCCCCTGCCCTGACGCCTACGGCGCCCTCCTCGGCTCGCTGCTGTGCACCGTCTGGATCCAGATCGCAATGTCGCTCGTCCCTCCCAGGCTGCTGAACAGGGTCTTCCCCAAGCTCGTCACCGGCACGCTCCTGCTCCTCGTGGGCGTCTACCTCATCGGCAACGGCATGCAGAACTGGGGCGGCAGCAGCAGCTGCCACGACGGGACGGGCTTCTACGCGCTCTGCCCCAGCGTCGACGCGCCGCGGCCCCTGCCCTGGGGCGATCCGAAGCTCATCGGCCTCGGGTTCAGCGTCTTCGCGACGATCGTGCTGGTCGAGTTCTTCGGGTCGCCCCTGATGAAGTCCTCGAGCGTCATCTGCGGGCTGGCGGTGGGGTGTGCCATCTCGGGCGCGACGGGGTACTGGAGCCCCAGTCAGATCGAGCAGGCGCCTGTGGTGACGTTCCTCTGGGTGAGGACGTTTAAGCTCTCGGTAGATGGGGCTCTAATTTTGCCTTTACTCATCATGTTCATCTGCCAAGGCGTCAGCACCATGCCGGATGTCCTGGCCACGGCCGAGATCTCCGGCGTCGAGATCGAGGGGACCCGGTTCAACAGCCGCATACAAGGAGGCATCCTCTGCGACGGCCTGGGTAGTCTGTTTAGTGCGCTGGGAACGGCCGGGCCGATGGTTGGCCAGGCCGGGAACAACGGCGTCATTGTGCTCACGGGCTGCGCGAGCCGGAGAGCAGGGTGGTGCGCCTCTGGCTTCCTCATACTGATGGGCATATTCGGCAAGTTCGGTGCCATCTTCGCTTCGATGCCGCCCTCGGTCTTGGGTGGAATGCAAGTCTTCCTGTATAGCACCATTGCCGTGGCTGGCGTGCGGGTGCTGGCGTTGATACCCTGGACGAGGCGGAATCGTTTCATTCTGTCGACGTCCCTGGCCATCGGCTTCATGGACATTGTACAGCCGACCTGGTTCAGCCAGGTACTCGATTACAGCGGCTCGAACGTGCGCTTGTCTGGCTTCTTACAAGGCGTCAATTTGATTGTGGAAACGCCTTTCATCATTGCCGCCGTAATCGGGGTGTTTTTGAACCTCCTGCTACCGGATGCGGAGGTGGGAAGTGGGCGAGTACAAAGCCTGGCAGGTAGTCTGAGAGACGACTAGCAAGTCTGCCAAGATAATGCAGAGTTGGTTTCAGAGATGTGTGGATTTGAAGCGACTATGACATATAGAAAGGGGTGGCCAATGTATCCCTAGAGAACTAGAATGATAACAAATAGAACTACAGAATGTTGCATACATCGACTGAGACGATCTTCTTCTGAACTATGTCTTTCCCCTCACCCAACTCTCATTTATGAATCCAGAAGCCTTGTGTCACGAATTTGGCCGCTATACTATAAGGACAAAAGTGACGCCACTAATGCACAGTACACCCGGGTCCTTATAACGCGACACCTTGTGTTCTCATCTTGTGTATATGTGGGAAGGCTCACCTTCGCAATGTCTCTCGAACCATCTACTCTGCTAGTTCTGCGTGAACAGGTTCGCAAGACTTGTATTCAGGATAAACCAGGAGTCTCAAAGCCCAAAGACACGGGATGAATATGAAGAGAACGGGTATTCGTACCCGCCAAAAAGGAGGGTACACCCGCTCATCACTCGCGCCATAGCTGCAGCTCATCAGAGCACATCACCCAGGCCTATTCGCACACCTACACACCCTACACTCAGCACCCCCACACCCAGCACCCATACACCCAATCTACACACTTGATTAGCATACCTATTAGCCCTAAGCATATGAATTAAATATGCAAATGAGGCATATAGATATTAGATATGTAAACTAGGTGTATGAATTGAATATGCGAATTGGGCATGTAAATTAGATGTATGGGTGTACCCTCCGTTTGCAAATATCCGTTCTCAATATGAACGCCTGGACTTAGATGTAAGGTAAATATCGAAAAAGGTCTATACATTCTTTGCTCGCATGTAGGAAGTTAAAATTTAGTCCTGCTATATGTTCACGATGTAATCATACCGTAAATCTCCATTTTCTACAAGTAGATTACTTGTCATAAAGTTTCTGAGGGCTGATCGAGGATCTACTCAGTATGTGCGTATTACCCTGTGCGCATGAGACGATCTGCGTACGCTCTACAACCAAGTGTGCACGATGCTTCCTGACAACATCTTGAGCCTGCGAGACGGCATGGTTATAGAGGGAGTGCAGAGGGCCAGATCCAAACCGGTCAGACCCATGGAAGCGACGCTCTGGAGACAAGACCTCGGGAATCACACGACAGGCAGTCAGGCAGCCAACGTAGTGTGACATCCTGATTTTCGAGTCACGAGACTGGCCAGACAGGCCGCAGGTGCAATTAAAATTGTAAGTTTACCTTGGAGCGGTCGTCGGCCGTTACAGAAATTACACTTTAGTCTCGCGGTGCGGCTACAATCGTACTAATGGCTCCAATGGCTGACGCTATTCGCAACCGGAATCTGAGTAAGCTCCCGAACAGCATCCCCATCGGCGGCCATGCAGAAGCCCGGAACATGTGACACAGCCGTGTCACGTCAACTAGGTGCGTGTGATGGCAGATCTGAGAGAAACGGCCCGTTCGCGGCGCCGCTGCAAACAATTTGTGCTTTTTTGTTGATACATATTGCCTACCGATTTGCGCCACGTCGCACACGCAGGGTCGCCACTCGGGCCATCACATCCACCAACGCATAGCGCTGGCGCCAAGGCATTGGTTAATGGGCAGGCTGTCTGTGCCACCTATGGGCAACCGCGTTATAGTCTATGCGGGTGACCGAGATCCCCCGCAATATCGACTACTATCGACTACCATATCTGGTAAATGTCTCTCACGGATGTTGGCAGTGGCAAACATGCATGAGTCGAAGCATCACCTTGCATGTAGGGGCTATAGGCGTCGTTGGTCGCATATCAGACAAGATTGTGCGGAGAAAATAATTCATGCTCTGGAGAATGCCAGGGAAGTGCCTGCGACGTTGTGCTAGCCGGAGAGGAAGATCTGCCAAGATCTGGAGCCTCCCGTCGCATTCGGGGGCGGGCGTGTGCCGATCTGGATGGACCCTTGCGGCGATTACGCGCGGCAAATGCAGCGCGCCTCTTGAGAGAGACAGGCAGACAGGGCGAGCAATCGCCTTGTGGGCTTCCAGGCTCGATGATCCAAATCAGGATTGCGTCGTCGTCTGGGGCACAATCACAAGGGATCAGCAGGCGCCTTGATCAGCCACGACGGATACAAGGCATGCGGGGGCGTCAAGTAGGTGCTGGTCGAGTCAGAGGGCCTGCAGCAGTCAATCCCTGACACCGGGCAAGGCTGGCCGGCGGACGATGCATCAAGGGACAGACAAGCAGACGGCCATACGGCATTGTTTGTGTATATTTGTGTTTCGAAACATGACTTGCTCTCCTGGTCTGGCAGATGGCTCTGTGCAGTGCCATCAAGTTCTGCAGGTTCGGATGCCCAAGTGGGAGAGCGGCCGTGCGGGTCCCTCATGCATTGACGGCAGGTTACGATAGGCCAGATGTGGGGATGTTTCAAAACACTCCCTTGTTCCCCGTAACGAGGAGTGACAGCGTCTCGGGGGAAGAGAGTGACCGAGCGTTCATCCGAAGATGCTGTCGAATGGAATCTTTTAACCTTAGAGTGAGAAACAACAGTGCGAGCCAGTCAAGGCTGTCGAAACAAGCCCAACTCGAAACAAGTTCGTCCATTCCACGGCAAGACGGCTTAATTGCCCGGTAACCTTACTCGTCGACGGGTAGGCGCAAAGAAAAAAGTGAGGCATAAACCCGAACAGAGGCCAGCAGATTAGGCCAGCGGGATCAATTGACGTGGCCGTCTCTCTCTCTGTCCATGCAGCCCGGATAGAGGATTTGCTTGGTTGGGCACCCGGCCGCGTGCCTTTGTCCGCATTGCTGCCCTGACGCGCATACAGCTGGGGGCAGTCACACTCGGCAAAGAGCTGGTTGTGGCCCAGTCGAGCAGCACGGCGAGAGGCGAGGTGAGGAGGAGGCGAAAAGGGGGCCCACGACTTGTGTACAAACATGGCCTGCATTGACATATTGACAGGCTCAATCTCCCCACCGAGCCGCGAGGTCCAAGCTAGCCAAACAACGGCCTGCAAGGCACGGAAACTAAAACTGTCAAACGGCGCTAAGTCGACAGGGGTGACGGACCACCCCTGTCGCGGGATGTTTCTGAAACGGAAGGTTGACCACCAGTTCCATTTTGGGAGGGCAAGCGCCATGACGGTGCTTATGTCAACCGACGGAGTCTGACGATGGGGCGTTAACAAGCTGCAGGCGGTGAAGTGCACAACTGGCTGACTGGCAGTCGAGCGAGGCGAAGACCAGATGGGGGCGGTATGAAGGGAAATATCAGTGCTATGATCAGGGATACGCAGGAGATGCCTCGCTACCTGTGTACAATTACAGTAGAGTCCAGATGCAGTCCAGATCCAGGGGCACTGAGCCGTGGCGAATCACGGCACACGGGCAGGGTTGCCCTTTTTGGAAGGGAGGGACGGGTGCATGAGAAGAGCTGCAGAACCACGCAACGACAGGCCAGGAACTCGTCCTCGGTGGGCCGACGGCAACTCAATCAAGCACCCTGCATCATCCCATCTTTAACCTCACTTTACTTTCGACATTCCATGTCCACCCATCGCCGTGGCCCCGTGGCGGCAGAACCATGAAAAGAGAGACTTGGCTCACCGGACAAGGTTGGGCAGAGTTTGGATCTGTGCGCTGCTGATTGGCGCCGGGATGGCTTCTTCTCTAGCACGATACAGCACCACCTGCTGAAGCTTGGTCCCATGTCAAGCTTCGTCTGACACGCAGTAGGGGCAGCTTGTCCACGCTGGGCACCTGCTTGCGAGACGTGTACGGTGTGCGTGTGCGTGTTCGTGCATGCAGCCTGTCTGCATGTGTGCGTGCGAGAACATGCGTTGGGATGGCAGGTGGCAGGTCCCAGGTGAGTTCTTCATGCCGCATCGCCCCAATACGCCCGCCGTACGTCCGTACAGCCAGCTAACAAGTAGATTAGCAGCTACCAGTCAGTAGATACGTGTTCCGATGTGCTAGATTTGTCGTTCGTTGAGGTGGTACCTGACATCTGCCGCCCGGACCTGGATGCTCGCGGGTTGCCGCCCGCGGGCGTCTCCCAAAATACCCGTCCTGCTCCAGAATCGCTCCGATTAGGCACGGAGAATGCCTGGATCTTGATTTCGGGCCAGAAAGTCCGGCGGAACGGTGAGTATCTCCACGGCTCGTGACAGGCATCAAGGACAGGTCCAGATCGAAAGTGTAGGGGGCATGAGGGACACTGCTCTCGCTACCATCAGACGAGGAACACCGGAGGACCAAACAGGCAGAATAATAGAACAGTATAGGGCAGGGTTCCGGGATATTTTCAATAGCGACTCGACACGCGGGTGGGGTCTGCCACAGCACCGAGGGGGTGAACAGGTGGAAACACGAAAAAGCCGGGATGGGTTGACTGGTTCAGGGGAGCTTGAGCTCTGGCGCCGCAACAGTCAGGGTGGGCGCCTTCGCTGGATGGGACCCTCCCTCCCATCACCACATCCCTGCAGCCCCTTCAACACCATGCCCGCCACCTTGGATCTCCCGCCTCTCCCACCTTGCTTTTAACACGACGCGACCCAACTACAACCCTTAGTTCCTTTCCCTTCTGCCACTTTCATCACATCTTCTTCATTCATTCTTGACAGCTACACGCTCCTGTGGAGTCATTCTTTCCTTTCCTCCCACCTCGATCCGCCACTCTGCAGAGCAGTAAGCAGTATCGCAGCCTTCTGTCTCAAAAACCCTCTACATGTGAGTATTCATACCGTCAATCACAGTCATTCTTGCTTCTTCTGTGACGTCCTCGTCATGACCCGCTGCAAACCACCAAGACATCCAACTCATCACTTGTCCCTGCCCTGTGTCGAGACCCCCATCATCTGCCACTGCGCCCCCCAAGTCAACAACACCTTGAAGCAAGGGCAACCACGGGGGCAAGCGAGCAGCTTGTCCTGTTGAGCTTTATTGTCTCATATCTGATCATGTGGGGGTGGCGGGTGACTCGACCTCGAGTGAATTGTTACCACACATTGGGGCCATTGGCAAGGCATTGCCCACAATGCCATCGAGGCAGCTTTGTTTGGCAGACCTGGCACAAAGAACAGCATTGTCACAATCATCCATGGCATTGTGATTCAATGGGGGCCGTGTCTGTGCTGTTTATTGTGCCTGCTTGCTACTTCTACCTTCCCTTCACTCACCACCAGTCGAGTCCTCACCATTTGAAATCCTCTGCCATACAAAACATCTCACTTTTTCTTTCTCTGCACAACTGTCCCATTTCCATCCACAAATCGTTGTTTCCTTTCACAAAAAGATCGATTCTGCCAGCCAGAAACATTCTGCAACTGTTCTTTACAGCTACACTGCGCAATCCGTAACACGTATTTTGCAACCTACTGACATCGGACACCTCAGACATCACCTTTACTTTCCTTCCAAGTCATTTCATCCACAAGACATAGACGAATAGCTGTGCTACGTCAAGATGATCTTCTCCAAGCTCATCACGAGCGTCCTGCTGGCGCTCCCCGCCTTGGCGGCTCCAGCTCCTCAGGCCTCTGATGCTGCTGCTTCGGGTAGCAGCAGCTACTGGCTCGCCGACATCGCCAGGAACGGCGCCCCGGCGTTCGGCACGGCAGACTACAAGGTCTTCCGGAACGTCAAGGACTACGGTGCCGTTGGTGACGGTGCTGCCGACGACACTGCCGCCATCAACAAGGCCATCTCGGACGGTGGTCGCTGTGGTCAGGGCTGTGGATCGTCCACGACCACACCTGCCATCGTTTACTTCCCTCCCGGTACCTACATGGTCAGCGAGCCGATCGTGCAATTCTACTACACCCAGCTCGTCGGTGATGCAGTCCAGCTTCCTACCTTGAAGGCCCTGCCTGCTTTCGAGGGGATGGCCGTGATCGATGCTGACCCCTACAACTACGAGGATGGCAGCAACTGGTACACCAACCAGAACAACTTCTTCCGCCAAATCCGAAACTTCAACATCGATCTCACCGGGCTCGACCAGTCCAAGGGTGCGGGCATTCACTGGCAGGTGGCTCAGGCAACCTCGCTGCAGAACATCCACTTCAACATGGTTCAGGGTGGTGACGCTGCTAACCAGCAGAAGGGCATCTTCATGGACAACGGCTCTGGCGGTTTCATGAGCGACCTGTCGTTCACCGGTGGCGGTATTGGCATGTTCATTGGCAACCAGCAGTTCACCACGCGTAACCTGACCTTCAGCAAGTGTAACACCGCAATCTACATGAACTGGAACTGGGTCTGGACGCTCAAGGACGTCAAGATCGACAGCTGCGGACTCGGTCTCGACCTTAGCACGGGCGGCCCCGGTGCGCAGACTGTCGGATCTGCTCTGTTCCTTGACAGCACCATCACCAACACCCCGATCGGCGTCAACTCTTCGTACGCCACCACGCAGACTGGTACGAACGGAACCCTGATCATCGAGAACGTCGACATGAGCTCTGGCGTGGACATTGCCGTCAAGGACTCCAGCAGCGGCGCGACCATCCTTCCAGGCAACCAGAAGGTGGCAAACTTCGTTCAGGGCAACACCGTCTCCGGAGGTACTCCTGTCAAGGCTGTCCAGGCTTCCCAGTCGACCGCGGCCAAGCCCGAGTCTCTGCTCAACTCAGCTGGCGGAGTCTTCACACGCAGCAAGCCTCAGTACGAGACCGTTCCTGCTGCCAACTTTGTTTCGGGTCAAGTCCGCGGGCGCGAAGGGTGACGGCCAGACCGACGACACGGCAGCCATCCAGAAGGCCATGGACAGCTTGACTGCCGACCAGATTCTCTACTTCGACCACGGCGCATACATTATCACCGACACTGTCAAGGTTCCCAAGGACATCAAGATCACCGGTGAGATCTGGCCCTTGATCATGGCCAAGGGAGCCAACTTCGCCAACATGGAAGCCCCTCGCCCTGTCTTCCAGGTCGGCCAACCAGGTGACACTGGTGCCGTCGAGATGACCGACCTCATGTTTGAGACGGCCGGTCCCGCCCCAGGCGCCATCATGATCGAGTGGAACCTCAAGGCCTCTTCTCAAGGTGCGGCGGGCATGTGGGATGTTCACAACCGTATTGGTGGTTCCGCTGGCACCGACCTGTTGGTCGGACAATGCGCCAAGAACAACGGCACTACCCACGGCGCCAACGAGGCTTGCGAGGGTGCCTTCATGATGATGCACGTCACCAGCTCCGCCGCTGACGTCTACCTGGAGAACACCTGGTTCTGGGTTGCCGACCATGACCTCGAGCCCACTGCCAACTCGGCCCAGATCGACATCTACAACGGCCGCGGCGTTCTGATCGAGTCCCAGGGCCCTGTCTGGTTGTACGGCACCTCATCTGAGCACTCCGTCCTCTACAATTACCAGCTCGTCAACGCCTCGGCCGTCTACATGGCACTCATCCAGACCGAGACTGCCTACTTCCAGGGCAACCCAGTCGCGCCCACACCCTTCACCATCAACGCGACCTACACTGATCCTAACTTCGACGGCGTCGCATCCAAGGACGCTCGCACGTGGGGTCTCCGTGTCGTGGACTCCAAGGATGTCTTTGTGTACGGTGCCGGTCTGTACTCGTTCTTCGACGACTACAACCAGGAGTGTCTCGTTACCGCGGACTGCCAAAGCAACATGGTCTCGATCGAGAGCTCGGCGGTGCACCTTTTCGGCCTGTCCACCAAGGCCGCCACCAACATGGTGACTGTCGATGGCGAGTCCAAGGCGCTTGACGCCGACAACCGCAGCACTTTCTGCGCGACGCTCAGCTACTTCAGCACTGCCTAGGGTGCCACACGCGCAGCACAAGACCTTCTCGCATTTGTGCGATGACGACTTCACTTCTTTATGATCGGCCCACAGTGGCATTTTTCACGATTCTCTTCTTCTTTCTCCATGAAGGCCCTTCGTGGGTAGCATGGAAGGCGTTTCGGTTCGTAAGGGAAGCTGGAGATACCATCTGGATATGAATCCATCGATTGTTTTCAAAAATTCAAATTGGGAGGACCAGTACATAGAAAAAGGCCAGGGTCACAGTGTGCCCGTTCTCGTCGGTTGATGGGAGGGCCAGTACATAGGATGATCAATGGATTACTCTCAAACAAATATGACTGCCTTGCCTCTTGTCTGACCTGAAATGTTCAACCTGAAATTCAGTGTGTCACGGTATGCTTCTAGATGTAGAACATGCTGCAACGGTCAGTGACAAAGACGAGGAATTGTGCCAAGACCTTGCTGGTGCTCTGTGGAGGCAGCCTGCCTTAGCCCGGCAGTTGCTAACAGTGCTGCACCGATGCTTACCCAGACAATGTTAGTGCAGCTTGGATTCTCTCAGGCCCCACCAGTTTCTGGGAGGCCAGCGAGCTCCGTGGCAGCGCCCCAAGATTTCGGCAACGTCATAGCTCGAATAGGACTGGCAACAAAGGCGACTGTCGTTTTATAGGCGAGGGCCAAATCTTGCATGTCCCCTTGCGCTCACCCTCGCCGCCTCCCCAACCTTACCCAGCTGTAGAACGAGTCCGGTGACCAAGTACGACGCGCAACGCTTGCTGCCTTGTACGAAGACTACGGAGCTGCGTGTGCATTGCGACCTCGAGCCCACGGCTTGGGGCCTCTGCCGATCTTCTCTCGCGTCCGACCTCGAAACCTCCAACCTCCCTCCCGACCGGCCCCCTGCCCCTGCCTCTGCCTCTGCCTCTGCCATGGAAGGCTCACAAGCCCGGGATACTAGACAACGTACGGGCACGACCTTCTCCGTCCCCGACGACAGCCGGCCTGCATCACCCCAATCCGAAGGCGGCAGCTCCTCTTCCTCTTCCTCCCGCCGCCGCCCGACCATGGCGCGCAACCCGCCCTTCCTGCCCACGCCGCTCGAGGCGGCCGCGCTCCTGCTGTACCCGATAATCCTGACCTTCGGCACGCTCTTCTCGCTGCTCTCACCGCAGGTCCGCAACGCGCCCTACTTCCCCGCCATGCAGGCGCACAGCCAGGACCCGGGCCTGTCGCCGTCGTACTTTGCGCGCAAGTCCAACGTGTTTAACGTCTACTTTGTCAAGCGCGGCTGGGCCTGGATCTCGCTCGCCTTCTTCGTCTTCCTCTTCACGCACCCGGCCGTCCGGACCGGCCAGCAAAAGACCCGCGCCCTGGTGCGCTGGGGCCTGGTGACCACATGGTGGGTGCTCGTCACGCAGTGGTGCTTCGGCCCCGCGCTGATCGACCGGTCGTTCCTCTTCACGGGCGGCAGGTGCGAGCTCGCCGAGGCGAAGCTCGAGGCCGGCGCGGGCGTCACCGGCAGGGACATCTTCACCGCTGTGGCGTGCAAGACGGCCGGCGGGAAGTGGCGCGGCGGCCACGACATCAGCGGCCACGTCTTCCTGCTGGTCCTGGGGAGCTACTTCCTGCTGCAGGAGGTCGGCTGGGTGTATCTGAACCACTGGAGGCGAGGGGCCGCCGGCGGTGTCGTCGAGCTGAGGGACGAGAGGAGCATCATCATGCACGACGGGGCCGTTAAGAGCGCCACCGTCGAGGGCGAGCGCGACCACTCGGAGGGGGGAGACACGGCCCGTCCGCGTGGTGCCTGGGATGCGCTCGCGCTGGGAGGGAAACTCGCGGGCGGTGTGTTTGTGCTGAGCTTGTGGATGATCCTCATGACGGCCATCTTCTTCCACACGTGGATCGAGAAGGTATGCTCGTCTTTCTGTACCTCCTTGCGCCGCTCATGCTAACCCATTTCTCACAGCTTACCGGTCTTCTGGTCGCCTCTGCGGGTCTGTACGCCATCTACATCCTACCAAGACTCGCGCCGCCCCTGAGAGCAATAGTTGGCCTGCCTGGAATATAGACAGGCTGGAATGTGGTTAATGTTATGGATAGAGAATACTTGAGAACAGAATACGCACGCAGGAGATACCCAAGTGCCCATAATATCAGACAAAACTGCTCAATTAATGCTGCCCTCTTCCGTCCCTGTCATTCTCTCGTCCTGTTCAAGCTCATGGCCGTCCAGAGCGCACAGAGTCCCTGCCCCCGATTACGTCATACTCCGAAATCCACTGAACTTCAACTTCGCCATCATGCTCAAGCGCGCGCTCAAGTCGCGTGCGGCGGCCACAAGTAGCCTGGACTGCTTCTAGAACAACTTCATTCCAGGCTCATAGACGGATGCTACGTGCCAGGATGTCAGCAATAAAGGTTCCCGCCAATCTACCGGAGCTGGTGAGGGCCAAATTCAACACTGCCAGGGCCAACGGCGATGTCAACTTCTACCCAACACAGGTCGCTGTCCTGAAGCTAGGATCAGTCCCGGTATGTCTCAGACGCCCCGGTCACACCACCACAATCCCCAGAAGGATTCTCTGACCTGCTAACGCCCCTCAGTTCCAACTCCGCTTCTCCCCGTCTCTGGCCAACAAGCCCAAGGGCCCTCCGCCGGCCAGCGACGGCCCAGACAAGAAGGCGAAGCCCTTCAACCCGTTCGAGGAGCCCCCGCCCACGGCCCTCATCTCGGAGCTCACGCCGGGCCACCGCCTCGTGCTCAACAAGTTCGCCGTCGTGCCGGAGCACTTCATCCTCGTCACCCGCGCCTTCAAGCAGCAGACCCACCTCCTGGGGGCGGACGACCTGGCCGCGGCGCACGGGTGCGTACGGGCTTACCATGATCACGACGGCGGGGGCGGGGGGCTCTTCGTCTTCTTCAACTCGGGCGAGCACAGCGGCGCCAGCCAGCCGCACAGGCACCTGCAGCTCCTCCCCGTCGACAAGATGCGCGAGGGTCTGCCGGAAGCCACAGAGGACGCCGGAGAGGCGGGCTGGACGGTGCTGGCTGACCAGCTCGCTGGGGATGGTGAAGAAAGTAACGGACGTGCGGGGCTGCCGCTCGCCACGTTCGCTGAGCGGATAGCTGGCGACGTCGACCCCGAGGCTCTGCGGTCGGCGTACCTCAGGCTGTACCGCAGGGCGTGTGCCGCGGCGGGGCTGGACGAGAGGGAGCTGGGGGACCTCGCGGCTGACGACACGCCGGCGAGGATAAGCTACAACCTCGGGATGACGCGGACTTCCTTGGTGGTTTGCCCTCGCGTGGCTGAAGGGGATGTAGTCCGGTCTAGGGACGCGAGGGAAGTCGGGCGGTTGGCGTTGAATGGCACGGTGTTGGCGGGTACTGCGCTGGTCAAGAGCGAGGCCGAGTGGGATGCTCTACGGGCCGACCCGGACCAATTGCGGAATATCTTGGGCAAGATTGGGTGTTCCACACGATGAGTCTACCTTGGTAGAGGATAGAATGATGGTTTTTGACGGCTTGTGCCATTTTTATCAGAGTAGAGGGAGTCTCCGAGGGTCTATATATAGTATTACCTCCCATACGCCTTTTGTCCTCCTCCCCTGCTGTGCCGGAACTGACGGGCCATCTATCCCTTGCGGGATCCAGAGCAGTGTGTCTCCTTTCTCTAGTCCTAGTCGACGTCGGCTCAATCCTCCTCGTCCTCAGAAGAAGAAGAAGAAGAGGCCTCACCCAGAACCTCCCTCATCTCGGTCTCCGAGAGAGGCTCGTACTCGCCCTCGTCCCACTCGGCTCCATCCTCCTCGCCCTCGTCCTCATCGTCAGATGAGCCACCTCCCATCACCTCCCTCATCTCGTTCTCGGAGAGAGGATCGTACTCTTCCCAGGCGAGGTCGGCGTCGGCCCCCGCGCCGGCCGAGCCGTTGCCATTGGACGTTCCGGCCTGGCTGGTGGAAGTCTGGGAAGAAGTAGATGCCTGCCTCTGCCCAGCCCTGTTGGGAACCTTGAACGACCTGGCAAGACGGACCTTGGCCTTGCCAGCCTGGGCGGCGCCTCCCTGGTTGCGAATCTGCTCCCAGCGCTCCTTCAGCTTGTGGACCCCGGCTGTGGTCGCGGCTCCATTCTTGCGGAGGTAGTCGCGGACCGAGGGCCAAATTCCCTTGAGGCTGTTCTCGTCGTCGAGAGGGCCGGTCGCGAAGAGTGCGACCGCTCGTCGGAGAAGCTCGTCCTGTACCATAGGACTTCGTATTAGCTCCTTGCTTATATGTTGAATGGGAGTGTGAACGGGAGTGGTAGAGATAGGTGGTACTTATAGTAGTGAATAGTTTGAGGGCAAAATTGGGAAAACTTACGTCGTCGGCGGTGAAAGTCGCCTCGCGTGGGGGGTTGTTGTTGACGAGTAAATAGTGCCAGTTGCGGAGGCCGCCCTCGGTCAGAGTGAAGCCGTACCGGCGGATGATCTCTGCGTACGTCATCTGCGGCTGCCGGCTCCTCGCCCAGAGGAGCAGCTCGCCTTGCTCCTCGCGGGACAGACCCTGGACGCTCTGGATCTCGCCGGCAGCAGCACGCTCGGCGATCGTACGGGGAGCCATCTTGATTGTATTGTCTTGGCTGCTCTCGGAGTTGAGGTCTTTGACTAGGGAGGCTGAGGTCTGCTATTGTCAGTCGAACTTGGTCTGAATGTATGTTTGGAATTGGTGACGGTATGTTGTTACTCGAGCCAGGGTCAACGTTTGGGTGGGGGGTAGCAGAGTGAGGCATAAAGCGGAAGGCAGAGTGTTTGGATTCAGACAGCAGTCCCTCAGAAATCGGTCGCCACTGTATGCCCAAGTCAATGTGTAGAGTTTGTGTGATGGAAGAAGCGAAGGGCCATTTGGTGTGTGACAGTGAAGGAGTAGGATACCAGCCGTCAAGAAATGGGAGTCAGTCCATCGTACCTGTGGATTGTCAAGAGACGTCACCGTAGTGTCTAGTGAAGCTCTTGAATCTTGCTGGAGCCCCCAGGTCGAGTGTCTATGCCTTGTAGGAAGAATCCAGGGGAGGATTGCCTGGGGAGGTGTGCCTTTTTATAATTGCAGGTCCAGGTCTAATCCTCCCAGGCATGCACGTTCCATCTTCACCTCGTGACTGACGATTGTGCATCCCAGCTTCACTGGCATCCCAGTGACTCCGGGTGGATCCGTCTGATCCATCACGCATGGCTGGCCATTGGAGATGCGATGGAGACTCATGACTGGTCATTCTTCACCGAATCTTTATTTGCTGGACGGGAATTCTTCAGCACGCGAAGACTACACCAACAATGTTGACATCTCTAAGGAATTTATCGTCTTGAGACAGTAGATTGAGACTTACCGAACGCGTTTGAAAGGCTCCCTCTGGAGCCAACGACCGCCAGGATGTTTCTTCGGAGGATGCTTCTGGCCAGAAGGCTCTTCGCCAGCACGTCTCTTTGGAGCAGGCTGGTTGCCAGCGGGTGCTCCGCTAGCAGGTCTGGCTGCCTTTCCGGGGCCATTCCGGGGCTGTTGGAAGCTGTTGGGGGATTTGGGAGGCGCCAAGTATTGGTTCAACCCTGTGGTTGACAGGAGAATGGTAGGGCAGATGCCGTGAGACGTTCCGGATGTCTTTCAACCCTGTGGTTGACGAGAGACAGGCAGAGAGGATGTGGTGAGGGGCACGGGAGGTCTGCTTCAACCCTGTGGTTGACGAGAGAGAGGCAGAGAGGATGGTGTGATGCGTCCTGGAGGTGTGTCCAACCCTGTGGTTGATAGGACAGGGGAGAGGAGAAACCAACAAGGGCGTAGACGCCTCGGAGGGGTGGTTCAAACTTGTGGTTGAGGAGGATGGCAGATTGGATGTAGTGGAGGGTTTAAGTACTCTAGAGGAAGTAAGAGATGTCTTGAAAGATTGATCAGGTGACCGGTGGAGCCAGCAAGGTCCCTTTGGCCTGGTATTGTCACTGACGATCGACCAATCCCGGGCAGAGTTGGTCAAAGTCCGCGATCTGGAGTCCACACCGTTCAGACTCGTGATAGACGGACCAATTGGAGCCCTTGGTCATGCAAACCGCGATGAAGAGTTTGTAGCAATTCATAAGGAGGACACAAGGCATTCAATCTACTGGTTCAGCTCATGGCAATACACAGAGGAGCATGTATTGGACAAGGAATGAGAAGACAGACAGCTGCTCTCGCTTAGTACCAAGAGTCCTGTGCCAGAAAAGTGCACACCAGGAACCTGTGAGAAGCCTGGTGATGTGCCAAAGATGTACCCAATTAATTGACAAAGACGAAATTGATCATGCCATGGTCTCTTTTACATGTTCACCCTTTCCTTGCTGTACCATTTGGTACAGATTCCCAGGTGCCCAATGAGCTCCGAAGATATCAACTTGGGAGCATCAGATAACCATTACGAGGGTTTCTTCCTTGCTTCAGCTCCGTACTGCTTTACACCATTCTATTGTGCAATTTGATTAAGCCGTTTCTGGTACTCTCGCTGGCTTCAAGGGCTCTCCGTGGATTTTACTTCATCTACCCATGGTAGTGCCAAGAACACAAGCGCAGAAGCTACTTTGCGAGAGCAACTGGTATTCCTCTATCGTTTATGGGTAACGTCTGCGTAGATTCATATTTACGGATGGGCACTGTCACATCGGAGCCTCGCAAAAACTCTCATGATAGTATGAAAGTGAACGGAGATTCGGCCGGAAAGGTATCATCGCCTCCGAGGACGCTGCATTCTACTTCTCAACCAAAAGACTCGGGTTCTTATGTCAAGCATCAGAATCTGTCTAATGCTCAGACTGTCACATCACAGAATATACAGTATCAAGAAGCTGACGCAGAATGCCAATGCTGAAGGACCTATGAGACCATGATTGTATGCTTGTAGAGAATAACTGGAATATGACCAGCGCTAGATTTACCTGCCAAATGAGGGATGATGACAGAAGGCAGGCACATGTATTCCGGTCAGTATACTGCTAACAAGTATGAGTGGAGCTTAACTTGAGAGCACTGCCTCAGAAGTACAATGGAATGGAAGATGATGAGAGGGACTTGAAGAACGGAGCAGGCCATCCGATATTGGATAGGAGAACAGAGAGTGTCCCATTTGTGATGACGTAGCATCTTGGTAGCTGGTGGCTGACATAACCTAGAATACCTGGTCGCATGAATATTCATTGTGATAATGAGGGAAGGTAAATTAGCTATTGTCCACCCGCCAAGCTCGTATTGTATAGATGTGGGAAACGACTGGACGAAGAGGGCCACGGAAGCCGGCCTGCTGTCAAGCGCAATAGTCGGACGAAGGAGAGGGTCTCAAACATCTACGATGATTCCTAAATCTGCGCTGACATTGTGGGATCATCTATTCAGACACAATGTGGGCGTATGCGTTGTACGGGTGAACCACTCCGGGCGCTGAGCCGTGGTAGCCAACTTTGAGTGGAGCCTTCTGAAGTCGGCAGCTGTTTCAGTACTCCAACTTTTCTGGGATTCCACAGATTTGATGACTCTCTCAGGGATTGGCAATTTGTTGAAGCTTAAGCTACATCGCACATGCACTGGTTGTAGTACTTTTGCTGGTGCGATGCAATATTCAAACTTGCCGCCGTTGCTGTCCCAAGTCTACAGGTAGGCATCAAGGAGGTACGGGTCCATACCCATGGTCATCGGGTTGGCATTCTGCAGTTGTACCTCAACATAGGTGTCTAAGGAGGGTCTTAAGGAATGAATGCTTCAAATTTTCCAGAACTTCATGGCCCCACTGACGAGGCCCTCGGGTACAGGTACCGTTACCATATCGGCATCGCGGAAGCGTTCAGGTGGTTCGCCTCCCGGTAAAACGGCCGCCAGCTGGAAAGAAGATGCTCTGCCGAGACATTGAGGTTTGAGGCTGTTTTTGCAGCTGTCTCACAGCATAAATCGTCTGAGAGCTCGCCAGGACCTGCTAATCATCTCCATCGTTCGTCAAGGAAGGCCGCTATGACTTTGTACAGGACACTTGAACAGCTCTCTAAGGGCACCCTGCGACAGCTCTGTGTTCGTGACACCTCAGAGGCTCAGCTCGGGTTGCGGGGCATCGTCTCAGAAGTGACGTTGATTATCGGCCTAAACCAAATTGTGTGCGGTGTTGCGTCTGGTTGTTTGATCCGCACGAAACCAAAATAGGGGGTCACGAGGGTAGGGCAAGGTATGCAAGTGCGGCCACACACTCACAAATTTAGCCCTATCCAGTCCTACCAAACGGGCGAGAGCGCTGAACGTGATGATCGCAGGGAGTGGCTCTCACCAATACGTCAGTCAATTTGTCGTGGATAAATGCAGGCCCAGCCAATTTCTTGCGTATCCTCCATCACCATTGCGACAGTCTATGAAGATGGTGCATCACAAGAAGCGACCCAGCCTTGTGCAATATTGACAGCTCCTCCTCAACTGGGTTTTTGTCTAGTAATTATATTCTTTTCTATAGGGAATTAATGATTTTACGGTGCCTGCGATCGATATGCAGCGCTGGAGCAGAGTATGCTGCAAAATAATGGTCCAAAATGTGTGCCGTGGTTCACAGGTCAGGCCAAAGCCCAAGCAGAATAGTCTATCCGGCCGAAGATCTCGGAGAGATCATGCGTCAGAGTCTTCCTCCTCCTCCTCCTCCTCCTCCTCCTCTACCTCCTCGTAGTCGGGCGTCTCATTCTCGTCCTCCTCCATCTCTCCAAAATCGGCGCCCTCCTCGTACTCGACGTCGTATTTCTCGTACTCGGCGTGGTCCCACTCGAACTTGTTCGGCGCCTTCAAGTTTCTGCCGGCGCCACCGTTGCGGGTATCGCGCTTTCCAGCAGGCTCCTCCTCCGCATCATCGTCGAAAGAAGCCTCCTCCTGGCCCTGGACCTTGAAGTTCTTGTACGCCTTGTGGTCCCACTTGGCCTTGCTCGGCTTCAGATCCTTACGGATTCCAGCCGTGCTCTCGGTAACCTCTTTGTACTTCTTCTTGAGCGTCCAGGGTCCGGCTTTGGTCTCGCCTCCGTGCTTCTTGATGTACTCCTGCGCACTAACCCACAGCCGCCTGATCTTGGTGTTGTCGACGTCGTCAAGATGGCCCCCGGCTATGTGCTCGACCGCCTCAAGGAGGAGCTCGATCTGGCTACACATCAGTTCGAGATCTTTGCATACGGAAGGAGATATTTGTGTAGTTTTATGGCGGATGGAAACGAAGGAAAGCGGAATACGAGGAGGTAGCTTACGTCTCGCTCTGTGAACTGGGGCTTGCGTGGGGGCCGGCCCTTCATTAGTATGCGGTATCGCCCTCGAAGAGTGCTCTCTTTGACCTTGAACTTGAATTTGCGAGGCATGTCCTTCCACTTCATTCCCTTGTCACGCGCCCAAACGAGAAGCTCATCCTGCTCTGGACGGGTAAGACCAGCGACATCTGTGATCAGGCCCCTATCCAAGCGCTCTGAGATGCTCATCGTAGGAGCATTGCTTGGCAGTGCAGTACGGGTGTTGTTGTTGCTGGCAGGCTCACTGTCAGGAGATCCCTCGCCGGCTGGTCCCTCTCCACCAGCTCCTCCGCCACGCTCTTGGCCAGAAGCTCCTCCGCCAGCATGCTTCTTCGGAGGAGGCTTCTGGCCAGAAGGCTCTTCGCCAGCCCGTCTCTTTGGAGCCGGCTGGCTTCCAGCGGGTGCTGCGCTAGCAGTTCTATTCTGAGAAGGCTGTCCGCCAGAAGGCTGCTGGATGTTTGCTGGAGCGTTGGAAGCCGCATTATCTGTGGCTGGGTTGCGCGGCTGTAGGTTGCTTGCCGCTTGGGCGACCTGTGCTGGGTTCCAGGCAGCTCCAGCTCCTCGCCAGCTGCCTTGGCTTCCCATTGGCATGGGAGGTATTGGTTGTTGGACCCCTTGTTGGCCCGGCTGCGGGAAGTTTGGGACACCAGGGCCATTGTTCATCCCTTGTAGTGAAGGAGGCTGGAAGAAGGGGCCAAAAGATCGAGGATCTGACGCAAAGGGCACAGGAGGGAAGCCGACGGCTGCTCTTCCGTTAGCATCATAATTCGCGTGATTTTTAGAGGCAGGGCTCGGTCCTTTACGTACTTCCGTAGTGCGGCGGCGGATTACCATGGAGCATCGTCGGTGGGAAGTTCGGCGGCTGGCCATTTCCTTCAGTATTATCAGTCTCTTGTGTCCGGCCAACAATTCAGATCTTCCCAGGCTGACTAAATGCCCGCTTACCTGTGACTCCAGTGGTATAGGGATAGGATCCCGGCCCCATACCTCGTCCCGACCCCATACCGCGTCCCTGGCCTATGCCTCGTCCTGGGACCATGCCTCGTCCCCGATCCACACCTCGCCCCTGGACCATGCCTCGTCCCTGGACCACACCTCGACCCTGGAACATACCTCGTCCTTGGCCCATGCCTCGTCCCTGGGGGATGTCGGAGTTAGACAAAACATAACAAGATATGCAGGGAATGGTTGATATCTGTGGCGCGTAGGCGCCGTTACAGACATCCGCCTATGGGAGAGAGAACCAGGTAAAGTAGAAGACTTGGCTATAAGTATGGATCAAAATCAATTGAGTCTTACCTGATTGTCAATCCCCTGACCGGCTCTATTGACAGGAGGACTTCTATTCAGGTATTGCAACCACTCTTCGACTCGGCGGTCTCTGCGCTCAGGGGTGACTCTGCCAAGGTTAGGTCGCTGTGATCCCTGCCGTGGGGGACCATCCTGTGCTCCTTACTGTCGAGGACCATTCTGTCCTTCTTGCTGTTGGCGACCATTCTGGCCTCCTTGCTGTGGGGGACCATCGTTTCCTTGGTTTCTCTGGTTGTCCATGGCTGCTGCTCGTGTTGCTCTGAGGGAGATTGTATATATAAATCGTACCGGAGGTCGAGAAGAGGTCGCTATATATGCGGCACTCTTGAACTCGCGGCACGCAAGGGAGGGGGGGGGGGGGAAGGTGGATTCGTGGTGGGGGATCAGATGGAGGTCAACAGTGAGTCCGGCGAAGTTTTGTGCGGTTGCCAAGTGGCGAGCAGTCGCGGGGCTTCAGCTTGCAGTGGCAGCCTATGGGCAAAATTAACATTCACTAGCAGAAACTGTGCAGCGAAAGGTACGTATCCATCTTGCAAGTGCATTGATAAGGGGGGACAACTCCAGTGACTGGAGGTTCTGGGTGGCAGGCCAGCAAGGGCCCTCAGATCAGTAACAGTAAGTCCTTGTCGTCCATCTCCAGGCCTACTGTCAAGTTTCAGATCACTGACGACAGTATACATGTGCTGGAGGCCTTCATGGAGGCCTTCATGCGGAGGGTACTCCGACCAGCACTATGTTTCCCTGTTATGTGTTCTCCCCGGGCTTAGAGTGGCGCACTAAATATCCATCCATCCACATGCAAATCAACAAAGTGCTCCAGGGAACCAAGAGTAGAAGCTGTCTCTCCAAGTGCTCAGCGTCGTTTGATAGGTAACGGGTATGATACCGTCCCTCTACTCCAGACGATCTTTTCTATCATCGCTTGTTCCGACCCATCATTCTTTTCTCGGACGGTGGACCATCCCCAGAGACTCCAAACAACCTCTCTTCCCAAGTGTCGTCCAACGGTTCGTCAAAAGCCCGCCTCGCATGTGCTCAAGTGGTCAACATTGCTCTTAGGAGCAATGGAGGGATACTTACAAGGCCGTTGAATGTTCCCATTTCTTCCTCACATCGAAATAATTGTTGGCTAATTCGTATACACAGTGTTCTCCTTCAACTTGACTTCCCTCCTCTGCTATTCTTGAGCACCATGGAAGGTCCACTTCTGATTCTGGCTTGATCCACAATACTGATGTTCAGCTTATCCTCCATATATGGTAAAAGCATCTGAAAGACTCTAACTGCCAAGTTCTGTATCCGCGAGTGTCAAGATGTTGTTGCAGGAAGGCCTTTCAAGGGGCGAATGCAATTAGGAGGGATTGCGAAGCTCGGTAATAAATCAACTGGCTATGAAATTGCTCGCAGGCTACAATTACCACAGGAAGAGGCTAACAAACTAAATCAGAAACTTTTTCGAAAATGAGTCTTCCTTGTTGGAGTTGTTATCTCTGCAGAGATCCTGCTTAATGGCTGAATGGGAGTATTTATGGATAGAAATGTCAAATCAATGGTTGGAACAAGTACTATCATCACAACCTATTGCTCTTTTTGGATCACCTGCAAAGATGATGACGAGCTCTGGGACAGTCTACTGCCTGCAGTTCTACCGAGATATACAGGATACGGCCCTATATCAAGGAGAAGCTTTTTGTGCGTCTGAGTCTCGCCCAGGCTTCTCCAACACGGTCTTACATTATCATCATTCTTACTATCGATTCAGGTGCCATTCTCTAGCCAAGAAAAATATGGAAACGACACATGTGTTAGTATTCAATCTCGCGGCCATGCCAACTGCGCGTTGAGATAACTATATCACCTCCATCTTCCTCTCAACTGCGTAATATCCCCGGAACCCCATTATCCTACTTGAAAACCGTGCCAACTTGTGTCTTGGCATAGAGATCAACATCCATCAAAACACACCTTTAAAACGGAAGGCTGCCGCGGACTTGAAGCGCGGCTGTAACATTCCTAGCCAGGAAGCCGCCCTCGTACCGCAGTACATCCAGCTCACACCAAGGATTATGTGCCGAGCGGCGCGGGAAGTCGACCCGGCCCTTCCCGGTCCAGACCTCGGTGAGGTGCATATCCATGAACACGGGGACGAGCTCCAGGATCGGGGCCGCCATACCCGGGTGTGGCTGCTGGATACTTCGGAGGTTGAGGGACCACTTCTTCGGCGCAGGCGGGTTGTTGACGAGTGCCTCGGGGATGGACTCTCAATCGACGACGGTCCGGCCGGCCGGCCTCTGGACGTTGGCCGTGACGAGCCGGCCGCCGGTCCGGGGCTCGATCTCGGCCTTGCCGAAGACCTTGGGGAAGCCGTACTGCTCGCGGCCCGCGAAGATGGCGGACTCGTTGTCGAGGATCAGGATGACGTTGTAGTTGAACTTCTCACCCTTGTATGTCACCTCGACGTTGTGGATGTATTCCTTGTAGGACCCCACGAGGGTCATGCCGTACTCGATGAAGAAGGACGTCATCAGCGGCTCGTCTTCGAGCTCACCATGTCTGGCACGAGATGCCGGACCTGCGATGCGGCGACCCGGTACGAGACGCTCAGGATTCTGTTGATGATGAATGTATATGGATCTTTATGCAGGTGCGAAGATTGGCACGCCCTCCGCGCTGACAGATAGACTTCCAAGAGGCATGGTTGGAATGGATCGTGACGGTTTCAACGTGATGCAGTTCACTGATTCTTTCATGGGCTGATATGCTGACAAGCCTTGAGCCGGGTGCAATTGACTGTTACATACTTACACTCTCTGTACCTAGGCAGTGAGTTGTAAACAGCAACGGTTTTTGTCTTATATCCGAACCAAATCCACGGTACGGTAAGTAAACAAGGGCCGATCCGGTGAAGTGGGTAGCCGTGAACTTTATATTCGTACGGATAGGGCGGAGGAGGGGTTCACAGTCCGTTGGAGCCATTACACATCGCCCTGCTCCGACCAGGTTAATCCGCGTTCCGATTGATACACCTGGGAAAAAGCTGTATCTAGAGGACAGGGTTTATGGACCATGTCCTCTCAGATGCTCTGGCTGGCATTCGCCTGAGTTTCTATGAGGCTGGAGTTTCATAGGCTTCGTAGTCTTCTCAGCTCATGCGTACAGCACAGAAGGCACGCCGAGACTGTGGCACCTCAAGAGTCAAAGAAGCCTAAGTTGCTTTGTAAGCAGAATGGTTGTTGGCAACCTGTTCCCTGAGGCCTTGAGAACCTCTCGTTGGGGCATTGTTTTGTTTATTTACTCTAGAGCCACTTGCAACGTGTGGTCTGCTGCGGGAAGCCGCCGTGTTTATCTGTGGTCATGATCAATGAGCCGGCATCAAAAGTGACTTGTTATATAACCGGGAACACCTGATTGTCTAGGATTAGCTCCTGCTCCATATGCAGTGACCGCGCCATGATACCGACTCGGAGTTCGAGCCGAGCCCAGACAGAGCGGTGCCACGAGCTCAAGTTCGGCACAGCGTGCGGTATTACAGCTCAGCTTGTCACCCAGAGGGGGCAACATCGATGCTGCCCCTGAGCTGGCCGCCTAGCCGAGGTACGTTCTCGCAGCTAACTCAGATAGGCCGTGTTATATTCACCAAGACAACAGCACGCACCATGATGTACACGCCGGCGTTGCGGCCCAAGTTTCTGAGTGGTCGTCCCCATTATCCGAGGATAGAGTGACCGACTTGGCCGCGGCTTGTTGCATGCGGTACGCCGAGGGATACATACATACCCGCCAGGACGGGCCGCTCTCTTGGCGCACCATGAGCTGCACCGCCCGGGGAGGCCGGAACGCTTGTTTGCGGCCCTGCAATCCAGGACGGGGTGAGGGACGCAACCACGTTGCGCAGGCCTCGGCACCGGCAGGAATGGCCTCTGGCGGATGCGTCTCGGCCTCTGCCCGTGCACGTGGGCTGTGGTGATAGTGGTCGAACTCTGCAGAACACTGTAACGTACTTGCGGGGCAGCCAATAATCACAGCTGGCGCAAAGACGAAGGTCGGACCGTCTGGTTTTGACGACCCGCGGCTAAGCCCGAAATCCTCCCTCCGTCAACGATGGGATGGCCCGGCGAATTATGACCAGGGCAGCCAGAGCAGCCAGAGCAGACCAACAGGAAGCGGTCGAGATGCACGAGTCGGGTCACACAGCAGCGCGCCTCGTCTGGCCGGGTTGTCGACGGTCGGTTGCCGCGCGTTGAATCGGGGCTGGTCCCAAGGACAAGGACACCGCCGTCGCCATCACCATCGCCATCGTCATCGCTGCTGCAGCCATCGCCATCGCCAGTGTCCGTGCGATACGCTTGGCTGGCCGGCTGGGCATGCAATCGCATGCAGGCCGGGCTTCACCGTCGAAGATCCCCGGATGGATTGAGTCGCATGCACCCGGCAGCGAATGCAAGTTAACTGCACGTACAGATCCTCACGATCCTGATCCTGGTCCTGGGGCCCGGTCAACACCTGGCACGCGTGGATGCTTGCCCCCCCACCCCCTCCGGCTCCGACTGCCGGCTGTTTCTGTTTTGGAATAAAAAAATTGCGAGTTGCCGCTTTCGGCCAGGGCACAGCAGCTAACGTTGCCTCGCAATGTTGGGTCGCTAGCCTTGTAATAAGCGTGCATGGCATCCAGGTGGGATCGACAAGGCTTGGGCTCTCTTCGTCTGCTTCATTATTATTAGCTTGCAGCCATCTGTGCCGCGCCAGCTAAAGCAGTCCAGGGACAAACTGGAACGGCACGACGGGTGGCAGTTGGAAAAAAGGGGTTGGGTTGGACCAGCCGGGACCATCGAAGACATGGACCAATGCATTGCATTGCAGTCTGGCCTGTTTCTCATTGAATTTGTTTCTCTTGCCCCCTTCGCCCACAGACCCGGATCCGATTGGGGCGAGAACAATCAGTCTGATACCGGCGATGACATGACTCTGCTGACTCTGCAACGTTTTCAATTATTGATGATTTTTTTTTTTTTCGCCTCTCCTTCTCCGAGCTGTCAACCTGCCTGCCGAGAGGTTATGTCTGTCGATCTCCAAGGAGCGAAACACGGACAAGACTCTGGCACTGACGTGTGCGGTACGTGTGGTTGTCTGTAACTCGCAGAGGGAATGCAGTCCATAATGGGTTTCGTCAGAATCCATGCAGGGCAAGTCTACGGCACAGACGAGTAAAAATAGGCCAGGGCTGACATGCCCAAAATACCGTTTTCTGGTAGTTGGAATGCTGGATTCAGTAGACCACCCTCCCCTCCCTCCCTCTGGTTTCGCCTAACCCTTGGATAGCCTTGGGTGCTGGATCTTCGGAGCTGCTCGCGGCAGGACCCTGCGATTCCTGCTAGCGTGTTGCGTCGCTCCTTGTGCCCTTCCGAACAGTGAACACCCCTCAGACCCAATCGGTGCCCCCTTGCCCCTGCCTGCCTGACCTGCCTAAACCTTCTCGGGCGGGATACCTTAGCGCAGAGCCCAGTGCAGTGCGCAGTGCGCAGTGGCAGCAGCCACATGTGATTGTGAGGCAAAGGAGGAGCACACGTCCAGGCAGGCCCGGCTCAGGTCCCCCTCAGAGGCAGGAGCCGGAGTCAGTCCTGCCCAACCCCTGCCACCCTGGCCCCCTGCCCAACCCCCCTTGTACCCCTTGTCCGGGGCGGTCAGTGCAGGGCAAATGGCACGTCAGACGCAGGCGCGAATAATAGCATGTAGCAGGTTGCAGTGGCCATAGCATAGCCGTGACTGGGTGGCTGTCGCTTGAGAGACGGGACCAAGACTGCATGCATCTTTCGTATGTTTTTCAAGGGTCAACAACGTGTGTCTGACTACCAATCCGAATCCGCCTGCCCTCCTGCCTGCCTGCCCGCCTGTCTGTCTGTCTGTGTTGCCGGCTGTGTCTCGTCTCAGCCAGCATCTTCACATTCTCTTTCAGAGCAGTGCGCAGTCACAACGCATCGCAGCGCAGCGCAGCGCATCGCATCGCATTGCATCGAGTCACATCTCGTCACCGTCCAGTGGTTCCCCCTTTCTCTTCTTTCTTTTGTCGCCTCTGTTCCTGGCCCGGTTCCTGTCCTTATCTTGCTGTGTCCGGTTTCTACCCTGTCCTGTCTCCATCATCACCACCACAACCATTGCCATCATCACATTATCGTTCCCCCACCACGGCCACGATCCACGATCCACGATCCACAAACCGCAGCGAGTGGCTCGCATGTAACCGAGATAGCCTAGCCGTCTAGTCGTCCGCCCAACTGTCCGTGCCACCATCTAGTCGTCTCGCACCGCCCTGTATATCATCGCCTCGCCTCGCCCTGTTGTCGTTGTCGTGCCGTGCCGGGTCGTGTTGCGTCTTGTTGTACTTCCGCCTTGTGTCGTCTCGCGCCTGCCTGCCTTGCACTTGCATCCGCGACCGAACGACACTGTCATCGATCCTCGCCCCAGCCCCAGTGCCAGAGTGGCCAGCAATTGAAGACTAAGACGGAAGACTAAGACGGAAGACGGAGGACTGAGGACTGAAGATCGAAGGAGAAGAGGCAAGGACCCGAACGACCGCTCCTTCCTCTACAGCCTTGACATTCAGTTCGCACTGCACCGCACCACATCACACCACACCGCAGTAACGCACTCGCACATACCCACTTCGGGCCATTGCTTCCCTCGCCCCAGACTCAAGAGCAGGCATGGCGTCTCCCTCCGCTCGCCGAATCTTCCCAATCTCCGACTGGGCTCCTGCCCACGAGGCCCTGTACTCCGAAGCCGACAACGACTCGTCCATCGACACTCTCCCTTTCCCGACCAAGCCGCGCCAGTCCTCCTACACGCCCTCTCCCTCGTCCTCCTCGTGCTGCGCGCCCCTGCCCCGGCGCAGCCACACCACAAAACAACACCGAAGCATGTCGTTGCCTTGGCGGCCCAAGTCCCAGATCATCTCGCCCGACGCCATCGAGGCCAAGTTCCGCGACTTCTCCCTCGAACGCGCCAACACGGCCGCTCAACTGGCCGCCACCCCCTCTAGCTCGGCCTCCGCCTCCGGCCCGGCTCCAGGCTTGGGTGGGTTCGTTGATGACGAGACCACGCCGTCGGACTTCACAGGCACTGTCAAGGGAAAGGGCAAGGGAAGGATAAGTGGCATCTTCAGACGCGCCTCTGTCTCCATCAAGGGCCTGGTCCACCGTCGAACATCCATCGCTACCGACACATTCGAAGAGCCACGCGACACGGCCCGCCAGCAGCAGCAGCAGCGATCGGGCCACGGCCCTTCGTACTCACATCACCACATCCAAACCACTCCAACCTCGCCCCTGGGAGGTTCCTCTCCCTCCCGAATCAGCACACAGCAGTCTCGTCCGACGACAAGCCACGGCATCAATGCGACGTGGCACCGCCTGCGACAGGCTACTAGTTTCCGACACTCTCGTGTCCTGTACGGCGACTTTACAATGCACGCCCACGAGGTCCCTTACCAACCACAAGATGACCTCCCCTACTCGGTTCCCAGACCCGGAGTGGGCGGCGAGCCGCCTGTCATACCGCGGAATGGGGGTTCGGGCGCACGGGCTGCCGCCGCCGCCTGGCAGCACGACATGTTTCCCACTGTGCACCCTCAGGGACGAGCCGAGATGCCGGTTTTGAAGAACAAGCGGTTGACCCTCGATTCAACCCAGACCGACCGGGAGAGTGGCATAGGCATCGCTGTCACCAGCTCCGAGTCTGACGCTGGCGACCCGCAGGACCTGGACATGGTGTCGTCAGACGGTGCAGAGGTTCTGTATGGATGTGCCCCAGAGATCAGTAGGATCGACTTCATCGACAGGCTGCCCGCGGAATTGGCGATCCAAGTGCTCGCCCACCTCGATGCCGCAGATCTGGCGAGGTCAAGTCTAGTCTCACAGTCGTGGCGGGACATGGTCTCCACTCAGCACATCTGGAGGGAGTCTTACCTGCGTGAGAAGACCGGCACGTATGCTACGAGCAGCCCTGTCCAGCCAGGCACAGGACTAGGTGTGCCCGCCATCCAGCCGAAAATCACCTGGAAAGACGCGTACAGAGTTACTGAGGAGCTGGGCAAGAGATGGAAACGGGGCCATGCCACGTCAATCTATCTCAACGGGCACTCGGACAGCATATACTGCTTGCAATTCGATGAGTATGGCTGCTCCTCTTTCTCTTCGTTATATTGTCTGGGAGTATCGTATTATATACTGACCATTTCCCCACAGGCAAAAGATCATCACTGGTTCCCGCGACAAGACGATCCGCATCTGGGACATGCATACCCTGGCGTGCAAGCTGGTCATTGGTCCGCCCGAGGTTGTTAAGGACAACGCCTTGCTCTACGACGAGGACGGCAACCCAACGCACTCAGCGAGCCATGAGCCTCATACTGGAGCGCATGCCGACCAAAACCGCACGACCTCGGTGCCGACAACGGTCTCCTTCCAGACCCACCACAAAGCGTCCATTCTCTGCCTCCAGTACGACGACAATATCCTCGTTACGGGAAGCTCCGACGCCTCATGCATCGTGTACGATGTCAAGGGCGGCTACCGTCCCGTGCGACGATTGCGCCACCACACCGCTGCCGTCCTCGACCTTTGCTTCGATGACAAGCACATCGTGACCTGCTCAAAGGACATCAGCATCTGCGTCTGGGATCGGGAGACGGGCCAACTGCTGAAACAACTCAGAGGTCACAGCGGGCCAGTCAATGCAGTGCAGATGCGCGGCAATACAGTTGTTTCGTGCAGTGGTGACTTCCGAGTCAAGCTGTGGAACATCGACACGGGGAAGCAGATCCGCGAGTTCCAGGGCCACACCAAGGGTTTGGCGTGCAGCCAGTTCAGCGAGGATGGCAGATACGTGGCCAGCGCTGGTAACGACAAGGTGATTCGTATCTGGGACGCCAACACGGGCGAATGCCTCCGAGAAATGAAGGCGCACGAGAGCTTGGTGCGGTCCCTGCACATAGATAGTGTTTCGGGACGACTCATCTCGGGCTCCTATGACACCGACATCAAGGTGTTTGATATGGAGTCAGGCCGCCAATTGCTGGACTTCCCTAGATGGCACGCCAGCTGGGTGCTGAGCGCCAAATCCGACTACCGCAGGATCGTGTCTACTGGACAGGATCCCAAGATCTTGGTCATGGATTTTGGTGCCGGCATTGAGGGAATCGACATGCTCGAAAGTGAATCCGCTAACAGAGTCGCCATGGAGGAGAATAAGGCGGTTGCTGAGGTCCAGGAGGATGTCGGATACATCTAAGGATGGATTGAGGGTGGAAAGTGAAGCTGCCATGGTGTACAGACGACTTCGTGGAGCTGCATGCGCCATCAAATCCGAAGGGGAGGGGGGGTGCCATCGACGGAACCCCAGAAGTCCCATCCTTCGTCACCACTAAGCAACATCGAACACGGTCATCATTCTTTCCGTTCTGTCAGTCCCACATAGGAAGGGGCTTCGCAAGGCGCTGCGGGTTTTTGGCCTCCAGGTTGTCGTCGAATGAGGCCAGAATCGTTTTTTGGGACGGAGAATCTGATTCGGATGTGGAGCATGGCATTATTATTGTCAATACTGGACTTGCTTTCTTGCTTTTTCCCTCGGCCGGCCATACGCGGCCATAATAAGTGGGAACTTGGGAGGAGGTTATCTGCATAGCGAGCGGCGGGCTACTTGCTTCAATTGTACGCTTGTTACATTCTTCTTACGAGCATATAGATCAGAACATTTAGATGAGTTTGGGTTCTAATAAGAGCCTTGCATGTCTTGTTCCTTGTGTTGACGTCCTCTTCTGCCTGTGTGGGATGCGATTGGAGCTTGGCATTCTGACCTCCACGAACGACCCAGATCGGATGGCATGGTCATGCATCTGCAGACCAGCTTTGCTCATGGACGTGACATCTATCAACCCGAGTTATGCTTTTTTACCCAGCCCCTTTGCTCCCAGCCAGCTCGCCCGTGCCATTCGAGCCTCGGCCTCGGCCAAAAATGTTTCGAACCGTTCTCCACGTGCTAATTGACTCCAAAATCCCGCCGTTGCAGGTTCCCCGGACAGGCTCGGACCACGTCATTGGTGGTATATTTGCCGAAGCAGATGGGAGGTCTCGCATAAGGGCAGGGATCAGAAAAAGAACGATAGAAGAACATGTCGGCCGAGAGGAAGGAGCTTGGGTAGGAGAGCAACTAATAACATGGAAGCTCTTGTACACACAGCGAAGGGGAGGAGATGACGCACGACACTCTGCTACGGTCTATGTAACCACATGGCCCTCGCTGAGCTACCTGTCGCCCCTGAACACAACAATGTGCAACTATAAGGGCGGATAATTTCCTCCTCACAGTCAGTCCAGCACCCGGCCCGAACTAGCTCACGACTGTGAATCCTAGACTACCAAAGACGATAATGAAGGCCTCGATTTCCTCACTCACAGCAGCCCTGGCGGCTACGCCGCTCCTCTGGGCCCCATCCCTCTGCGACATAACACAGGGGGTAACACCAGCGCTCTTCGCGCGCCTGGACCGCATGGCCTCCCTCTCCATGAACGTCTACACGGGGGCCCTGTGCAACGCCCCATCCGGGTTCTCGCGCGCGGGCTTCATCAACGAGACGACCTACGACATCCAGGGCCAGGTGCTGCGCGACGACGCCGCGCGCGAGGCCGTCGTCGTGTTCCGCGGCACCGCCAGCGACAAGAACTTCCAGGTCGACGTCAACATCACGCTGGCGCCGTTCGAGACGGCGGCGGGGAACTGCGCTGGTTGTCGTGTCCATGGGGGGTTCTACCTCGCGTGGACTGCGGCGCGGGAGCAGGTCCTTGGGTTGGTCCAGGGGGTGCTGGGGGAGTTTCCTGGGTATGGGGTTGTTATTACTGGGCATAGGTGTGTTGAGTCTCCCTCTGCCAGCGTTGTTTCTGTGTCTTTTATGTTAGCGAGACAAGTGGGCAGCGATCGTTATCTTTTTGTTGTCAATAGCTTACGAACATGACGGTACACAGTCTCGGCGGGTCCATGGCATCACTTGCTGCCACGCAGTTTCAGCCGCTGTTCCCGAACCTGACGGTGTATACCTTTGGTGAGCCTCGAACAGGCGATGCGCTTTACGTCCAGGCAGTGGAGACAAACTTCCTTGCGTCGAGTCCTTGTACGACGAGGTACTTCCGTTCCACTCGTAAGCATATTCACACCTCCTAAACTTATCAACATGATACGTTTTGGATAGGCTTGCAGATCAGGGGAGATCTTGGGTCTCAGTCACTGGCTAATCCATCGCTCATTACTACATCCAGATGAAGACGACGGTGTCCCAATTTCCCAGGCGTGAGCGACGGGTATCAGTCTTCGACGCGCAACTCGTTCTGGCAGCGGGACCCCGTGGGTGCCAACAACACATTCGTGTGTACTAGCACCAGCGACTTCCAGACGCAGAGGCAGTGCGGAGAGGGGAGGAATGGCTCCGGGATCAACAACGCCCATTTGACGTACTTTGGGCACCCGCTAAATGTGAACGGACCGTGTCCGCCATGAGTGACTGTTGGTCACAAACGAAATGCAAGATAGTGGCACAGTCACAATGTATATACCAAAGACATTGGGAGCGTGGTCTCGGGGGGTACTTATGTTGTTGACAACGCTGGCAACTGTCCGCGTGTGCGGGATATAAGAGATGGACAGGGCCAACATATATAACGTGATCTGTTGTGAGATCCAATTTATAGACCTATGTTCTCAAGCTTTGAGCCCTGGAATGCCTCATCTATAGATACAGAAGACATAGTACAGACATGATTACAAGTATTTAGCCGAAATAGCATCATACTCTGCCTGAGTTACCGGCGTCACAGAACCATGCTTCAGACCAGTGGGGAATCCACTTGTGCTGGAGGCGGACCACGATCCTCCCTCGATGTCCGACGTCTCGAATGGCCTGTACTGTGTGTAGTCGTCCAGCAGCAAGTGATATAGCCCGGGCGTCACATTATCTGCGTACGCCGCGGGTCCCTCGGCCGGGCTCAGGCTGCTGACGTACCCGGGGATCCGCGTCCACTCCCCGAACAGCCCGCCCGTCGTGGTCTCCTGGTACACCTGGTTGACGGTCTCGTTCTTGAGGAACCGGACGTAGTTGCCGCTCGTGCCGAGATACTGGAACTCCTGGTCGATGAGCGGCGTGTCCGGCAGCGCGAGGTAGTCCTGCGGCGCGCTGAAAGTCTCAAAGTCCGCGGTCGTCGCGTAGCGAATCCTGTCCAGGGTCGCCGTACCCGTGTGGGCCGTGTCGGAGTCGGCGTAGTGGCGTGCGGACCAGAAGACGTAGAAGAGGCTGTCCTCGGTGTTGTAGACGGCCGACGGCGCCCAGACCATGCCTGCCGTTGCGCTGTCGATGCTGCATTCGGGATGAAGAGTTAGCTTGCGCGAATTGAAGAAAAAAAAAATGTCTATCTGTGCAGCATCTTCTTGCGAACCACTTACGTCTTTAGTGAAGGCTCAGACCAGTCCACGAGGTTTGTAGAGCTCCAGACAACAATACCGCGGCTTCCCGTCCTGGTGGCTTGGTCCCACGAGAACCCGGCTGCGTTAATGTCGAGGTCTGCCAGATATAATTATTAGCAGCCGATATATGTGCCTACTAACAATAAAGAGCACTTACCAGTTGCGATGAGGTAATATTGAGACCGGTCATCATTTGTTGTGAGGTAGATGTCCCTGACACCTTTCGTGCCGACTGTTGACGCGAGGATAGGCTGGCCACCGTTCAGAAAGGTGAAGCTCGAGGCACTGTTCCCATTGGAGAGGTACTGTTGGACTTCGGGTCTGGCATCGGAAAAGGTTGAAATGAGGTATCCCACGTGGCTGGTTTCCTGACGTGTGTTGACTGGCGTCGGGCTGGCCACTACGCCGAGCGCTGCTGAGGCAGCTGTAAAGAGTAATGTGAACGCCTGCATGTTGAAGCAATGACTTGGGAAAGAATCGGGCACTACTGCAAAGAGCTCGAGAACAGTATCAGTCAATATAGTTACCACTCTTGGGCGCTTTACAGATGATGCCGGAGAACACACAACTTTATAGAGGAACGAGACTGGGGCTGACGCATAAATATTGGCTCGACTTGGTGTAATTGTTGATCGCGAACTTCGTCCCGAAGCGGCTCTCCGGTGATCTACATGGGTGCGCGTAGCCATTCCTAAGCGTCCCAATCGGCTTAAGCCTGGGTTGGAGTTACTCATGCCAAGAGCATCGCGAATTGGGGCGATTCGGCGCTCCTCCCGTCCGGCGTAATTGCGCCCGTCCATTTAGACCTTGACTTGTACGCGAGACCAAGACTTGGACTACAACCGAAATGCACAATCCCATCTACTTCACACATGCACATACTCGACTAACCCGATCACAAACAAGATGGGCCGCATGAGACAGCACTTCACAACATCCACCCATGCCGACATGTTGACCACGCCCGGGCTGCTGGACTCAGAATGAGGCTGGAATAACATTATGGTTAACTTATTACTTGATTATGAATATTACTCAATCGTGAATGACCCCGTCAGTGGCAGGTCCCGAGAGCTCCTGCCAACGTGGACGCCATATTCTCCCCTCACCAGCCTCCACTGCTGCTTCTCCACGTCCCAGACACTCAGGTCCCTCCTCGTCAGCTCAAAGACGGCCCGCCTGCTCTCGCTCGGCGCCAGGGGACCGACCCGCTTGAAGCCTCGCAGCTGCCTGGCCGGCGTGCCCTCCGCGGGGATGCTGATGTACAGCTGCGCAATATCGGCGCCGTCCAAGTCGCCCGAGTTCTCGACGGTGGCCCTGACCACAGCAATATTGTCCCACAGCTCGGGGTGCCCGCCCTGGACGATAGCAATCTCCGGGTCGGGGTACTCGGCAAAGCTCTCGTTCGAGGCTTTTCCAACGAGCGAGGTCGTCAGATCGCTGTAGTCGAACGTGGTGTAACTCAGCCCAAAGCCGAATTCGAATTGTGGCTCGATCTCCTCCTTGTCGAACTTGCGGTAGTCGATGAACAGGCCCTCGCTGAAGTTGGTGGCAGGGAAGTACTCGTCGACCACGGTCGAGTTCAGGAGGTCACCATAGTCAGACTCGTTCTTGGCGACAGTGTAAGGCAAGCGGCCGCTGGGGTTGATGTCTCCGTAGAGAACGGACACCAACGAGCGGCCTGTCTCTTGGCCAGGCAGGCCAGCAAAGATGACAGCAGTGACGTTCGGGTGGTCAATCCACTCATCCACCACGCGGACGCCAGTGGAATGAAGGACGACGATGGTGCTGCTGCAGTTCGCAGCAGTGTTCTTCACGAGATTGTCGCTGAAGTCATCCTTGAGCGTTGTCCTGTCGAAGGCCTCGGAGGCATAAGCGTTGATGAAGACCAGGCAGTGCTCGGCATTGTAGTATGCCGGCGTTGGGCTCTCAGACCACAAGTCCCACCGCAGGGTGCCTCGGTCCTTGCGGATGCGCTCTGAGATGGCCATGAATGGGTCGTAGACGTACGAAGGCGTGCTGCTGCCAGACCCGCCACCTGTAATTAATGTTCCGTTAAACGTCTCCCATCCGAAGTTGACCTCGTAGCCTCCTCCGAACCGCGACGGGTTCTCCCACGCCTGGGCCTTGACGGTGGCATCGTAGCCGTAGATGTTGAGGAACTTGGGGCTCTTGAAGGGCAGCGTGCCGTTGACGTTCTTGACCAGCACTGTCCCCGCGGCTCCGATCTCGTGGATAAGCTCATTGTGATCCCATGCCTGTGCGTTGACGGCAAAGTGCTTCTGCGTGCTGGAATAGACCGAGGGGTTGGGGAATGTGTTCTCCTGGCGGAGGTAGTAGAAGCTGGCCAGCGTGCGGGTGACCATGTCGTCGAGACGAGCGGTGCTGACAGAGCCGTTGTTGACGGCCTGGGTGAGGTTTTTGCCCCAGTACCCGCCGTCGGGCATCACGATGTCAAGTCCCGCGTTGGCGCTGGCCACGCCGGACTCGTGCGCATCCCAGTCACTCACGACGAAGCCCTCGAACCCGAGCTCTGTCTTGAGGACCCCGTTAAGCAGCTTCGAGTTTTGGCATACGTAACTCTGGTTCGCGCGGTTGTATCCACACATTAGGGCCCCAGCTCCCTCACGAAGGGAGTCCATGAAAGGGAAAGCATATAGCTCGTGGAGCGTCCTGTCGTCGACGTCGGCACTGATGGCAGCACCCTCCGGGCCCGCTATACGTCGGTGCTCCTGCTCGTTGAACAGCCAATGCTTCGGTGTGGCAATAACGCCGGCATCTTGGATACCCTTGGTGATAGCGCCCATTCCAATGCCGGCCAGATAGGGGTCATTCGACAGGCCTTCCCAGTTCCGTCCACCGCGGACCATGCGGCCCAGGGGCCCAGCGACGGGGCCGAGGGCGACATTAATGCCCTTGGCGTAGTACTGCTCTCCCAGGGCGCGGCCGTACTTTTCCATCAGGTCCTTGTCAAACGTTGCAGCGACGTGGATACCCGCCGGGAAGGCAGAGACAAATTCCTGGCCACGGATGCCGTCTGGGGCGTCTGCGAAGCAGAGCGCCGGGATGTCGAGACGGGCCACACTGCCGGTGTTGCCCACACACGCGCCAGTGAAGCCGCGTGTGATGTTTGCCTTCTCCTCGAGGGTCATCTGCGCCACGAGAGCTCTTGCCCGTTTATAGGCGGTGGACCATCGTGGGCTGGTCTTTCCACCTCCGACGGCTGTGAGCAAATGTTAGTATCGTCTACCGCTGTGTAAATTTTGTTGGCCGGGCAGTGGTAAACTCACGAGATGGATAGACCGGTGGGCTGAGGCCATAGTAAGGCACCTCTGAAGGAGGCCCCGTGTCGTTGGTTTGGCTTACAACGACACCAGCCGTCACGGCGGCGAGCAAGGCGGCTTGGACCTTCATGTTGTCAAGAGCTCAGGGAGACAATGGAGCCGTGTGGTGAGAGAGCTTGTCTCGACAAAGCCTCCAGAGGAATTTCATAGCTCATATAAGCATTGGACTCGATCGTCAGACTCCGGTGACGGCGGCTTTTGCTCTCGTCGTGCGTGGCCTGCCCACGCTAGCATCGGGTGAGGCTCCATACCTATCGTGCCCCTCATCCGTGAGGAGAATGACGCGATGGCTAAATATTGCCTCCACACAACCAACATGGTGGTACCTGGTGAGCCGGAAGATATCCGGCACTTGTGCTGCAGGTCCAACCTCTCGCCCGTTGCTACTGCGAGCCGAGGAGCTGGGTTAGTGGCATTTAGGGGTGGAGTCCCTATGGATCCAGAACAAGCAAACTGTATCAATGCCCAGACTTCCGGGCCGACTGGAGTGGGAACCTGAATGCGGAGAGAGGCCAGGATCATGCGGGGTGAGAGTGCAACTCAATCAGATGGAGAGAAAGGACGAACTGGCGCGACTCAGTCCACTTTGGCTTCTGCTCATCAGTTGATCATCAGACTTTGTCAACAGACCGGTCTGTCCGGATTGCCTTGACGGCACGAATGTTGAGTGCGAGTCTGCGAGATCCACTGCCCCTGCCCCCGAACAAGGCATCACTCGTCACTGGCCTGGAGATAGTGGGCGAGAGACTGAGGAGATTCGCGCTTTGTGCAGATGGGCGGTGACGACGGTGACGGCTATTGAAAACCAATGTTGCATCAAGTCTGGGGACTTGTGTCATCGCGTCAGCCATCCACTTGTGTTTAAAGATCCTCCGGGAAAGACTCGGGTAATCATCTCCCAGAGACCTCGAATCGAATCAAGGATGCAGTGGCAACAGGAGGACCTTGGCTTCTATGGAGAAATACTCACGCACGGCCAGAGTTGTTGAAGAACTCCCTACGCACAATGCGTGTGGTCTACCAGCTTTCACATTTGCCGTTCATAATTGTGTCAGCAAACCAGCAGAGAGCGTGATCAAACCACACGGCCTCAGAACACATACATCTATCTGTATATCGAGAAGTCAGTGTCGCACCTCCCGGGTTAAGCCTCTTTCCTAGTGCAGTATCACGCAGCTACTTAAGCATCCCTAGTAGCAGCCACCTACAGATATACTGAAGGTATTCCAGTCTCCCCAATGCCAGTGTCCCTTGAAAGTATTCTTAACTTCTTTCCCTCTTGTATTATATCTAGTTATCTCTCTTCCCCTTATCTCTCCTTTAACTAGCTGGCCCTCTTTATGTTACGGCTTGTGATTGGTCCTTGCAGAAGTAGCCCTCATAGTGCAGAACTGGACGGAAATGATCCAAGCAGTAGATTATTACTGAAGCTTTTGCCTTCTTGGCGGAGTTGTTTCTCCCGATTGTGCCGCCGAAAGTGTTTTCCTTCCAGATTTCTGATATCAGTTCTCTTGCCGCTTGATTAGCATTCATCATGGTGCATTATCAGCCACAGGCGAGACAGGCAAAAGAACGAGACAAGAGGCGATATGTATTGTGGTATACAAACCGAAACGTGATCAGGGTAATGCGATCACTTTGTCGGGCAGTTCATGCCCCATCAAATGTCCTCTGTTTTCTTATGGGCTTTCCTGTCAGCCTGAACGAGAGCGCTTTGCGCCCAGTAATTGCCATATAGGCTGCTAGTACGTGCTGTGTAACAATTGACCAGGCAGCTTTGCCCGAGGCGCTGTTCCTTGCAACATGTTGCGTAACAAGCACAGCCCCGGCGGTCTGCAGGTGTGATCTCGCCAGGCTCTCTACTCCGTACATAGAGGAATCAAAAGCAAAACTGCACGTTCTTTTAGCTGCCTGTGTACCGCTAAACGCCACCCAGCCACCCACCAGGCAGGACGCCTGGCAAGAAGCCTGGCGAGAAGCCTGGCGAGAAGCCTAGCAAGAAGTCCTCTCTAGAGAAGTCCACCCGCATTAAGAATGAGAAAAGCACCCGTCCGCCAGCCCGGAACTCCAAAGAAAGTATGCCATGCCTGCTCCCACCTGGAGGCACGGCATCCACTTATTCCTGGAGCTTCTGCGGCATCATCTGCCTTCATCACTAGATCACATGGAGGCAGAAAACGCATCTCATGAGCAAGGGGTGATCGGGGCACAATAGACGGGCGGCCGCGTCGACTAGGCCAGCATCTAAGCAGGTGGGGTCGAAGTACCGAGTACGTGAGAGCAACCACCGCCTACTTACCCGCCTCCCTCGCTGTCGTGCCACCAGAAAACGGGATCCCGCCCTTGCCAAACCCGGCCTCCAGAACACCATCTTCTCAACTTTTATTATTTAATAGCTTCGCTGATGCGTATTAGCCTGAAATCTTTTATGCTTAAATGATCAATAAGCTTTAACAAAAGGCGGTATAAAGGTCCTTTGAGCTTGTTATGTAGCTGGTTCTAGGTATATTTTTCTTTGCTTACCTAGCCATTAGAAAACGCACACCTACAACTCTTTTATCACTCTTAGACTTGCAAGTGCCAAGCAAGGTTCTTGCACATGGTATCAAGGGAGACCGGGCCAGTTCGAACACAACGTCACGCGAACAAAAGCACACCATGTCAGCAGGCCATGAGGACCTGATCTAGTATATTCTATCCGTAGTCCGAAGTATGTACAGAATCAGAAGGCATATTCATTCTTCATGCGGTTGACCACTTCTCCGGTCCGTGGCGACGTGTTCAACCAGTGTAAACGGCAGGGCCCACACTAGTGTACTTGAAGTTGGCGTCGTATATAGCGGTCGAGAACAAGGCGTCGCTGGTCTTGTACGCCCCGGGGAACTTGACGCCTGCTGGGTTCGCGGAACCGCCACCAGTGACGTTTATCTGGAAGCAAGAAACGTACGGTTGAGGGTTTCCTGCGCCAGCGTGGAGGGCAATTGCTTCGGCTCGGACCAGGTAGTTCCCGGGTGCGATGCTGGCAGGGACTTGTAGATTGTTAGTCGTGGGTTTCCTGACGTGTTTGAACGGGGGAGGCGAATCGTACCGGTGAAGGCTCGCTTGCCACAGTTTGCGTTGAGGATCTCAGTTCCCCACGAAGCAGTCGTGCCAGTGTATCCATCCTCAGCAACCTTGAAGAAGCTTGCCTGTGAGCCGTCGGCCGTCTTGGCGTCGCTGACTTTGGCCATGTACACCATCACCGGGCCGTAGTGGTTTCCTCCGATTGCCGGGTTGCTGCACGACCTATCACCAGGCTGCTGATGCATCTCGACGGTCAGGCTGGAGCCAGCTGCAGGACGCGTTAGTATTTCACCTTGGGCCTCTGGTCATACGAGTGTGACACCAACCTTTGACCTCACAGATTCCGGAAGAGGTTGCAGGGCTACGGCCGCAGGCCATCGCGGCATCAGTGACGCCAGCGATGGGAGAGTTGTCCTTGACGGTCCGCACACAGGTCGAGGCTTTGTCCTCCGTCCCAACCCACAGCTCTTGCCATGTGGCGTGTGCTGTGACCGAGGTCACGGCGGCAAGGAGAAAGAGTCCAGCCTTCATTTTGCAGCAGTTGTCGGGAGCAGGTCAGAGTTTTTTGCATATATTAATCCGAGAAGGCTGTCGAGAAGAGACGTTGAGTTCACGGGTGCCTCATGCCAACCCGTGATCTAACACCGCGGGCATCCATGCTTTTAAAGGCTTCTTTGTCTGGAACCAAAGTTCTCCCGCATGGGGCGCGTGAGCCTCGAGACTGGACCACTCACGGCTGTGCCGTGGCGGCCAGAATCCTAGGCATGGAGGCGTTCAGTTCATCCGCCCAATAATCCTTGATTAGCCGGTGTTAAATAAACAATGTAAACCGTCTTGGCAACGGCAGCACTACCGACTCACGGGCCCGCAGGGGGCACAGATCGTCATGCCCAGAGCGCCGTCGCCAATGAGCGCGGCGCACACGGGGCCAAGCTTTTCTTACACCACTGCACTTCCCTGTGCATGATTTGGGATGCGGCGCGAGGTCTCCGAGAATCCTATTCAACAGTGGCTTTTGGTGGGTCAGTTGGCCTGTTCACGGCAATAAGGCCTCCGAGGGTGAGGCTGGACTGGATCATCTGTTCCAGATTGTTTGCCCACAGATTGGCTGTTTCAAGACATACATAGCTAGATAAGGAGAGCCAATTTGGCATTCTACTCGGCAAGTAGAGCCGAGGCGGAATCCGGCCGATTATACGGAGAAATTGATAGAGATCCCCACAGATTTCCAAAGTTGTATGAGAGCCTGGGAAGTTCGAAAGTAAACAGCCAAGCGTTGGGATTGTAATGGACGAAAAAGTCGTCGCTAGGCGTGAATGTCAGCGACCTCTCTGCCGAATAGTAGCTTATCTTGGTAAACTCTCCCGAATAAATGGAAACACGGCTATTGCCGGGGTTAACTAGATCACCATTGCTTTAATTGTTATTTTCCCCTCCAAGTCTCGAGGCTATTCACCGTCACGAGTACTGGCATATTACAATCAACGACGGCTGACCGGCAGCTTCGGGAAACTCATTCAAGGTCCTTTGAGAATGACGATCACTAGACGATGCCACTACCAAGCTTTCAGAAGTCCCATGGACTTTCTACGTGTTGCCACACTGATTACCAGTGGCCAGGCTTGAATTGGCCGGATTCGCCTGGCGCACCATCAGCTGTCACATTGATCTGCCGGGAATGGTCTCCGAGAATATAAATAGTACACCTGTAATCGCTCAGATTCATTTCCAAATTAGACCGAACCAAGCGCCGGACACGATTTAAACTGCATAGAATACTCCTTCTTATCATCCCAAAGTTGTCTCACAACCCCTCATGTGCCAGATCTCGGGTTGCATGGCATCATCGATTTCATTCAAGTAGGTGCCCCAATGACATTGAGCAATGTCTATGTATTTAGAAGACCCATCGAAGGGCATGCATGGTATTGGTTGGATATAAACAATCGGCCAGTCTCCTGGTGAATCTAAATTTTTGGCTACGGGCCGCCTTTGCGATCACTCTGAGCCATATTTGGTTCAGCGGTTACTGACCGAGATGTGAGGGTTGTCAGCATTCACAAGCTCGCATCAATCGTCGATAAGTGATTGGCAGTCTTGCATTGGTCATCAACGGAGTCTTGTTCATGTCTACAGCCCGCCTTGCATTTCACTGATTTCGTGCCGGCTTTTCCCATCGGCTACGTCCTCGCTCGTTTCTGAGGGGGTTGCTCCAGCTCCCATTCGTATGGCTTTCGGCCGTAAACAACATATCTTTGCACATGATTAGTAGCCCCTCTCACGTGGACTGGATGGATCCCGGTGGGTGCGGCGGGGAAGCCCAACTCACATCGGGAAAAAGAAATGCAGGCGGGAATCTGTGATGTCTGTTTTGGCTTTTTCGACGAGTTCTTCGATGTCGTCCGGCTCCATTCCAAGTTTTCGAAACAGCTTCCAGCCGAATCCGCGGAGAGCTCTATGAGAGTTTATCATTTGCCAGTACCCGAGTGACTTGAACTTGGCCTCGTCTGGCCACGGGTTTCCTGGGAGGAGTCAGTATTTCGAAACGCCTTTCGGCTGGCCCTCAAAGGATGAAAAGAGGAGGGGAAAACGAAAGTGGTCAATATTTGAGGCACTGACTGGATCGTCTTACCTGGAACAGGGCCAATGTCCTCCACAACATCCAAAAAGCCGGCCTCGATCAACATATCCTTATATTTGCTGGGTATATCAAGGTCTCGACCAATAGACTGGCCTGCTTGTAAGATCAGGTGAGAGAATCTCTCAATGTACGAGCCGTCGGCTGTGCCGTCTGTACACATCAGCTTGAAGACGGCATCCTGTAACTCAATCCACCCCCCGGGCTCCAAATTGTCATAACATCTTTTGAAGAGCGCCCGGTAATCGTCGAAGCAGGTGTGGACCATCCGCAAATGGATGTAGTCAAACATGACCGGAAGGGTCCACTGGTCGAGCTCGGCATCCTCCTTGATGAATGAGCAGTTGGGAGGACCCTCGGGCTGGATCAGGCTCAAATCTGTCCCGATCACGTTTGAGTCAGGGTACATCTTTGCCATTTGGATGGCCCAGATGCCCGTCCCAGTCGCAACGTCCAAGACGTTCTTGGGCGGCAACTGGATGGGTGCCTTGAAAAGAGCGTCGTCCAGGTGGACTTGCCACAGTTTGTGCTGCAAGTCCAGACGGTCTTGCTCTGCCTGAAGTCACGTTGTCAGCGCTAGTTCCAAGGTGCCTGGGGGACCGTGACGTTGCTGGGTCACTGATTGCATACCGCATCGTTCGGCAGGTAGTACCTGCCCTCGTGATAATTATGATATGTCCGTCCATTTTCCTCGTCCAAGACCGAGTCGGGCTCCGCGACGGAGGCCCCACTGGGGTCTCGCTGGAGCTCTTCCGGGACCGGTTTGGGCGCGGCGTGGAGTACAAATCCGTTGAAGTCCAAGGCCGGGACAGATTGAACTACCTCCCCGGTGAACGGGTCAAATTGGACATTGGCATTTCCAGCTCCGAATAGTGGCGCCTGGCCTGCCGGATTGCTCAAGGCCGCCTCGCTGCCATGTTCGGCACTTGGTGTCGGCCCAGAGTTGGCGAACGTACGACCACTTCCGAGCTCGTCCTGTTGTTGGCCCCGAGCCGGGGTACCAAAGTCCGGCTGGGGCTGTGCGAAGGGGAGGTTGCCTGCATTATTGTCGTCCATTTCTGTAGCTCTAGGATGTGTTTTCAAGTCTGCAGGCCCATGAGTCCAGACCGGTTGAGATGCGGGCAATCAGGACTCGGCTCCTCGGGCGAGGCGCGCGGGCTCCTGGGAATAGGGCGTGGCGCCATACTGCTGTGGGTAAACGGCGGCTGTTCAGTGCTTCGTCGTAGTGTATCCACATGGACAAGGAACCCCATCAGAACACTGTGGATGACTGGTTGGCTACTGATGGTGGTCGATCTGCCGAAAGCGCCCGGGCGCCCCGGCTCCCCGGAAGTATGCTGCCCCGCGTGCCTGCTCGGATGAACCGCGGGCGAAGAAAGCGTGGTCTACTGCATATATTTCGTGCATCAAGAGTTTTCGTGTTCACTGTCTTCAGTTGTCTAGATTAACGAAACTTACACGTTCTTTTTCAAAAGGTTTCTAGTGATTTGTTCTGGCCACAACTACTTTCCCCACACGCGCTTGGCTGAGGCTCGCTTGCGATGAGGCACAGCTGGCGGATTCTAGATTCCATTGCCGCCTCAGTGGAGCAAGACTGGGCGCCTGTTCATCAATGCAACTGCACAAGCGCGACTCAACCCGGACAGTGTTATTTGCTGCATCGATTCGCTCGCAAGGCTCCCTCAACAAGATGAGAGCGGGCTCTGCTGATGATGTGTTCACCCTGTCGGCGTGCCGCGTGCCTTGGCTGGACCCCTGGATGAGATGATAATAGACCCTGGGTTCGCGCGTGACGTCACCAAGCAGGTTGTGGCGATGGATACACCACCACGCTGCTCACCGAGTGGTGGGATTCTGAGCACTGGGGTTCTTGGAATGACACCGTGAACTTGGCGGAAGATAACAGCCACCGAGTATTTATATGAGCCAGGCCCCAGATTTCCCGCAATACCGGGTCATATGCAAGCAGCAACAACTTGAGCGCCAATCTTTCTGTTTATCATGAAGCGGACAACAGCAACATCAGCCCTAGGGGCAAGCATACTATTCCTGCCTCTGGCTATCTCGCAGGCATCGGGATCTGCATCAAAACGAGGCCTTGCATACATCGGCGACTCACACCAGGGCGATGTCAACCTCCTACTCTCTCCCAACTCCAGGATATCGTGGTATTACACATGGTCCGCCAGCCAAGTCCCGAACGTGAACTCGACCCTCGCGTTCGTGCCTCTGATCCACGGCGTCGACGATGCATCATCACCGGACGTCCAGGGGGCTATCAGTGCCCTTCCAGCATCCTCGACTCATTTGCTCGCGTTTAATGAGCCCGACGGAACTACTTCCAGTGGTGGAAGCTCCATTTCTCCCTCAGACGCGGCACGGTCGTACATAGACCACATCGTCCCGTTACGAACCTCATCCTCGCGCAGCTGGAACATCTCCCACCCCAGCGTGACGGGGTCCGGGAACGGGCTGGACTGGCTGCGGGATTTCAACGAGGCCTGCTGGGACATCGACCCGGACAACGGCTGTCCGACCGATTTTGTGGCCCTGCACTGGTACGGCAACTTCGAGGGCCTGGCGTCGTGGATAGGTACGATAAGAGAGTATTATACCAACTCGTCGGATAGCGGCGCGGTGGACCCAGACAACCTCAAGTTCTGGATCACGGAGATGGCCCTGCCGCAGCAGGACGAGGACGACACGGTGGCCATGATGAACCAGAGTTTGACCTACCTCGATGGGCTTGACTATGTGGAACATTACTCCTGGTTTGGGGCCTTCCGGAAGGACAACGATGTGAATGGATGGGTGGGCGATAACGTGGCCCTGTTCAACGACGACGGTGGGCTGACAGACGCCGGCGCTCTGTACCTGGGCGGCGAGGAGGCCGGGTTTGAGGAGGGCATGAAGGGCAGTGCGAGTAGCCTTGGAGGCAGTGGGAGCGGCAGTGGTCTTCTGCGTGCGTCGCTGCTGGCAGTGTTCGTGGCTGCCATGGCCACGGCGGTGAATCTCTGATGGCGCCCAGTCGCTTCAAATAGACCTGTTTTGCTTAGCGTTCAGCTTGAAATATACCCAACTTGAATTCAGAATGGTTCAATTTCATTCTTCTCTCTGAAATACCGCCTGTAGTGGTGCTGCCTGAGAAAACTGTTTCCGGGCCTAAGATTCACGGTCTCATCGTGGACACAAAGAGTGTTATATCACATAAGCAAGGCCCTCATTGGGCTTAACCGTTCCAGCAGAGAGTGATTTCCACCCCTTCAGCACATCCTCCATGCCGTTTCCCCAAGCAATCTTCAAGCCCTTTATCGGGTTCTTCTTGAACGCCTCCCAAGCCTCCTCAAAATCTTTGAAGTAAAGCTCCTCTCCATATTTCGCGATAGCAAGGTCCCGAATGTCGCTAGCATTGATCTGAGCAGACTCGTATGTCGGAGGAGCGGACTGCGCCTTCTGGAAGCTACCCAGGACGTTGGCTGACGATTCTTCAGAGATCTCTCTGCCACAGTTCAGCAGCAGGAAGTCCTTCCTAGCCTCAGAGATAGCCACAGCCCATTTCTGGGCGACGCCGCCGCGGCCGCCAAAGTCAACCAAGACGACTTTGCCACTGTCAGGGATTCTGGCCAGGACGTCGGAGGGCTCCTCGCCCGTTGATATGACTTCGTCGTACTCTCCAGTACCCCTAACGAACTCGATGGAATACTGGCTGGCCGCACCAATAACCTTTGCCACCGGTTTCTTCTGCCCATGTCTCAACTCCCGCGCGAAGGACAGGGCAACTTTGGCGCCTGGGGCAAGACATATTATCGTCGCTCCCTTGATATCCGCCTTGCTCGGGTCCCAGGCCGCGCTGCCCGACCCAGGGATGATGGTCTCTTTGGGGTCAGGCGCGAACACGAAGCGATTTACCAAGTACGACGTCTCGTACATCACGCGAAAGATGGCGTCGTACGCGATGCTCTCCGCCCGGGCCTCGATACTTTTACCAAGATCAGGGGGGGAGATGAAGTAACGGTTGTACATGGAAAAGATGTCCTGCCGATACTCATTCTTGACGAAGACCTGGCCCGGGACCGTCCCCTTCTCCAGCACAAGGTCCTGCGCGAGTGTTCCGATCGGCCAGTATCCCCAGAGGTAGCTGCCTTTCTCGACCGAAGGATGTGTGGACTCGAGCACTTCGGCATAGCCCCAGCAGTTGATGCGGCCGTACTTGGTGGCGTCGTTGAAAGGTGCCGGCGTCGAGGGTGGGAGGGGATGGATGTTCCACCATTTCATTAGGAACCCAGCTTTTGCGTAGGTCATATTGTTGGAGGTGAGGGACATCACCTTCGTCCGCAATCGGACGGAAGACGGGCCCAGTGGTCCATAGGGGATTGCATCAGGTAGCGAGACTAAGTGCTGGGTGAAGTATCGCTCCTTCTCGAGCACTTGTATGACAGGGATTTCAGACATGGCGTTACAGAAGTTGACCGGTAGACTTGTTTTGGGGGTCGTTGAAAGTTTGCAAGCAGGTCTGGTCTGCGACGTGAATGCCACATATTTATGCTGTTTATACGCCCTCCGACCCTTCCGGGGTTCTTGTCACGGTGAATTCGGTGTGACTCGATGTAAGCGGAGCGGGCAATCCTTGGCACTGCAGGTGTTGGCCTCCACTGCAGTTCCACGGATTTCGGACAAGAATAGTTGTCCGTTTCCCGCGATCTTCAACATTCCGGTGTTTGAATGTTATTTACATAGCAACGGAAAGCCGTGTGAGGTTGTCGCATGGGCACGTGCCACACTGCACATCATGATGCGGTCGCAGATGCACGATTGAGCCAAGAAGCGGCCGAGAAAGCCGTAAGGTTATTTGAATCCTATGACGAGCAAGGAAGGCCCAAGCACCCAGCACTGTCCTCAAATCACTCACGGCCGCCCCTCGCGCCCGCTAAGAGATGTGTTGGGGCGCGTCGGCGTGCTGCTCGTCAGTCAGTTACACGGACTGTGCAAGCTTGTGAACTGCGGAGGGGGTGGCGAGTTCACGATATGAGATCGATACGACGTCGATGGCCGTATCTGGCGTACAATGCAGTTCAATATATTAATTTTCCCACAATCAGAGGCCCGAGCTGGGATTCAGCCAATCCTGACGAGATGGCCTCCCCGTCGGCCACCGTCATGGAGTTACCTCTCACGACAGCGTTTGGCTTTGTGTATCTTGCTTGGACGAGTGGAGATTGAGTGGACTGCAGTACATGAAAGTCGTGTCGCATTCACACAGATGGCGTTGCGGATACTACCTCGGGTAATTGGCCCGTTCAGCCACACTGGCGAATTCGCTTTTGGGGTTCCTGCACTGCTACTGATCGAAGATATGACTGGCAGGGATGCAGCATGAAGGACGTGTGGCACATCCTTCGAGATGTAGCGTGGTGGATGAAGGTAGCATTCGTGACCAAGGCCGGTGGCTGACTTTGAAACAGACCTGCACACCCAGAACCTTGAACGATGTTAGGCGTCAAAGGGCTACCGTATATACTTGTCTAGCCCCGCTGAGAAAGACGTCGTCCGACGGCTGTCTCTGTTATCATCGTGACCCGAATTCCTCCAGGCGCTTCCATCTCTTTGATTTTGCAAAGATGAGTGTCAGCACGAAACGCATCAACGTGCCTCCCCAGCTGCTCCTGGACCATGGCGACGAAGAAACCCTGGGAGACGCGGAAGAGCAGCCCCGCAAGGTCCTGGACCTCGATGGAAGCTTCTCACTGGCCGATGGCCTGAAGAATTTGCCCAAGACTTTCATGATCCATCCGGATAAGGGGACAGATCTCTCCTGTGTCATACTTGTCCAGCCGGTGCCGGGAATTGAGGCCGTGAAGCGAACCCGCCAGAGGATGGGCAGCGGAGAATCTGGGATCTGGACGGCTACCCATTTCCACCCTTGGTCGTCCGCCGGTTCTGCCCTCTCACCAACACGAGCTATCGCGGCGCCGCCGAAGGACTTTTTCAAGTCCTTTCCTATCAATACCTCAGTTAATGGCCGATACCGCTGGCGCTATTGCATTCGCCGACGTTTTGCCCCTCAAGTTTGTGGGATCAAAACCATGTGCGTCTTTGCTGACGGCGCTTGTCACGATGCCGGCAAGACAAATGCGAAGGGCGGCTGTGGGTTCGTCTACGGTGCAGGCAGCACGAGTACCGTTTCTTTCCCCCTCGAGAAACGGGGCCCGGACGGAAAGCCGTACCCGCCCACCAGCATCCGAGCTGAACTTCGGGCGATAATTGGGGCTTTGGAGTTCCGGCCGTGGTGGGCAGAGGGCTGGGAGCGCGTCGTGCTCATCATCGACAATGAGATGCTCTCCTACGGTGCCACGGGCTGGCTGCGTCAGTGGGCTGGGAAGGAGAAGTGGAAGACAGCCGACGGGAGACCCAGACCGGACCGGGACCTGTGGGAGAAGCTGTCGACAATAATGGGGTCGTATGCAGACAAGGCTTGCGAGATATCTTTCTTCCTGGTCTCCAGAGACATGAACTGGGCTGCAGATCGTGCTGCATCCGCGGCTGCTGAGAAGGGTGCCTTTCTTGAGCATTACACGCCGCAGTTTGACAGGGCAGCATCTTGGGCGTTTTCGTACAAGTAGTCCATTTATTTTAGCGACTTTTTAATGAGCTGTAATGGTGAACATTATCTGCAACCACGATTCGACGCACAGGTGAAATTACAAGATCACAAGCTCAAATCTTTCAGGGCTCGCCTATATCGTGTCAAGAGTTGAATGGCATTTTTCTATAATTTGAGCAATGAGTATATTTAGGATGCTTATTCGCAAGCTGTACGCACTACTATTGTTTCATTCGAGAGTTTCGAGAACACAACGCTCATGAACATTACTGCACATGACTTGGAAAATCACCACAAAATCGTCGCAGCAAGTCAATGCTTTAGCTACTTGTGGCTATAGCTGCTGTCTTCACACATTTTATAATAAGAGGATGATGTACCAAAGCAGTGGTAGGGGACTTCTACACACATGAGTTGAACCGCACGCGTAGAAATTATATCTTTGTCACGTCTATCGCCATGGTGTGAACAACTGTAGCTCTAGTGGCGACGTATCGGGCTAGGAACGGCCGTGCCATATAGCTAACAGGGCGTCAAACGGAGTCTCATAGGACTATACCAGCTGATATCATTGCCATACTAAATTACGAAGACAGCCCAGTGCATACGCCCAGGTGACATCTTCGCTCACACCACTTGAAGCTATCACTGCATGCTGTCACCATGTCCTTTTCTGGTCGGGACTTGGATATTCCTGGAGATGTTTGGCAGGTCCGCGGCCATGCTTTCCAGCCAAGACTCATCCTCCACATTTTCCCCTTGTGCATTGCAGCAGAGCCTCATATATGAAAGGGTGACCCCGGAGCCCATCTACCATGAGGGCGGGGCGACAGGAGCCTCGCCAGTCCTACATCCCAGCGACCACCTTGGTCCTCTTTCGGGTGTGCAAGCCTGGGCAAAGATGTTCCCAACTGTAATCAAAGGCAGGCGTGCTGTGTAGAACCTGACGACCCCATGGCGCTGCATTAAGCATGGCTGTAAACGGGTTTAGCACAACCATTTTCGTATCACGCTGCACACTAGCCCTGAAAAGTAGTCTAGTGGGACTATGCGAGGAAACGAGAGCACTAACAACTGGCTTAGACGCGAAGATGAGTTCTTCTTTGGCGATGATGCGCGTGTCTGTGGAAAAGGTCACCCGGAGGAATCCCTGGAGGGAAAGCCACTGACTCGCTTCTTGTCAACAAAAGGGGCAGCATTACATCTTGCGTCGAGGACGGAATACTGCTCGAAAGACCACATAACGGGAACACTTGCTCAAGCTGGGGGCTGCAAATTTTCCGATCTAATAGCACTGCCATCATGAAGAGAATTCGGCGTCTTTGAGATACCTCGGGCCAAGCGATGTTCGTGAGAGCTCAAGCCGGACAGCTGCTATGACGCGCGTGTTCCTTGACGTCGTATTCTATTCCTGGGATGCGCACCAATAAGGCTAATTTCCCCAGATCTTGCACCTCCCCATGGGGTGGGTCTCCCGGCACTAAACTCGTCCAAGCCCTGCAACGGTGCAACAATCGCTGCTATGATCTGCCCGCGACTCCACTGGGTCCCCCCGTTCCTGCCGACGCCGTTGCCAATAATTCCTCTTGTGCCTGATGATCAAGATGGGGAAAGATGCTAATTTCGTGCTTGCCGCAGTCCCGCACGCGACGGTGAAAGCATCGGCCCCCGGTGCCGGCTCCAGGGGCCATACATAAAAGAGGACCTTGTTCCGCTTCACGTTCACGATAGATAGTTGAATCCCCACGACTCACTCAGGAGCGTGATCCCACCCTCGTCCATAGCCCATCATGGCTTCCCTATCCAATTTTGCCCTCCCTCTGCTGGCCCTCCTCCCTGTCCATGTCCTCGCCCAGTCAACCCCGCTGAATGCCACCGAAATATGCACCAGCTACTTCGGCAACGATGCAGCATGGTACATTCCCCGGATTCCACTCTTCCAGTCTAGTGATACGCAGCTCAACGATGTGTACTACTACCGCTGGAACATCTTCCGGGCCCACCAGCGGGACCTGGGCGCCAACGGCTACATCTCGACCGAGTTCATCGACGACGTGTCGTGGGAGCTCCTCCCGTTCGCCGCGCTCAACGACGCTACGGGTTTTCACCTGGGTGAGGGCCGGTGGTCGCGCGACAGGCGGTTTGCCCACGACTATGTCGACTTTATGTACAAGTTGCATCCCGAGACTTCGACCTACGGCAACGACAGGCACTTCAGCGAGGCCATCGCAGACTCCTCGTGGCGCGTATTCCTGGTCGACGGCGACCTGGGCGCCGTCTCCCAGCACCTGGACGCCATGAAGACCATCTACGACCAGTGGGACGACCACTTCGACTCCAGCAAGGGCCTGTACTGGGTCGAGCCCCTGGCCGACGCGACAGAGTACACCATCAGCAGCATCGACGCCAGCGGTGGCCAGGACGGATTCACCGGCGGGGAAAGTTTCCGCCCCAGTATCAACAGCTACATGTATGCGAATGCCAAGGCGATCGCGAGCATCGCGGCGCTGACGGGCGACTCGGCCACGGAGCAGCTGTACACGGCTCGTGCGGACTGGCTCCAGGGCAACTTCACAACCAGCATGTGGAACAGCACCTTTGAGCATTTCATCGACCGCTTCAAGGTGGACAACCAGTACGTGAAGTACTGGGACTTCATCCGCGGCCGGGAGCTCGTGGGCCTGGTCCCCTGGAACTTCGACTTCGTGCCGGCGTCCACGCCCGAGGTCGACTACAACGCCGCGTGGAAGCACGCCCTCGCCACGGACGAGCTGCGCGGCGAGGCAGGCCTCCGGACCGCTGAGCCCAGCTACGAGTACTACATGCGGCAGTACCGCTACGACAGCGTCTCGAAGCTCAAGGAGTGCCAGTGGAACGGCCCAATCTGGCCCTTCCAGACCACCCAGGCCCTGGGCGCGATGTCCAACCTTCTCGATCACTACAATCAGTCAGTCATCACCAATGGCGACTACGTCGACCTCCTGAGGCAGTACACGCAGCTGCACTTCGACAGCGCGGGCGTTCTCAACCTCGAGGAGGACTACTACCCCAACAACGGCTCCGCGCTCGTCGGGCTGGCGCGCAGCCCCCACTACTTCCACTCCGGCTACGTCGACCTGATCCTGTCTGGGCTGGTAGGCATCCGGCCGCGCGCGGACGACTCGCTCGAGGTCAACCCGCTGGTGGACGGCAGCATCTCCTGGTTCCGCGTCGACAACGTCCCGTACCACGGGCACGACGTCAGCGTGCAGTGGGACGTGGACGGGTCGCACTTCGGCGGCTCCGCCGGGCTGGTCGTCGAGGTCGACGGGGCCGAGGTGGCCTCGTCGCCGACGCTCGCCCGCCTCGTCACCCCGATCTCCGCCGCCTCGGCCCCGGCCATCGACAGGCCGCTCGCGAAGTCCATCCAGCTGCAGAGCGACACCCAGTACCCCGCGGGCAGCAGCTCTGTCTCGGGGGTCGACGCGCAGCAGATCCACGACGCCATCGACGGGCGGGTCTGGTTCTGGACCGACGTCGTCAACGGGTACAACTCCGCTGTCGGCGACGGTAACGCGTCGCAGTGGTTCGCGGTCGACTTTGGCGCCAGCACCGAGATCAGCCGCGCCGAGATCGCCTTCTACGAGGGCGACGAGCCGGGGACGTACGCCTACGTGGACGGCACCTATGCCAGCGTGACGGGCACGTACGCGGTCCCGGCGAGCTACTCCGTGCAGATACAGGACGGCAGCGGCGCGTGGACCGACGTGACGACCACCAAGGCGGACGAGCCTCTGGCCAACGGTATCACCAACGTCGAGTGGAAATCTGCCACGACTAACAACGTTCGGCTGGTGTTCGTACCGCAAGCTGGGAAACAGGTTCGTCTCGTGGAGTTCAAGGTCTTCTAAGAATTGAAGACCAAGATGGAAGGAATCTGTACCTATGTTTTGGATTCAGCTTGAAAATGTATATACCAATGGCCCTGCGCCGTCTACCCTGTGAACGCCATATTCCAACGGCCCAAGATGCCCAAGTCGATCAAAATCGCCGTGCAATTTGTCTATCAAATCCAACACCCCCCAGAGCCAATTTCTGGTCGTGGGTACGCCTCTCAGTCATCCCACTCCTCATCCAGTTGGCCGATCAGTCGGTCCTCGTCTTCTCTGCTTCTTCCCATCCCGCGCCCATTTGGTGATATTGAAAGCGATGAGTAGCCCCTCCGGCTGGGCATGAAACGGGCACATGACGAGGTCAGAATGATAAAGGTATCCTACGGCGCAACATTGATTAGCCGCTCGAGCTTCTCCGCTTCCGTACGACACTGGCCGGATGATTGCTCACCGAGATGAAGCTCCAGATCCCCGCCCAGAGGCTGTAGTTCGGCAACTGCTTCCAGCCCCGGGCGTTCGCCACCGTCCTTTGGTAGAAGACACCACCGGCAAAGTACACCGCAATCGCAATGAGGAAAATGAGGGCAAACACCCCGCCCGGCCCTACGCTCCCCGGCTTGGAGGGCTGGACACCAGCGCACGCATGTTGGCTGCGCACGACGAACATGTAGTTGCACTCATCCGGGTCCGCGCCGACGAAAGAGACGGTGGCGGTAGGGCTGACGCTCTCACGGTCGCAGCGGAACGAGATGGTTGCGGATTTCCTCCGTATCTCCTCGGCCTTCTCGATCAACACGGTGTTATCGTCTCCAATAGTCACGGTATCCAGAGAGCTGGAGTAGGCGCTGTTGCTCGAGCCCCTGTCGGCCGACGGCGGGACGTCTGTTGCATCGTTGGGTTCGGCGTCTCGTTTCTTTGACGATGAGCCGCACGGCGAGCCGCCGGAGTATTGCAAGACCAGCTGGCTTCCTCTTGGCGTCAGGACAGATGATTGCTGTCTGTTGCGTGTGGGTTAGCAAACTCGGGAAATCCCTTGCTTCCGTTCGACCAGGCAGGGCTTACCCTAGGGAGTATGTCTTCCCATCCTTGCCCTCGTAGTATGCGCTGACGTTCTTCCAGAGAGCCTCGTCGATGCCCACGATCTTCTCCGGTTTCTCTAAGACAGCCTCGCATATGTTCAGAGTGAAGTTGTAGCCATAGTCGTAGCCCCTCGCCGTGTAGTCTTCTGACTTGGCGCGCTTGTGCTTCCCATCCTTGGTCGGTGCAACTGCGATGTCCGGTCGCAGGTCGAAGTATGCCTTTCCGCCAGTTGCTGTCGCTGTGCAGGCTGTCGTGGTTGTGGTCTTTTCGTCGGCGGCAAGGGAAGCGCCAAAGAATGCCGCTGTCAGGAGCAGCAGGCGCAATCGAGAGACCATTGTTGAATGGTGTCTTGGGGAGTTCGTGTACGATCTGGCTCGATATTTGGAATCGGACTCTAAGATCCAGCCCAGTGTGGAGTAGTAGATCGTCGAGTTGCCCCGTGCTGGCCGCTAGACGGGATTGTGAAGAGTGGACACGGCGTGGCGGAAACGAGTCGTGTCGTGCGGATGTTCTGGCAGAGGTGGCGATTGAAGATAGGGACGCAGTCGAGTCGGCGATGGGAGGAAGCTCGATGAATGAAGGAGTGAGTGCTTCGTCCAGTCCGGTCCGTCCCAGTCTTGTCGTCGAATGTTGGGTCAAAGGAGTGCTTGCGGCGTTGCGTGGAGCCCAAGGTCGTCAGCCGAAACATCGAACATGTTGGATTGGGATGAGCAGGGGACAGGGGACAGCTGTCGCATTTTGACTGACGAGGGGCCGAGGGGTGACAGCCCTCTGGACTGCCGTCACTCACCCACAGTACAGTACGGAGGACGGTAGCCCGAATTAGCAACGGCTGACCCTCTGTCGCACAGCAGGCCCCAAGGTACCCAGGTACCCAGGCACACTTCGTCCTAGGTAGTTTGGCCAACCGCATTGCTTCTGCTGCTCTCCCTAGGTCCATGACTATCCACGGTATGATCGAAGTAGGTATCCAACAATTGAGTCATGGTCGTCCCAAGATTTAAATCGAAATCCATGTCGGAACATTGCTTCACCTAGAGGCACAAGAGGACAGGCTCGAAAGCTACATACCTGCCAGCCCCTCCACTGTTTCCCTCCTCGACGCACCGTCACCAATGACGACAGCCTCTCTCCCACCTGCCCGACTCATTACAATATTGGCCTTTCTGCAAGGCGCTGTCCAGAATTGGATTTTGACTGCAATGGGCCTCGTAACAGACATTAAATTCTCTCACAGGGCCCACTCATGCCGAGTCGCTCCATCGTGCCCACAGATGTCAGTAATATTGAATGATCCAGTACAGATGGCCGATCTTGCTGCAGTACGTGCATGTAATGTTTCTTTCTGTACACCCACATGCCACAGGTGGGGGTATCTGCAGCCAGTGATGGCACGGCAGGCTCGCACATTGTCTTGATCTTGATTTTGAGCCTGGACTTGGAACTGGACCTGCATCTGGATATATTGATTGACCTATGACTTCTCTGTTTGGCGGGTCGTAGGTGGTACGGAGCTGTGCGTAGGATCTTCAGCCCCCCTCCCTCACTTGCCATGTTTTAGGCTTGGTATCAAGGAGGTTTTCACATCTCGACCCCTACTTCCCCATCCCGGACAGCTAGATACTCTTGTTTATCAGCCGTTACCCACAACCTGAAGTCTGCTGCCGCGAGAGTACCGCGAGTTGGCAAAGATGTCGAGAGCTCCCCCATTTATCGGCTGCTGTGCTAGAGTACCATTGCATCGAGTGCGGAGGGCAGGGGTGGTCCAATGCCTGGCGGCTCCACCCGTCGCCTGTCGCTAGCCTGATTTGGCAGGGAGCTGGCGAAAAGTCTCGTTTGCATCATTGATTTTGTCGCTGGCATTGATTGACCACAAAGAGCTTCAGGGTCCCCTCCCGCTCAAACAAGCAACCGCTCAACATCGGACCAAACGGCAGCTGTTGCATCCGGCTGCCCTCACGAGCACCTCCTCTTTTAATCTACAGTGACTCCTCGACTGCCCGTGCTACACTGCGCCGAGCTGTATAGTGCTGCAGACAACACCATCCGCGCAGCTTCACCTGCGAAATCAATTCTGCTGCACCGCGATGCCTCCCAAGACTGCTGCCGCGGGCCAGGCCCATGGCTATGAGTTCTGCGGACCGTATGTGTCTTCTCCCCGCCTCTCTACGAGATCAATGCCCCGACTAACCTTCTCTCGCTACACAGCCCAGGAGCTGCCGCTGTCTCCTTCGGTCTGCCCATCCTGCTCTATCTCTTCTCCTTCGCCTGCAACGACGTCTCCGGTTGCCCTGCGCCGCTGCTCCTGACCAACTGGAAGAACATCGACCTCCAAGAACTGAAACGCGATGTTGGATGGCCCGCCAACGGGGTCTGGGGCCTGGCAAGCTGGCAGGTCACTGGCTGGACACTGGCGTACTACCTCTTCAACGCCGTGCTGTACCGTGTCCTGCCTGCAGTCGAGGCTGAGGGTGTTGAGCTTAGCAGCGGCGGAAAGCTCAAGTACCGCATGAACAGTAATTTGGCCCGATGATGGACTGCGATAAGAGGCCTCTCGCTAACACTGCATCACAGGCTTCAGCTCCATCATCTTCACACTCGTCGTCTGCCTCGCCGGCACCATCCAGCAGGGCGCCTACTTCCCAGTCTGGACCTTCATCACCGACAACTACGTCCAGCTCCTCACCGCCAACATCCTCATATCCTATGCGCTTGCCACCTTTGTATACATTCGTTCCTTCTCCGTCAAGGCAGGCAACAAGGAGCTTCGCGAGCTTGCAGCTGGCGGTCACTCCGGCAACATTATATACGACTGGTTTATCGGCCGCGAGCTGAACCCCCGCGTGACCCTGCCGCTCATCGGCGAGATCGACATCAAGGAATTCATGGAGCTGCGTCCCGGCATGCTCGGTTATATCCTCTTCAACTGCGCCTTCGTCGCCAAGCAGTACCGCACCTATGGCTTCGTCACTGACAGCATTGTCTTCATTGCCGTCGTGCAGGCTCTTTACGTGCTGGACGGCGTCTTCATGGAGCCCGCTATCCTCACTACCATGGACATTACCACCGACGGCTTCGGATGCATGCTTGCCTTTGGCGATCTCGTCTGGGTGCCCTTCTCCTATAGCCTGCAGACCAAGTATCTGTCGGTCTACCCCGTCACCCTGGGGCCGATCTGGCTCACGGCCGTCTTTGCGATGCTCATCGGGGGCTTCTCCATCTTCCGCCTCGCGAACTCCCAGAAGAACACATTCCGCACAAACCCGAACGATCCAGGCGTCGCGCACCTCAAGTATATCGAGACCAAGACCGGGTCCCGGCTCATCACCTCCGGCTGGTGGGGCGTTGCCCGCCACATCAACTACTTTGGTGACTGGCTGCAGGCGTGGCCCTACTGCCTGCCCACGGGCATGGCTGGCTACCTGATTCTGTCCGCGGGCACAAACGCCGAGGGCGCCTTCAAGATGATCGACGGCAGGGAGGTCGTCCAGGGCGCTGCGAGGGGCTGGGGCATCATCTTCACCTACTTCTATGTGATTTACTTCGCCGTCCTGCTCGTCCACCGTGATCTGCGCGACGACGAGAAGTGCCACCGCAAGTATGGCGAGGACTGGCAGAAGTACAAGAAGACTGTCCGTTCGAGGATCATCCCTTACGTCTACTAGATGGTGGGAAGGCAACCAGTGTCTCCCTGCTGTTGTTTCCTGGTACTTCGAGGTGAAGCGCCATCGGGAACGGCAGGAGATACTTTAAATGCCATTTGGATACACAATCACAGCCAAACTATCCGCGTTCCCACGTCCACGTATGGTCTGTGCATACTTGCCTGCGCCTTCGTGCCAGGAGCAGCTCGACTTTGGGCGGCACGGGCGTTATTGTGCCTGTTGTAATGGCAGGTTGGTGGCTATTTGGTGTTAATTATACTGTCCAATATTGTGCGGATAGTTCTTTTTATTGGCGAAGCTCTAAAGGTAGGTACCTTACACTGTATTATCATGTTGGTGTATACACCATTCGGTACCTGTACATTATGTGGCTGCAATCATACAGCTTCACCAGCGTGGCGCGCCCGTTCGTAGCAATCCACTACTTTTCCCGGCGCTTCTTGTGGCCCAGACACCATGGGTCGACTACATCCTCGACGTATTTGGCATCAGATAGAAGCCCAATTCCACAGGAACACGTTATGTTTACAAAGTCGAGTCCCAGCAAGAGTTGCAAGCGAAAGGGTTATGATAGGATGGGGGTTCCCCTGGGAGTGACCGACTGTGCCGTACCTAGATTAAGCTGGTCGACTTGACTTATGAGAGAAAGAAGGATCACGTGCGGTCTGTTCAACAAGAGGACATGCTCTCATGGATCACTAGGCGACTGAAGTTACACTACTGGCTTTGGACGGATGGTGAGCGGGGGCATCTTGTTTGATCTCCGTGTCAATAGTATGATGTATGAGGCAGCAGAGAATTCTTAGTAAAGAGATGCTCGATGAGCAAGTTTCGTGGAATCATTATTTATTAAGGCCTATCCTCTACCCATATTGGCACAGACAGAAGTTTACTAAGTAGTCCTACAATATGTACTCCTTCCCAACAGCCCCAACCGCTACTAGTAGTCCAGACAGGCGAGTCCCTACAGACTAGATCGACGATGGTCTATGGGCAGATAGATAGACAGCAACGAAGTTCAAGTTCAGACGCCACCCGCCCAGCTAAGGCAGGGGAGCCTGCAGGTCCAGCTTCCTGCTGCTCCGCCCGACATACACCGTCTTGGGGAAGTCGGAGATGACCCAGTCCTGGGCCACCGTGTCCCAGTTGCTCAGGTCACGGTGCGTCAGGTCCACGCTGAAGGTCGCCGTCTCGCCGGGCTCGAGGCTGAGCCTGTCGAAGCCACGCAGCACGACCGGAGGGTCGTCCGGCCCGCCGAGGGAGAGGTACAGCTGGGGCACCTCGTCGCCTGCGAGGGAGCCGGTGTTGGTGATGTCCGCAGTGACAGTGTAGAGCACTTCGTACAGGCCCGGGTTGCCGCCTGGTGCGCCACCGGCTGGGGCAAAGGCAATGGGGTCGGAGGAGATTGCGTTGGGAGGGAGGAACTCCTCGGCCGTCTGGCCGTAGAAGGGATCCTGGCTCGCCTCAGCGGCAGAGGTGGTGGTGTTGAGGTAGGGGTAGATGTAGCGGGTAACGTAGTCCAACTGGTCAGAGGGGAAGGCATAATCCTCCAAGTTGGTCGAGTAGTTGGAGCTTCCGATGATGGGGGCGGCGGGAGAAGAGCCTGTGGTTGGCACATATGGATCCGCGGTGCCCTTAGCAACATTCAGGTTCGCATACTCGAAGGTCGTGTAGCTCAATCCAAAGCCGAACTCGTAGATTGGGGTGGCGTTGGTCCTGTCGAAGTGGCGGTAGTCGATGAACGTGCCCTCGGTGAAGTCATCTTGCGGCGCGCCCTCCCCGTTGTTTGCCTCGTACAAGACGTCTGTGCCGTAGCTCTCGCGTGTGGCACACCAGGTAAAAGGCGTGCGGCCAGCTGGGTTGACCTTGCCGTAGAGAACGTCGACAATCGAGTTACCTGACTCCTGCCCGGGCAGACCGGCCCAGAGAATCGCAGTGATGTTGGGGTTGTCGTACCATTCAGTAAGCAGAGTAGGGCCGACGCTATGAATAACCACGATGGTGTTGTTGTTGAGGCTAGACACGTTCTTGATCAGCTCGTCGCCGCTGTGCCACAGCGTGAGGTTATTTCGGTCGCCCTCGTTACCGTCGACGCTGATGTAGCCTTCTCCACTGTCGGCGTTCACGAAAACAATGGGTGTAGCATAGGTCTGCGCAACTAGAGCCTCGATCTGGCTAGTTGCGTAGTTGTCAAGGATGCTCTCGTACCGGCTTCCGTCCGCGAGCGCCTGGTTCTGGAGTGCAGTGTCTGGGGTCACGAGGTACGGGAAGTCAGCAGTTCCTGACCCCCATCCCATAGCCAGAGTTCCGTTGTCGCAACCTCTGTCGGCGCACCCATTTGGGCCGTTGAGGTTGGGCCCAGCGTCTTCTCCGATGACTGCGAGAAATCTGGGCTTGTCCAGAGGGAGGGCACCGGTATTTTTCAACAGCACAGTTCCCTTCGCGGCAACCTCTCGGATCAGAGCCGCGTGTTCGCCTCTCACGTCGACGTGGAAGTTAATCTGTTGATATCCTTCCTCGGCGCCAGCGTGTACGTATCCAAAGGTATCCCTTGACCAAGAGGAGAAGTTGGGATAAGGCTCGTCGACAGTCCGACCGACCTTGAAATAGGCGGCCATGATCCTCATTGCCATATCGTCAAGGCGGCTGCTCTCTGGTTAGCATGTTGTAATGATGACTTGGGGGCTTGCTCAAGAGTCTCCTCCAATATAGCACGGGATTACGGAGGATAGTGCTGGAGAATAAAGCACTTACTACAGGGGCATTGTGCCGTTCAAGACGGCCAAAGTCAAGTTGGTACCCCAGAACGAGAGACCTGAGCTGAAGGCTGTGTCACCAGGCATGGACATGTCCAAGCCAGCAACAGCCGCGCCGACACCAGTGTGGTGCGCACCCCAATCGCTCATGACGAAGCCTTGGAAACCAAGCTCATTCTTCAGGATATCGTTCATGATCTTCGAGTTCTGGCAGCCGTACGAGTTGTTGATCTGCTGATAGGAGCACATGACAGAGCCGACTCCGGCCTTGACAGCATCAGCAAAAGGCCACAGGTACAGCTCATGCAGGGTCTTGTCGTCGATGTTGGACGACATGGACTCGGTGATGTTGAAGCCATAGCCTTGTGCTTCGCCGGATTGGCGGAAATGCTCTGTGCTGCGCGTCAGAAGCTGCGCCGCCAGTGTAGTTTTGTGATTAGGAGCAGCGCTTACCCTGTTCATTGGCGATGTAATGCTTTGCACAAGCAATCACACCGGCATCCTGAATGCCCTTGATCGTTTCGGCCATACCGACGCCGGTCAGAACTGGGTCAGGAGAGAAACCCTCCCAGTTCCGGCCGCCAGTAGGGGCACGACCAATAGGGCCTGCGACTGGGCCCAGCTGAATGTCGATGCCTTTGCCCCTATGCTCTTCGCCCATGGCCAGGCCTCTCTTGTACATCAGGTCGCGGTCAAAAGTGGCTGCTGCCGTAAGTCCTGCGGGGAACGCTGAGGCCCAGTCCGCAAAACGAATGCCCAGAGGAGAGTCCTGCAAGCACAGGTTCTTGTGAAGACCAAGACGGGGCACCGAACCGACGTTGCCGACACACACTTCGCTCTCCCAGCTAATCTACAGTCAGTCTTGTGTGTAAGCTCACGATTCCAAAAAAACACTTACCCAACTCCAGTTGTGATGTTGACCTTCTCGAGGAGCGTCATCTGAGAGACAAAGTCTCTAGCCTGGGCATAGGCATCTGCCCAGCCATCGGCCTCTGGGTCCATCCATGGCGAGGGGTAGAACGGAGGGGAGTAAGCAAGCTCCGTCTGTCGCTGTTGGACCTTTGAAGAGGCGTCAGCTAACTGATGGAAAATAGCCACAACAGCAATCAGAGACTTGACACTGCTCATGTTGTTGCTAGAAATCCCCAAGGAGTTGGGGGGCTATCAACGAGGCCCTCAGAGTAAACTCTTTGTCCAAACTCTGGTAGCGACTAAATCCAATTTGAGAGAGCCGGAGCTGGCAGGCTGTGCTTGTAGCACCCGACGCGAACAGACGTCAACACAGGACAGGAGCTTACCTTTACAGGTCCACCGATGGTGCCGGCAGAGACAGAGCCGCAGCTCGCCGCCAGCCAGACAAGGGCGGTAGCAGGCGAAGACTTCATGGCGACCAATGTTGTCAGGGACCGGCCAATAATTTCGTATCGGCGGTGCTACCGTGATGTTGGGGTGGACGAGTAGCCTAACGGAACGACGTTGTGCTACCGAGGAGCCGGACTGCAGCTTCTACATCAAGTAAACAACAGGGAGGGAGAGAGGAACGGCGATCAAGTATCATTTATAGGCCGCTGCGGTCCGGGCCCAGAAGCGAGTTGAGTTTCTCGGTGGGGTGAGCGAGTGACTCGACGACTAAGTAAACTCTGGGCATACCGCATGAAGGCAGCAAAGTTGTGGAAAGTATGTCTTAGGCGTGGGATATTGATGTGGAGACGCGAATAGTTCATCCCAAGAAAAAAAAGCGACGTAGTGGACGAGATCCAATCACCGAGTGGAGGGCAGGGCCCCCATGTCCCCCAAGCCAGGACAAAGGCATTGGGGAGGCCGGCCTGGGGCAGAAGCCATCAGAGTTTGGCCGGGGCTTCTCCGCATGGCAGGCCAGATCCCTGGCGACGCATCGTCATCCGTGCCGTCATGCATCTTCAAGCAGTGAGATGCACAATGGGTGTGCGTACTGTAGCATCAGGCCCGAGTGGACACGAGCCGAGCCTCCCAGGCGTTCCTGTCGCGTTGGGATTGGAGGCAAGCTGAGCACACCAGGTACCGCAGCATGTCCCCGGTCTGTTTTGCAGCAAGTCGTTCCTTGTTACAGTCAGGCTTATTATTTAAAGTATAGACAGACTCAAGTAGGGAGAGAATGAGGAGACAGGTCCTATGAGTGTGATGTGCTGGCGTACAGCCCGACTGCAGTACCCACACGCGCGGCGGATGTCTCGGTGATTGGCTTCTTGGGGGCGCCGGCAGGGGCAGCAAGGCTGGACGAGCGGTGTCGCAAACAGTATCATGGCAGCATGTTCTTAGGACAGCCCGCGAGCACGAGGGCGTCATGGTGGCCTGGCAGGGCCCATGGGGACGCGAAAAGGGCCGATGAGAAGCTTGTCGAGATGACCGGAAGCGGACGCAAATATCGAACTACGCGTTCCCGCCTCGCCGCTAAGAGGAGCTCGCCGCCGTTAGGCGCAGGGAGAAGACCGGTAAATGAGGGTCGAGGTTCGTATCCATGGTGTCGTTGTGGTCTTGGCCTTGGAGAAGTTTGCGGGGGTAGAGATCCATCCTGTCAGGCAATGTCTGTGCCCCCTTGCTGTTCCCCGCAGACAACTGCCCCAGCCTTTTCCCCTCCCTCCTCCTCCTCTTTTTCTCCTCCTTCTGCGCCCCGGATCTGGCCCGTAAACTTGTGGGTGCGGCTAGCTGGGGTGCCTGCCCAAACATTTTCTGGGGAAACGGCCGCCATCTCACGATCTCAGTTGGTCTCCCTCGAGGACAAGACTTCTATCTGCCTTGCTTGACACTTCCAATTCCAGTTCTCCTTTGCATGCTTCCACGGCGGCTTCACATTTACTGCCCAAGGGATTAGCTACCCCAGCAACTCCCTGTCTCTTATGCTTAGCATAATATCACACCCTCTGTCCCAAGTCAACGTTGCCCTGCCACAAGAATATCAGTGTATCCTGTAGCCTGACGACTAGCTAGCTTCTCGTCATCCCGAGTTCACCAACCGTTCAAGGCTTGTCTTGTCGTCCCGAGTCCAACCTCTACTTGCCGCACACACACACACAGTCCAGAGCTCCACTCCCGCGACGCCACGTCCTCGTCGGATGCAAGCCACCGGCGGCCAACAGCCACGCTACGCACCCCGACGAGAACGTTGCGTTTTAATGGTGGTTGCCTACGGTATCCTCTCCTCGACGTCGGGCAAAGGCCGCAGATAATTACATCTCAGGCATGTATCTTACATGTCGTGCATATGTACGGACGGTCACCTGCGCAGTCTCACGCATTATATACCCCGCTTCTGCCAACCTACACACCCTCACACAGCTCTGCCGTTGCTGCTACCACGGTAGGCTGTCGCATTGGGTTTTGTCATGTCACCTTGCATCTGTGCTCTATACAGTATCCACCTGCTCAGCCGCCAGTCGTCCTCGGGTCAGCCGTCTCAACTTATTACTACCACATAGTAGTAGTGATCGGTCCAGATTCCCGAGAATGTGGATCCGAAGAGTTGCATCTGTGTCCATCTGTCTGGATAATCTATAACCTTGGATAATAGCAGTCTTACATGTTGCCACATGGTTTCCGACAGTCTGGGAGGTGACACTCTTGCATCCTAGAAACGAGGATGTCCCAAGTAGGGTTTCATTGACGCTGCTGACGTGCCTGACATCCGGACGGATGTTTTGTCGTACCAGATGATACTTTGTAGAACAACCTTTTGTGTGGTAACCTTGGGCGTGATTGTTCAGACAGAAGCTCCTGTGTCTGGGTAGAATATCATAAGCTCAGTTGTTCACAGCCCAGATCTGTAGTCACGGCTCCCGCAAGACTAGACTTTCCAGGCAAATCGTGTGTGGTCATATCAATGTTCATTGAAGAGACCACCACTCGACGCAGCACTGCGTTGAGGATCCTGCCGTTCTGAATACTGAAGGAGACCAACCTCCACCACAAGTTCCAACTGCGTCCAACAGTATTAACAAAAATACCGTATGGAGTGACCTCTTCACCCCATTTCAAATAGATGAAGACGAGAAAGCAATCAGCATTTCGCAGCATTCTGAAAAGCTTGCGGGTCCATATTTGAATCAAAGAAAGCCACTTTTGTCCATCCCAAACGCGACGCGATAGATCAACTCCAGGCGTGGTGTGAATAACAGTGTAATCCCCCAGCACATCGCCGCCAACAACACCAGGATAATGAGACAGGAGCCGCTCCCATCTCCAGACCACCCAAAACACCCCGAGGCTAGGACGGACAAGACACGATTCACGAGGACACAGCTAATACAATTTTACATAGTGCACAGGACAGACAACGACCCCTTCCTTTCTTAGAAATAGAATTGTTGTTGTGGCGGCTGGCCCGGAGGAGGTTGTGCAAGGAAGTCGAAGTTCATGGTATCCAGGCCCGAGTTCCACGGGTCAGGGGACTCTGCAAATGTGGTAGGACGGTCAGCTTAGCCTTGTCGCAAGTGACACGGGCTTATGAGTCAAGGAGAGTGAACTGCGTGAAAAGAGTCCACGAGGACATCCTACCCCAGAAGATGGAGTCGTAAAGTTCCATAGGCTCGATATAGGTGCTCGGATCAATCGGCGCCAGATCGGCGCCTTCGAGCGACGGTGCCCCAGTGACATATGGCAATCTGGTGGCAAGTCAGCGGTGTCGCATTGTAGCTATAGGAGCGAGAGGGAAAGTCAGACTCACCCTGTAAAGTCCTGCATGCCACTCCCATTTTGCATTTCTGCCATCGCCATCGCCGCATCTTGATGAGGATCGAGACTCTGAAGCCCAGAGGTCGCATACGGTGCTCCGGGGAGAAGGTTATGACCGTCCGAAGCGCCCACGGCAGGGTTCGTCAGCTGACCTATACCCAGAGGCGTGCGTGTCCCAGATCGTGTCCCGCTATCGCGCTTGAACACGGCAGATCCCATGACACTTCCGTGGTCGTAAATGTTCTTCAGCGCGGCGAGGGCACGTGATAATGGTCCCGAAAGCTCAATGTCCTTGTCGCTCTTTTGAATGTGTGGGATCGGGGAGGACTGCTCCTTGGCCGCAGTAGCAGACAATGCAGAGATGAGATCACCTTGCAGCTGACGTATTTCAGGGTCTGACTTGGTCTCGGGCAGGAGACCCAGAAGCACGGCTGAAGACAGGCCGTGGTATGTAAACGCCCAGGACCTGGTCGGGATCACCGAGAGTTGGTGCATGGCGAGGAACATCCTGACCGTTTCCGTCAAGTTGTCCCTAAACTTTGCGGACAAGACCTTTCGTTCGGACGGCTCGAGGGCGTCCGATTCTCCTCCTCGTTTCAAGGCAGGGCGACAGCAGACGGATACGACAAAACAGGTGTGCAGCCTGATGGCGAAATGTTGGAGGCGGTCGACTGCGGTCTTGCAGGCTTCTTTACTCCGGATCTGCGGAATGACTTTCTCACGCAGCCGTTCCGTAGCCTGGCAGTTGTCGAGTATCTGCACAAAAGTTGCCTCGGCAGTAGCGTCAGGGTTGAGGCGTCGATTTATAATTTGGCAGAGGTGATACATGGCTTCCAGATAGGTCAGGCCGTTGCTTTCAGCGCTCGGTGAAACTGGAATCGGACAGCAGGGAATATTGGTCATGGGAGAGCTTGCAAGATTTTAGTGCCCAGATTTGCAGAAAAAGGTTCTAGGGGGCGATATGGACATACCGGTCGAATGAGAGCGAAGTGAGAGTGTCATGCCACACACAGCACCACCTGTGAGGTCAGCATTGAGTCTCCTTTCCCCCGAGTTCAGCCTCGCCGGTCTTACCAGAGTTTGCGTCGAATGATCTCCTTCCTCTTTGCCTCGGGGTCCGTGATCTCGTTGTTGTTCAGCCTGTGGAGACCAAGTGACAATGCCAGACGACAGGTAAGTCCCAGTAAGGCCCAAGATCCCTCTGCCTTCATATCATTGAGGAGACTGAATGACACGAGGAGCAAAGCCTGTATTGAGTCGAAGTTTGGGCGCAAGAGGAAGTTGCCCATGCGAAGGAAATGGAAGGATATTTGCAGGTACTTCTGAGAACTGCTGGTCCGTATATGGTAGGGCGAGTCGTGGTATTGCGAGCCCACGGCGAGGACTGCGAACAAAATGGCGAGCCAGGAAGCTGACACGGGCCTCCTGGCAATCTTGACCGTACTCCTGGCGTTTTTTGCCCGCTCTTCGAGGTAGACCATTAACCTCGACTCTAAGTCGTCGATATCAATTACAAAACCCCAAAAGACTTGCGGTATCTCCTTGTACGTTCGGAATAACCTAGAGATGTTAGATGCATACGCCAGAGAGAGATCGTTACCAGCTCGCCAATAGCGGAACCAACGCGGCACACACAGGCCAGACCTACTTCATAACCTCGCGGTCAGACGGCAGCTCAGCAGAGATGTCCGCGGTTAGCTTCTCCAGGTGGCGCGAGGACATGAGCGGGAACGGGGCCGAGTTGTCCAGGCCGAAGATAGAGCGCATGTCTTGTCGGATATTGTCGACACCCGCTTGGCGATCGTTGGGGGAGGTCTGTTCTCTCAACAGGGCCGGTATGCTGTTCTGTCCGAGATACCTCGTCACCTCAGCTGATTCGGGGTCAACTGAGATTGGTGTCAGAGATGAAGAATCCTTGCGTTTTGAGCGGAATGGAATACCGAAAGCGCGCATGGCAGGATCAGATTTGGCTTCGCTGCTCAGTTCGCGGGTGTCCTGGTCATCAGGAGAAAGGGCCCTCTTCTTGCTGATGTGCGAGGTGACGTCTGAGCCTCCGGTGGACTTGGATGACCGATTTGGCTTGTAGGAACATAGCTGGGGGTGCTCCCGTTTTACACAGTTCTCGCATGGCTGCTTGTTGTCGCACTTCACCTTGCGCTGACGGCAAGGCCAGCACGCCGTTCCTGACGGAGAGAAGGCTCGTAAGCAAGGTTCGCACGGTGCGTGCCCGAGTTCAGAGAGGCGCTACAAGACATATCGCGGGCAAGTCACAAGCAATGAGCGGGTGAAGGACAGAGAGATGAAGCAGAAAGAAATTTGCCTTGGAGTCGCACAGGTCGCCCGGGGAGATAGGCAAGAGAAATGAAAGAAGACGGCGTACCATATCGTACTTTCCGGTGCGAGTGGATAATGCGGCTGGCCTCCTCCGGGGTCAGGTCATCGATGTTGGGGCTCTCATGCTGCTCCGCCATGGCGGCGAACCGCGGAGCCGGCGACGGCAACCACGGCCAGAAACTGGTTCAATCGAGTCCAAAGCCACAGTCGATCGAGTCCAGTCGAGTTGAGTCCAGCCGAGTCGCGCCGATTCGGGTCGGGATGGGTAGGGTCTGGGAGCGGCTGGGCCGGATTGGGTTTGTGAGAGCTCGAGTCGGATCTGTGGCGCCGTCACAGGTCAAGCAAGAAAGACTCACGCCGGTCGAGGGGCAGTGCAGTCAGTGAGTGAGTGGGTGGAGATGTGTATGAGCTCGGCAAGCTTTGCTCCACCCGCGAGTTTGGACTGGCGGATGCCGGCCGGCGATGCTTCTCGAGGGCACGACAGATGAACTTCCTCAGCACGCGGTTGGGGAGGCGTACGACGGTCTGGTTGCTGAGTGAGGTGAGGTGAAGTGAGGTGTGGTGGTAAGGAAACACGAGGATGGCGAAGATGGTCAAGACGGCTCATCGAATTGAATCTCAGAGTGAGAACTGACCGTCCATTGTCATGGCATGGACTGGCTGATTAAGGTTTGCCTCCTGGGAAGGTTCCAACGTTCGCTGGTCGGGTCCCATTGGATCGGGCTGACGTCGCAGAAGTGGGGTTCTCAGTCGGGCAGCCGGGAGGCGGGCAGGCAGAGGGCAGCCGTTGTGCTGCGGCATGTACCCAGGTACCCTGTCCCAGATCGATCTTTCCAAGACTGAACCCTGGAGTGGTCTGCGCTACTGCAGGAGACCACCAGGCTCGACCAGGCTCTCTCTCTCTCAGCTCACTGGCGGCCCCAGCGCCGAAGCTGTCCAGGCTCAGCTGACCGAGGTGATAGGCTGTGTCAGTTTGGTGTTTGGTGCTGGGATTTAGGTCGTGCCTTTTCTCATCATTCTAGCCTGCTACCATTTTAAAGAGAAGCTAGTCTGGAGCATCGATCTCGGCACTTGCTCCACCACATGGATGTAGGGATTGCTCTTGCCAGCTAAGATACCGAACTAGACGGGCAGGAGAGGTCAAGTCTACCCCGCTCTTAACCTTTTTCGGATTCCACCCCTCCTCTCCAGGGTTTCTTGACTCGTCTCCCCGCCAACAGCTCTTCCCGAGATCCAATTAACCCAAGGCGAGTTGAGTGAGTGCTGCTCAACTGCTCGTTTGCTCGAGTGAGACTCGCCCTCCGTGTCTGTACCCAGCTCAGGAAACGCTAAGACCTATCGCCTCTTTCAATGTTCCGGCATTGCGTTCATTCCAGCCCACCCGGTTTCGCATCCCTCACTGGCTGAGAAGGCCAGTCGGACCTTGTCAAGCCAACCCAGCTACCGGCCCATCACCATCCTGTCTGCCTGTGCAGACGACAGCGACCTGGCTCGATCCTTGAAAAAAGGTGGTGGATATCCAGTGCTGGTGATCAAGTGATATTGTAGGTATAGATCTGCCTGGCTGGATCCTGGTGATGGTTGCCACATTCTATCACTTCGATCTCGCCTCCTGCCTCCTCTCAACCTCACTATGTTGACATCTACCACCGGTCATGCCCATAACCCCGTCCTGCCCGTGTGCGGATATCTGAGAGCCCAATGACTGACCCGTCGCCTGCGAGGCTGCAGACTCCATGTCTGCCACAAGACCGCCTCACGCTCTGGATCCAAACCCACGGCACCCACGACAGGACCTGCATCGTTTCATTAACGAGCTCAATGTCAAGTACAACCTGGGTGTGCCCATCCCGGATCCAGGCCTCAGCCCCTCCAAGAGAAAGGAGCAAGAGACTCCCGCCACCAGGCTGTATATTCGTCTTGAGGTCCACTTCTATCAAGGCGGGCTGGAAGTTCTTCAACAATTATTGAAGGAGTTTGACTCGGAAGCTAGACAGTCCTGTTCTCAGTGGGTCAAGAAACCCAGAGGCGACCCTGACACGCTGCCTGCGTCCGGCAGTAGTCCTCTAGCATCCAACCAGGTCCAGCGAGAATGTTTGCAGTCATTTTTCCACAAAGTTCTGGATCGTTGCCAACCAAAGAGAACTTTCAATCGCACTCGAAGCGGGCCGGCTGCCTTCTCAATGGAGAAATCCCCTTCTGTTCAGCCTAAGAGGGCTGCTGAGACCAATATGGCCAAATCGCCGATCAAGCGTTCGAAGCCGGCAGGACAAACTGCCAGTGCAGCTCAGGTCCCTAACCCAGCAGCCCTCCCGAAGACTTGCGACCTGTTCGCCGCACCGAGACTACCCTCCGAGCAGCCTCGACAGGGCTCAGCCAGGACAGAAGGCCCTCGTCCAGAGTCACTTGAAGCATTGAAGAGATCCACCACATACTCGACCAGTGTCACCAGCAACGCTTCTTCACGGTTCGTCTTTTCCAGTGCCAAACTGGAGTTCAGTACGCAAGAAACAGTCGAGGCAAGCTCCCAGGAACAGAGAAGGAGTCTTTCAACATCTCAAGATCAGTTTCAGCCGACCTCAACTATGGTGGATGTCTTGAATGAATCATTTCAAGACCAGGAGGCGTCTTTCGATTGCCGCTCGAGGGAGACAGGCTTCAAAAATGCCCCTTGCCCCCCAACCCAGACCACAGACTACTCATGCCCGCCTTCATCAGCACTGGTGGAAGCTCTTCGTTCCACCCCCGATAACGAGCCCCAGGTCAAAGGCGAACGAGCCGTTACTGAGTCTCTGGCTGCTCACAACCCCGGCTCCTCCTTAGGCCAAGACATATGGCGTACGTTGTGGTGTATCTAGACGTCCTCCCCTTTCAGCTCACTAACTTGTTTCAGCAACCTTACCAGATTGGCTTGAGCCGGCGCCGTTTTTTATAGCGTGGGAGGTTCTCCGGATCGGTGTTCACATGGGAATTGACTTGCATTCGGCACCACTAACCTATGATCCGCGATGGAAAGATCAGAAGGTCCTTCGCAGTGATCTAGGCGAGGCTTTTCGTGGCAAGCCCTTGCCGCCGGCCTCAGATCCGAATGCCTGGGCCATGGCAGCCAATTGTTCACCAGGCAGAAATCAGCATGTTGTGTTTTCAGCCTCACTCGAGTTTGCCGGCATGAAACCCGGTGGTCATCTGCGTCTGAAACTCCAACCTCTCAAGCTCGACCAACCTCATCGCCTCGGCCGGAAATATGGCGCCGACCGCTTCCTAGAGCTTCTTGTGCCCTCTCCAGACTCCTCAAATCTTCCCTGGTTTATAAAAGACAAGCCTTTCTACGAAGAACTTGTCAACTGGCTAACGCAAGAGCCACACGCGTTTTGTGGGCGGCGTTACAGACCTTTCTACTTGAAAAGCGGCGGGCAGCGCAAGCCAATTAAACATCTACAATTCGGGCCAGAACCTAAGCCCGTGTACACGGACCGCGTCTACTTATTCGCCGAGGATGGCATTGATATTGCCAGAAACGACCAGCTATCGACGCCTGTCGAATCCATGATCAGCTGGGCTCTGGACTTGAGAGGGGGCAGGAATGACTCTCAGCCCGTACTCAAGCTCTTCCAACGGCTGGCACTTGTTCTCAGCAAAACTACCCCAACCATTGTTTTCGAACCAGACCAAATCAGGCATCGGAGCCAAGACCTGCTGTCCACTGATGGGACGAAAGTGATGAACGACGGAGTGGGCAGAATGAGCAGAAAGGTTGCAAAGATGATTCAGACCGCTCTTGGTCTATCCTCGCCCCCGTGTGCTGTCCAGGGCCGACTTGGTTCTGCAAAAGGGATGTGGATTGTTGATGTTACCGATACAACAGATGATATCTGGATCGAAACATACCCGTCCCAGCGCAAGTGGGTTCTCAAAACTGCAGATCAAGAACATCTGACCCTGGAAATTCGCAGCTGGGCGCCAGAGAAGCTACGATCTGCCAGTCTAAACCTCCAGTTTCTCCCAGTTCTAGAAGACAGGGCCATTGACAAGCGAGCGATGCGTGAAACCATAAGCAAGTTATTGGAGGACAACCTTCGACAGGAGCTCAGCGACCAGAGACAATCCCTCGAAAGCCCTATTCAATTCCAGAAATGGATAGCTGCAAACTCGAGTCACAGGTTAGACCGGCTTAATCGCGGCCATGTGCCCTTCCAGGGTGGCCTGCCACGGGAAGATGAGGAGATCATGGCTTTCATGCTCAACGCAGGCTTCGATCCCTGGCGTAACATGTTTCTCAACAAGATGGCTTACGATGCACAGTTTCAAATGTGCGAGAAACTCAGCAAGAAGCTCAACATCAAAATCGGCCGCTCAGCCTATCTCTTCATGGTGGTAGACTTCCAGGACGTGCTCGAGGAAGGTGAAGTCCACATTGCGTTTTCAGACCGCTTCAGGGCAGATACAGGCTACTGGGAAGGAACAATGGTTCATGGCGTGGATGTACTTGTCGCCCGTTCGCCAGCGCATTTCACATCTGACATACAACGTGTCAAAGCCGTCTTTAAACCTGAGCTGGCACAACTACAAAACGTTATTGTGTTCTCGGCCAAAGGTGACACACCTCTTGCTGAGAAACTCAGTGGCGGTGACTATGATGGGGACCAGTGTTTATGTGTCTGGGACGATCGTGTGGTCAGGAACTTTGCTAATGCTAGTGAGGAGGCTCAGCCTGATCTTCGCGACTACTACCGACAAGATAAAATCAAGTTGCGCCAGCTCCTGTCGACACACAACGAAGAATACGGGGCAGCTATTGGGGAGATGATAGAGAAATGCTTCGCCTTCAACCTGACCAAAGACATGTTGGGACAAGCTACCAACTACAAAGAGCGTCTGTGTTATTCCAGGGGGAATGTTCATGACGAGGTGGCCAAAAAACTCAGTGCACTCCTGAGTACGCTTGTAGACGCGCCGAAGCAGGGAATAGAATTTGGCGCCAAAGACTTCAAGGCTTTCAAACGTTCTCACAGCCTACCCGACCAGCTTGAAGAGCCGCTATACAAAAAGGAGCGTCAGCCTCCGGATCAGCATTATGGCCATATCCTTGACTATCTCAAGTTTGCGATTGCGCAGCCAGCTATCGAGCAAGAATTACGCAAATTCTACACCGAGGAAAATGCCGGCAATGTTGTTCCTTGGGATAAGGACCTCACCGCAAGGCATTACGACGAATGGGAAGACGATTCCGGCAACAGAGAATCGGCGCGGACCATCCTTCGTTGTTTGAAGCGAGACATTGGCCACGTACTCGAGGAGTGGAACATCCTTTCAAGCGACGATTCTGTCAGTTTCTCTGAGATGGTACAACGGACATACAATTCTTGGCAGGGCATCCAGCCAAGCGAAGATGTTCCCAAAGCGACTCTGCGGCGTCTCCGCCGCGGCTATGCGCAGACCTCAGAGTGGGCTTTACTCAAGGCCAGCACAACCTTCAAGCTGTACTACCAGCTAAAGCCACGCTTCGTCTGGCAATTGGCAGGCTGGCACCTTTGCTTCATCAAGTGGCAAGTAGTGAACGAAGTACAGGCTGCTGCGGGCAAGATGCCCGCTGTGCTGACATCGCCAATGTACGCAATTACCAAGGTCGACTCTCGCGCCGTCAACCATCTCGTCGAACTCCAGACGGGCTTTGGGATGGAGGGAAATGAAAATGGAGACGAGGAAGATGATGCGTGAAAACCATCAATTGAGTCTGGATGCGATTCGAAGTCGGGACTCCTGATACTGAGGTCGAATCGACAACGAGTCGGTTTCCTGGCCTTGGTGGTCGTTGCCGACCGCCCTGGGGCAATCTGTGGCGATGGGCCACATGTCCGTTTTAAGCTATGTTCAATGAGACCGTTTCAGGAGTTTCCATCCCATTGGAATATCGAGTAATGGTGTGCGGACTAAGGTCTGCGAATGTGTGTTACTGTAAGCGTGTGGGTGTCGTTTTGGGTTGCAGCAATTTGTCTGCTTCCCCCATGTTTATTTTGGTCATGTATTTCCTAATGATGGGCACAATCTGTGCCGACCGTAGTACTGAAAACAGTTGGTGAGAAGAGGAACTGCTGATTCATGTACTGAAGATAGACGCGAGAGCGTCCGTGGACAAAGTCCTGGTTTCCCGACAAGCTGGGACTCAGAGCTGAGCGGGCTCGAACGAGAGCAGAAAAATGGCACCGAGGCAGGAATGGCTCGCCTCACGTATTGTATAGTCTTCTTTTGGGTTGGCCATGTCACTCATGGTCAAATGTTCCTGTATCAATGCTGTTCTGGCACCTTGAGAGGGCCTATGGTGAGCTGGACAATCAGGCGAACAGTGGCTACTTTGCGGCTACCGAAGTGAGAGCGAAAAGGGGCCAAATGGCCCGCTATCCAAGCTATAAACACTCGTCGGAATGGTCTGTGGCCAGAGGTTCGGATGAATGCCACCATTCACCATATCACAGAGCCTTATAGAAGTCGGGTCTTCTCTGTTGCAGAGCACTGTCCTTGCTGAGCCTCTGTGTGATGTTGTTTGCCGTTGGTCGGTAGGCAAGTAGTGTATTTTCTCAAGATGATCTGAATTTAGGGAGCATATTCTCCCATTCACCGGACGGTTGCCCGGTGACCCGTTAGGGTCTGGTAAAAGGAGGCCTGGACCAGCAAAGGTGAGAATGCCTTGGAGATTAGGAGTAATAATTTGTGGCGGGAACGCATTCTCGAGGGCGTTTGAGATTTAAGTTGCTTTGCAGACCAGTCGAAGGGTGGCATCAAGGGCAGTCCGAGGCGTTGCCGTTCCAACCTGATAGGTGAGTTCAGATTCCTGCGTGCAGAATCTGAGACACCACAACAGTCGACAGCCCATATGTCTCGCATTAGGGCCGTTGCCAATGCTTGGGTGTTTGCATGCTGGAATTTCAATGTTTCGAGTGACGCTCATTCCATGCGGCATTGACCCGCACAAACACTGGAAGGGAGAGAATTCCCTTTAATATGGCCCGTCGCCTTCACCATCAACAAAGCTCATGCACCTGCCCGTTGACTTGCCAGTACGCCACCTTTTCTTGTAGCAGTGTCAATCCCAGGTGACCGGCCTCCCGACAAATTCAGCCGTCCATTCTCTTCATGCTCCGCCTCCTCGCACCAGGGATTGGATACATCAGACAGGCTCGAGACGATGGCGTCCTCAACACTCCTCACAGTATCCTTTGTGATGCTGCTGGGTGCTCACGCCGTCGGAGGTGCCCATCTACACCCGCCGCGGTCCGGTCCCACGACAGAGACCCGGGAGGAGTCTGGGGGAACTTTCTCGATACATCAGACGAGGAACGCCCACTACAGGGGGAAGTCCGGCTTGGAGGCCATGGTCGATGTGTACAAGAAGTACGGCGTCGAGCTGACGCCGCAGTTGAAGAAGGCGGTTCAGATCAATACACATTACGCAGCATCTCGCAAGAGTTGGTATCCTCTCACTTCTCTCATGAAGCCCTTGTGTTGATTGTTGAGCATAGGACAAACTGTTGAGGCGATCCCTCCACAAGGCTTGGACTATGAGTGGGTCAGTCCTGTCCAGATTGGCACGCCGCCTCAGACGATGTACTTGAACTTTGACTCTGGGTCTTCAGATCTGTAAGCCATTTTACCAGGAATACTGGAGCTAAACTTTGAACGTTTCAACTGATGGTACCAGATGGGTCTTCTCATCGGACACACAAGCGAGTCAAGTGTCTGGCCAATATCTTTACACCCCCGGAAACTCATCAACAGCCCAACTACAACCGGGCTATACGTTCTCGATCGGCTACGGGGATGGTTCTGGGGCGCAAGGTCTTGTGTATCGCGACCGGGTCGAGGTGGCCGGCTTCGTTGCGAACAGCCAGGCCGTCGAGTCAGCAACCCAGGTCTCACCCGAGTTCACCGACGACCCTTACTGTTGGGGCCTGCTCGGTCTGGGGATGAGCGGTGGCAACACTGTGAAGCCCCAGCCGCAGCTCACCTTCTTGGACAACATAAAGTCATCCCTGACCAGGCCGCTGTTCACCGCCGACTTGAAGAGCGGCAAACCAGGGACGTACGGGTTCGGCTTCATCGCGAACTCGTACTCGGGAAATATCCAGTACGCCCCTATCGACCGGACATCCAGTTACTGGCTGTTCGCAATCACAGGGTACCGGGTAGGCCCCGCAACGATACCAGGCAACCCCAACTCGGGCTACGTCACGTTCCCCTTCAGGGCAATCGCAGACACGGGCACGACTCTGCTTCTGCTGCCTCAGAGCATCGTTGATGCATACTGGAAACCGATCACCGGCTCCTACTACGACGCCTCGTGGGCCGCGGTGCTGTTCCCCTGCAGCGCCGTCCTTCCGGACTTCACCTACGGGATCGGCCTGTACAAGGGCGTCGTGCCCGGACGGTACATGAACTATGGAACGGTCGACGGCACCCTGTGCTATGGCGGGCTGCAGGCCCAGGGGGGCATCGACTTTGCTATTGTAGGGGGTATCGCGCTGAAGGCGCAGTACGCGATATTTGACCTGGGGAACATGAGACTAGGGCTGGCGAATAAGCCCTTGTCGAGTTGAGTCCCAAAACTCCCTATTGTATGACCTGAGGTCAGATAAACCCACGATGCATAATATCTATCGGCGTAATTTGAGAATCTTGAGTGCTGTTTACCCGTCCAATGCTAAAATGTGTAGCAGTGTATGGTCGGCTCTTTCTGTAACCCTTTGCTTGACTGGAATGGCCAAGTTTCCACTTTGCTGTTCATGTGCAAGCTCTTCTGTGATTGGAATGTGCTTCAGATCCACAAGTCATCCTTGTGCGTGCCGCGCAACTAATGCCTCAGTCGCTATGTGCTAGATTAAGCAACGTTAACGTTTCCTCTGTTTGCAAGATTCAATACCGCTTGTTCCGGGTTCCTCTAAGCCCAAGTTTGAATTATGGAGCACCTGGATGTTGAAGGATTGACAAATTTGTATCATGACATCACTACAATTCTGTCTGGGAGAGACGTCTTTTTGTGCTAGTGTAGATCAATTTACGGCGCTCCATTCTGTGATCCTCACGCTGCTGGAAATATCAGAGACTGGGACGTTTGAGTGAATGCCATGACAGCACGTCCTGCACATGCAGCCTTTGGAAGTGAACGCCCACAACGTAAGCACGTTGGTGCCGGCAAGCAAACGCTCATCTCTGACTGCTATCGAGAGTGGTAGTCAGGGTGTATCTATTCGCTATGGCATCACTACAACTATTCCCGCAACACCGCCACACTTTCAAAAAGTTCGCGACGTCATAGTGCAGCCAAGTGTGGCTTACTTGCCTTCTGCACAGCAAGAAGTGGCTTAACACACCTTACTACACCAGAAAACTTTGATTTCAACTCCTTGGAAAAAAGAAGAAAAGAGAAAAACAGGGGGGGGGGCAATAAATTTGGCAGGTGCCGTGGGGCCGTACGGCCTCACGGCTATGTAAATTCATTACATAGATTCCGTGGTCGCGAAGCGGACACCTGAGCAAAGCTCGTGTAGACATAATTGAGTTGGAGATGAAAAAGATCTTGAACCTTGATTAACAACGTTAGTCAACGACGTCAGTCAAGAAGATGATGCGGGCTGATTTAAAACCAAGGATACACCTCGAGGACTTAGTCTCATGCTCTTTGCGTGCCGTAGCAAAGTCTTCTGAAGTATTGATGCTCTAATGTTTTAGTTATGTGGGTACTCTTTAAGCTCTACGCACCATGTCTACACTACGTTCGAAGCCAGGATCGTCCGTCCCCACTTCAATGCAGGAGTTCAATAGTGCATGTAGATCCGACTACGATCTGTCCGTGAGATCGGAGGCTCGAAATTTCTCTCTCAACACCGAATTATGTATCGAGTTGGAACGAAAGTCGAGTACAAAAGTTGCAAGAAGACTTGAGTGATACTTCAGAGAGGTGGAAGAGGGTCATGAAAGCAATTGTTCAGACTTGAAATCTGCGCAACATTCGCATATTAGGTGCCCTGTCTTTTTTTTTTCTCGGCTGATTTAAAGTCTGAAAAGGGCGCCCACGTGTTTCCTGTTGTTGCGGCTATGTTCCGATTCTTTCAATTAGAAGCGTCCAAGACGTAGTCTATGCATTCGCAGGACTTGCAATTTCCGGATAACCACACTAGAAGCTCAGTGGATAGCTGTGGACGGGGTTCAACTGGGGAGTGGCCGCGATGGTGGATTAAAGTCAACTGAGACTTGAAGTGATTCCGTCCAAATCTTGTGAACCATGAGCTTGTTTTTCGGTTCATGAACCCTGGAACTCTAGGCATCCAAGTTCTTCCCTCAGCCGATTGTCGGCGCGTTCCAATGACGATCTGCAGTGTTGTGGAGTCGTGTTTTCAGCCTCTGCTGGGTCCCCGGTGATCGATCATCGTTGCGCAACCTTGGCAATTAGGGCTGAAGGGTGGCTGAGAATTGCAATCATGGAGAATTCTCCGGTGACCCACATCATCGATTCATTGCTGGGCCATGATGGAGGCTATCCATCACAACAACAAATGGAATACACTGACACCACGATGGTGATCTGCAACTGATCCTCTCATGGGATTTCTACCATGTAACAATCGGCGCAACACCGAGTTGCAGGCAGCAACTTATGAGGCTCTGGTGGAGATGTGAAGATACGATGTCATGGTCTGGACGTCTATAAGAGAAACGGACATGATCAATTTCTCAATGCTCCAAGTCTCGTCACCATCATCGCAACATAAGCTAACCCCTGCTTGCAGCATTTCATCTTTGAAACTATTGTTCATCCACAACCCGTGCTAAAATCGACATGTACACCAACTTCTTCACCATCCTCACTATGCTAGCGGGTGTGGTCAGTGCCCTCCCGGCGGACAGCGAAAACACCAAGCAGCTATACCGCCGTGACCCAAGCGATCAGTCTGGAAACTCGCGTTTCATCTATCAGGTATGTGTATTTGTTTCTCAGAAGTCGGTCTGGGCCGGGCCATTCTTGAAACATCGTGCTAATATTGGGGTTGAAGTGCGAGGAGACTATCATCCCCAGCCCTGGTGGTGGCGGCGGTGCTGGAGAAGGCGGCTATGGGTTCTTCTCTGATAGATTCAGCTTTATTGACCGCGATGGTGCCAAGGTCGTGCCCGATGCTTGCGAGTACACAGATTCGGGCCATTTCTGCACCAACTGTATCTTCAACAGCAAGTACCTCTCCTCGCCAACTAATGCGACTGGTAAGTGCCTCCTATATCTTTCTTTGTGTCATTACTTTTGCGCAGAAGACCCAACTGACAAGGAGACACAGTGCTACAATCCTCCCGCAGGCATGTACCAGGGATGCAGTTTGAGCTTCCAGTACAATAATTATCCTTATGATACGCAGGAGGGGCAGGATAAGTGTGGACACCAGGTCTCGTACCCTGGATTCTCAGACATTGGGAAGGCTATTTGCTACTTCGACGATGGCTGGAGCGGTTAAAGTTGGGGTTCAGATTGCAACAAGGTTGTGGCCAAGTTATTTCAACGACAGGGCTACTACGGGATGATACATGTATCCATTAGAGAGCGGTTTTTCATTCTTGACACATATCCTCAAGTTTAGAATGTATATAAGGCATGAGATTCAGCCATCGTTCGAAAGTAGAAATGCTAGACTTCCATCAGCCGCAGTAACAATAGATTGTGAATTGACCCCATTACACAGCATAGACAGTGCTCAGTGATGAAGCAATTAAGCAAACGATAGTAGATTATTATTGTTGAGGAGAGAAATCTCCCCGCTATTAAACGCTTAGAAGGAGCCTATTTATAGGCCAGCGCTAGCATATAGGTATACAACCCTTATACTTTTTAATACACCCCTTATTACAAGTATTATCATTTTAATAATAATAAGAGATATTTTATTCCAATAGTTAAAAATATAGTTTAAATATTTCGCTATAATTTATATTAAAACCATTATATAAATATTATTTAATATTTATATATTTTGCTTATATTATTTTTAATTAATTATTTAAATACCCTTTTAATAATATAAATTTTATATTTATCTTAATTTTAATTTTATATAAGCTTTTTTAAGGGTAAGGCAAGGTAATGCTTTTATATAAATATTAGCAAAATTATCTTTAAATGCAATGTAATAAATATTATATATTTCTTTAATTTCTTTATAAATAAAGTAATAATAAATAATAATATATTTTAATTAAGTATTAACTTTATGATTTTAAATAAGGTTTAATGCTAGCTAATTATTAATATATAAAATAAATAAATATTTAATATACTTAATGTTTAAATCTTTTAATGCTTAAATTATTTAATAAAGATATAATAATGTTAATAAATATATTATATATTTTACCTTAGAAATAGATTTTATAATAATAAATTAATGCTTTAATAATTAAGTAATTAAGCTGCTATTAAGGAGTTATATATATTTGCTAATGTTACGGTTTAGGCTTTGCCCATTATGATTAATTAGTAGGCTTTAGCCCTATAAGAATAAGCTTCAGCGCGGATATAAATAGGGAGCGAACCTTCTCCTTTGCACTTTAAATATAAACCCCATTCAAATACCTTACGGCAAACAACCTAAGGCTAGCTTATAATATATATTTAAAGTCCTTTTATACCATAAACCTATAATATAACCATATAAAACTTAATATAGCAAGACTTAAAAAGAATAATAGCAGCCCATTAAGCCCTTCCTTATTTAAAGAAACTCTTATCTTAGGAATACTTAGCAACTTAATTAATAAAGATAAGGGCTAAGTTTGCAATAAATAAAAAAGCAATTAATGCTAAAGGGGCTTAATTCTTTTATATATTTAATTAGCTAAGAACTTTTTATAATTAATTTTTACTTTATATTAATTTTATAAAGATATTTAAAAAATAGCTAAAAAGCTTTTTAAAAAAGGTTTGCTTTATGCTTAAGGACCCTTTTAAGCAAAGGCATATTAAGCTTAGCTTAATTATACTATAATAGCATTATAAGAAGAAGATAATAGAATTTCTTACTTAATGTAATTAATTAGCTTATATAGCAAAGGCTTAAAGTTAATTAAATAAGTATAATATTATTAATAGCTAATGGCTTAACCTTTATAGCAAAAGCCTAGCTTAATTATAAGAAGTAGCTAAATATATTTAAAGCCTTTTACTTTACCCTATGGTAATATAAGGATGTTTTTAACGCTATAATAAGGGAGAATAATACTTAACCTTAAAACGGCAAAGCAATAAATATTAATATTATAGCGATTTTAATAAGTAAAGTTAAGTATTTTACATATAATTAACTTAGCTATTATAAGCGTAATTACCTTAATTACTATAAAAAAATAAAGGTATAGCTTTTATTAATTAAGGCTAACAAGGGAAAGGAGTTTATTTAAAGGGGCGTAAAATTTTTTTTATAAGGTAAAGCTTAAAAGCAATGCCGGCTTAGCATTAACCTAAGCTTAAAATAAATTAATTATATATTAACTAATTTAACGCTATAAAAATGCTTAAAATTTAAGAAATTCTTATTAATAAAATAAATTACTTATAATTAAGCGCTAATTAATTATAAATTATATAATAAATCCATAATCTTAAAGTTTTAAGTAAGGAAGCTTATATAAAAGGCTTGCATTAAAGAATTATAAAAATGTTATTAATTTAACCACTAACTTATGCTTAAATAATTATCTCTTATTAACTTGCTTTAGCTAGTATATTAAATTATAAAGGCTAAGGCATATTAATTATAAATAATAAGCTAAACCTTTAATGCAATTAAGAAATATTAAGATATAATTAAATAGCTAAGCAAAGAGCAATATATAATTCATAATTAAATTATAGCATTCTTTATTTTTATTATATAGCTGCCCTTTAAGGCCCGCTATAAGAATTTAGAAAAGAAAGATATATTATAGTTTAGGCTTTGCTTATTATAATTAGTTAATAAGCTTTGGCCTTATAAGAATAGGCTTTAGCGCGAGTGCAAATAGGGAGCGAACCTTTTTCTTTGCACTTTAAATATAAACCCTATTTAAACACCTTACGGCAGACAACCTAAGGCTAGCTTATAATAGCTAAATGCTTTTAAATTATTTAAATTAATATTATAAAAAGCATTAATATATATATTAAGTATAATGAATTAAAATAATAATATTTATTTTAAAAATCTTAGGGTATAATTTAATATATGCTAAATATATTAAAGTACCCCCTTTGCAATATTTAAATAATAAATTGCAGGCTTTGCATTAAATATTAAAAGCATTTTATATAAAAATATAAGATTAAATCTTATTTTAATAATAAGAAAATTAATAAATTTAATAAGTAATTAATATATTATTGCATTTCTTATAATATTATTAAGTTTCTCTTATTATAAAAATAAATTTGGATTTATAAAAGTTTATCTTTAATTGCAATTAAATATATTAAAGTATTTTAAAATTTATTAATTATATTTCTTTTAAGAAATGCAAATTTTATTATTAATTTATATAATTTCTAAGCCAAGTAAGTATTTATAAAGATTAAGATCTTTATACTTAAAACATTATATAAGCTTAATATAAAATTCGTTAACTTAAGAAAAACTCTTAATAATAAGAATATTATTAATATAAATAGTAATAATAATTTAGTTTTTAATAAAAACGCAAAAGTTAAATATCATTTCCATTAAATATTTAATTAATTCCTTTTTAAAAATACTACTAAATTATTTATAGCTTAATTATTTAAGTTTATATAAGGCATTAAAAAGTTTTAAAATAACTTATTAATTATTAAATAATATTTAATACCCTTATAATAATTATATATAAACATTATATTTTAAATAGTTATATAAGTATACTATTTTAATATTAAATTACTAAAGCTATTAGCTTATTATAATAATAATGGTAATAATTAATTTTAAATTATTATAACGTGCTATAGGGCTATAAGTATTATTATAATTTATATTATAAATTTATATATATTTATAAGCAATAAGTTAAGCTTTATAGTAAATAAGCTTATTAAAAGCATTAAACTTCTTTATATATACTTAGTAAGAATTAATAATATATTGATTTATAATAGCAAGTATTTTAATTTATATACTTATATTTAAGAGTAATTTAAGTTCCCTTTTAATAGCTTATTATTAAGCATCCCTTTTATTGCTTTTTATAGCTTATATATATATATTAAGGATATTATTAATATTTATTATATTAGCAAGTAATGCTTAAGTAAAGATTTAATTAGGGTAATTAATATTAATTAATGTTAATTAAATAGGATTTAATATAAAGTTTGTATTAATTAATATTAAGTTATTAAAATCTTTAAAATATTTTATAATAATGTTTATATTTTCTTTTGCTTTTTATAAAGGCTAAATTTATTGCCCTTAAAAATTATATAATTATATAAGTTTTATAAGTTTAAGTAATTTATTAATGAGTTTTATAAGTTTAAATGGTTTATTAATGAATTTTGCAGGTTTAAGTGGTTTGTTTACGGGTCTTGCATTATTAATAAGTTTTATTAGCTAAGACGCTGATAATACTTTTATCTTAGGTAATATATTTTTATTTAGCTAGCTAATTATTTATATAATCTTTATTATTAAATTAAATTAAGTAATATAGCTTAATATTATAATTATAATAACTTTTTAAAGCAATATAAATAAATAAAAAATAGTTTTACCTTTAGCCTTAAATCTTATAAAGTATACCTTTTTAGCTTTATTTAATAATTTTATTTTTAGCTTATAAGCCTTAATAAGAATATAAAAGTATGCAAAGCAAAAATATAATTAGAAATATTTAATATTAGGCTTTTATTTTTAAAGTGCTTTAAATGGCGTTATTTAATATAATAAGGCTAAGTATAATTTTTAATTTTATAAGTATATTATATAGGAAATTACTTTAAGCTATAGGAATAAATAATCTTTATTATAAATTATTATATAAGCATTAATAATAATAATATATATAAACCTTTTAAGTATATTATTTAACTTATAATAATAAGGGGGTAATTTCTTATAAATAATTTTGCATTTTTAAAATATTATAATAATTATTTTATTTATATATTTACTTTTATTATTTAAATTAAATATTTTAACTTTTACGCTAAATTAAGTTTTAATTATATTTAAAAATTCCTTAATAATATTTAAAATTTTATCCTTTTAGGTAATAAAGTAAATTTAATAAAATTAAGTATAGTTATTAATAAATAAAATAAAGTATTAAAAATCTTTTAATAATTTTATTAAGAATTTATTTAATAAATTAAATTAAATATACTTAAATAGCTGTATAAATTATCATTTCGGCAATAAATATAAGCGTTTCTTAACGAACTTTATAAATTAATATAATTTATAATGAAAATTCATTAATTTATTTAATATAATATTTTTATCTTTATATAAGTATT